GGAAGCTGCGTCGAACCACGTACGTGTTGCTGCCGCGCACACACTGCGCAGAGTGTCCTCGAGCACTCGATTGACGCGCTCTGTTTGGGCCGTCTGTCTGCGGATAGTCCGCAGTGGACATCTGCAGACGAGTTCCCAGTAAAGGGAACAGCGTTTTCCAAAACGCGGCAGTGAACCGCGGATCTCAGTCCGAGACAATCGTCTCCGAGAGACCGTGATAGCGGAACACGCCATCGACGAACAACCGTGCGGTTTGTTCGCCCGTTACAGTGACGGGAACTGGAGCAAGATGTACCATCTTACTCAGCCGACACACGAACACCAAAATTCCGGTGTTGCCGTGTCCGTCGGCGGGAAGCCCAAAGATGAAGTCAAGACTCATCGACTTCCAACAATCAGCCGGTACGGGCAGGCTCTGTAGTGGAGCCGAATAGTGCCCTGCGGGTTTGACCCGCTGACATGTTTCACATGTCTTAACGTACCGGGCGACCCACTTGTACATGTGGGTCCACCAGAAGGACTGAGAGACCGACAGACAGGTCTTCTCGCGGCCCAAGTGGCCGCTGGAGGGCGCGTCATGCGCCTCCGCGAGGATGTCGAGCTTCAGATCCTCGTCGTTGGGTACGACCACCCGTGGAGGATCAGTGGGCTCCACCCGGTAATAGAGGAGGCCCTCCTTCAACTCATATCGGTGGAGCCGTGAGCGCTGTCGCGACGAGAGCCAGTCGGACTTCGCGCTCGTTCCGGCCTTAAGGAACTTGACGATAGGCGCGACAGCCTCATCGTCCCGATACGCCATGCGTATCCGATCATATAGATCCGTTGTCACCCGCGTGATGTGGGCCAACTCATAGTCGGGACGCCGAGAGAGGGCGTCCGCAAGCACGTTGGGCTTGCCCGGCTTGTATTCGACGCGGAAGTTGTATTTCGCGAAGAAGGACAGCCACCTCGCCATCCTTTGGGAGAGGTCAGGCGAGTTAGTCGCCGTCCTCAAGGACGCGTGGTTTGTGTAGATCACAAAGGGCCTAGAGCCCAGAAGGTGAACACGGAACTTCACAAGGGCATATTTCATTGCCAGGAGCTCCTTGTCATGGACAGGGTAGTTCCGCTCGGCGGCTTTGAGCTGCCTGGACTAGAACGAGATGACTCGTTCCTGTCCAGCCGTGTCGGCCTGCAGCAATGCACATCCGACGGCGTAATCGGAGGCATCGCAGACGACGCTAAACGGCTTCGTCTCGTCCGGCAGGGCCAGGACAGGGGCCTCTTGAAGACTGGCCTTGATGCTGTCAAAAGCATCCTGGTGCTCTTGCTCCCAGCGCCAGTCGACGGCCTTCTGAAGGAGGCTCGACAAGGGCTTAGCGAAGTCCGCGTACCCAGCGCTGTACTTGTGAAGGTAGTTGGCCAAGCCCAACCACTTTCGAAGATCCTTCTGGGATCGGGGCGTCGGCCATGCTGCTATGGCCTTGACCTTGTCTGGGTCAGCCCGAACGCCCACGTTGCTTACGAAGCAACCGAGAACTTTGATCTCTGGTGACGCGAAAACGCACTTGTCGATGTTGGCGTAGAGCTTGTTCGCTCGCATCACGTCCAACACTCGACGGAGGTGTCCTAGATGCACCTCCATGGTCGTCTTGCCTCCCTCGGCACGGCTATGGACAAAAATGTCGTCGAAGTACGTCTGTACGAAGGTACGCAAAGGGCGGAACAATTGCGTCACCAGGCGATTGAACGTCGCCGGGGCGTTAGACAAGCCCTGCGGCATGACGAGCCACTCCCAAAGCATGCCGCTTGGAGTGCTTACCGCGGTGAGCGAGATGTCGCTCTCTCGCATCAGGATTTGGAAGTATCCGTCTAGCAAATCCAGCGCACTGTACAGTACGCTCCCGGCCATGTTGTTCAACAATACATCCTTTCGTGGGATCGGTGTTTGGGCCGGCACCGTTGCGTTGTTCAGCTTGTTATAAGCGTGAACCAGACGCCACTTTCCGTTCGGCTTACGAACGCAGAAAGTCGGCGTCGAGTGCGGGGATTTCGACTCCCACACCATGCCTGCCTTCGCTTTCGCGGCGAAGAAGGCATCAATGACCTCGCACTGTTCGCGCGGGAGAGGCCATTGCCTCGTGACACAATACTTTGTGCCGGGCACGAGATCAATCTCGTGCCGTACTCCTCGATCCGGTGGGAGTTGGGTTGGTGGGTGTTTGTCACCACGTCCGCGTACTCCGTCACCAAAGGATACACCGGATCCTTGGGGTTCTTGAGAATCTTAGAACCCAAGCGCGCCTGACGCTGCTTGTTCATGTCTTCCAGGACGTTCTCGTCCAAGACAGAGGAGGAGTTCAGCTCCTCCTGAGTGCTCTCAGGTCTCATGAGTACCATCTCAGCAATCTCTCCAGCCTTGAGGTTGGTCAGGAAAGACTCAGCCGTCATTTCCTCGAGGTGCAGTATCTCTGCAACCTCTGGCAACGGTTCCAAGTGGACACCAGATGCCTTGACGGGTAAACCTGTCTCGCCATCGAAGATGTGATAACACTCTTCCACCGGCCTTATCGGAGGAGCCCGGGCCCTGGACTTCGAGTCGCTTGAAGCGACGTCGATCGGAACGAAGTTCGGATCCGACTTGAGGCGGCGGCGGCGTCTTTGTCGACGGCGTCTGTGACGGGGAGCTTTGCTGCCCACGTCTAGGGATGTCGTCGCTACGACATCCGAGGCGCTCGTGGCCTCGTGTGGTACTGTTGTACCCACACAGGAAGCGTGTTCAACGCCTTCCTCTTCAGTTAAGGTCTGGGCGACCGCGTGTGGCACTGTGTTACCCACACAGGAAGCGTATCCGACGTCTTCCTCTTCAGTTAAGGTCTGGATGACCGCGTGTGGCACTGTATTACCCACACAGGAAGCGTGTTCGACGCCTTCCTCTTCAGTTAAGGTCTGGGCGACCGCGTGTGGCACTGTGCTACCCACACAGGAAGCGTATCCGACGTCTTCCTCTTCAGTTAAGGTCTGGACGACCGTAAGTGGAACTCTGTTACCCACTCTGAACACGCTGTTCTCAGTGTTAGTGACAGCTGCAGCTGTCGGCGGAACTAAGTAACCCGCCTGCGGACCTAAGTTACCCACTTGGCCAGCGCCTCTTCTGGGCGCTGCCACCATCAAAACATCCTCGGAGTCGTCATATACGTCGACGACTCCCAAGCATCTGCCGGATGCTTCGGTACCCTGGCAGCCCTTGCGGGCGCCCCGGGTCCTGACAGAGGTGGGAACATGACTCACCAATGCTCTGTCGGACTGCGCAGGGCGGCTGGCACCGATTGCCTTGCCTCGCCAGTCGATCCAGGGATCGTGCTTCTCGATCCAGGGCATGCCCAGGATCATATCATATGGATCCATATCGAGAACAGTGAACTGTTCGAAGCTGTCAAAGTCTTCAAATTTGACGGCCAGATCCACTTGGACGTTGGGGACAGTGACGACGTTCCCGCCGGCCAGTCGCACTGACACCGTCCCGTTGCCCTTGCTTTCTCTTAAAGCATCGGACAACTTGTTGCTGTAACGAGCAACCGTCTGGCGGCGTGCGAAATTCTTCGACGCCCCAGAGTCAATCAAGATTCTGAAGGGATGATCGTTCCCCGTACACATCCGTGTACTACGAGCAACCCGCCGCTGCTCTTCGCCGATTCGAGAGTGCGAAGACTCTCAGGGGCTAAGTCCCCGTGGTACGCGCCACCCGCGCACCACTTAGTTCTTCCCCAGTACGCCCCTACTGGTTCCCTGCGTTCCCCTGTCCCCGGGATCCTGGCTTTTGCCAGCGACCCTTGAGGACGGGCTTGGAGAAGGACCGTCTGCGGAGTCTTTCCGCGGGGCAGTCACGCTTGAAGTGGCCCATCTTCCCACAGCCGAAGCAGCGGATGTCACGCTGTTCGGCGGACCCGAGTTCCATGGGAGCCGGTCCGTTGGGGCTTGTTCGACCGGCAGCCAACAAGGAATTCCCAGGCCACGCTGAGGCCGGCGTACGCGCCTGGCGATGGCTGTACTCTTCTTGAAGAGCATCTTGAATCGCCTCTTCAAGGGTGCTTGACTGCACCCGGAACAGCTGAGTGCGTGCGGGGCCCACTCGAAGGCCATCCATGAACACAGTCATCTTGATGCGTTCGTTAAGTGGGTTTCCCACTAGGGACGCCGTGAGCTCCCGTATCTCTTGCACATACTCGTGCAGTTCGCGCCTTCCTTGTTTACACGCGAGGAAGCGCGAACGCTGGCGGTACTCGTAGTTCGCCGGGAGGAACGCGGCTCGGAGCTGTTCGCACAGCTGAGCCCAGGATGTGAAACATCCAGGGGATGTTGCTTCCCGAGTGTACACCCAACTCTTAGCACGACCGCTAAGGTTGGAGAGTGCAAAAGCAACACGCAGTTGCTCGGTCGAGATCAGAGCCGCGTCCATCGCGAGCTCTACTTCTCGGACCCAGAAGTGAAGGTTCTCGCCTTCCTTCCCTTCATACGGCTTTACCTTCAGCCGTATTGGCTTCGGGTAAGGCGGACTTGCTTCCGCCGCCGGAGCCTGCAGGTTCTCCCGCACATGCGCGATGAGGCCCTGCTCGTACGCGTCGAATGCATTGACGCGCTCGAGCTGTTCAGCCGGTGTTGATACCACCAGGCTCTGCAGGGCCTCCATCCCGAAGATGCCTGCCATCTTCCGAACCGACTCGAACTGAGAGTCGTTCATATGGGAGAAGTCGTTCCTATCCATGGCAACGAACTTCGGAGAGGTTCAGGTAGTCTACCCGCGGTGGCGTGGATTGACTACTAGTGCTACCAAGTGTGACGGGGTCACACAGCACCTTGCGCTAGAGGAAGTTATCTTCCGAGAGTATACAAACTCTCAGTGAACGGCAGTTCACAGGTCCCCTCTTTAATTAAAGAGAGCGAAGTGACCTAAATAAGGTAGATTGTAAACTGAGTATATTTATAGGTAGGTTAAGTTTGGGTTTAATACAAACTATAAGTTACCTATAGAAATGCAATGTCATTTAACCAATGGTTGGCTTTGAACGACTTTGGTACCTTGTACCAAATATCCCGGAGTATGACGTGTCATACTCCTAAAGTGTGAAGTGTCACACTTCATGTAACCAGGGTACACTTAGGGCTACGTACCCCGTTACATTATCACATGCAAGCTTCAACTCACATGAGCGGATCTGGTCTCAGTTCTTCCAGTCGCTAAGCCCTTGCTGCCAAATCCTCATGGCACTTACGTGACGCTCATAGCCGTTTCGGCCAACACTTAGCTCGGTCTCTCTTCTCAAAGCGAGCTGAGATTCCTCGATGACCCTTCTGTTTCTCATTGACATTCTCTGTCATGGGCTCGTCGGCTTCGGGGTCATTCTGATCCCATGCTTGTCCTCACTGTTCAGTGGATCAAGAAAAGCGTGGCTTGCATTCGCGTTCACACCTGCGGTGCTTACTCCCCTCGTATCTGTGTGGCCTTGAAAACCCTCCTGCGGTAGAGGTTTCGTCATTATATCGGCCACAGTCGCTTTTGATGCAACGGGTTCTAGCTTTACTCACCGCTTTTTCACGTACTCGCGAATCTTGAGGTCACTGATATTGAGCTGCTTGGCTCTGCGATGCTTTCTAGCATGCTTAATTAGCTCACGAGCGCTACTAGAGTCACATTATAGTGTTGTAGCTTCTCTCTTCAAGCCTAGCTCATCCACAAGTTGCTCCAGTCAAATTGCTTCATGAATACCAGTATTCGCTGCAATCGGCTCGGTCTCACAAGTACGCTCAGCAAAAGTATCGTGTTTCCAACATTTTGCCGAGATGAGTTGTCCGTTACAAAACACGGTAAAACCAGTTACGGACTTCATATCTCCTTCTTCCGAGGCGAAATTTACATCAGTGTAGACCTCTATCTTCAATTTGTCGAACTGGCGTGCCACATTAAAGTTATGTAACCCCATGCCCTGCGTATCAATCAAGTACCGCAAAACACGCTTTGCTGCTCGCCAATGAGTCACAGCGTACTTGTCCAAAACTTTACTCAAAATTCGAATTGCTGTGCCCAATTCTGGCCGGGAACCACTTATTAATACTGTAGGTACCCAACAAGACTTCTATACGGCAACCGTTCACTTTTCTCGTATTCTTCAGGGCTAGCATTTGTCAACTTCAAGCCCATCCACTATCATCGGAATGCGTACTGGGTACGCGGACTACATGTTAAATTTTGCATGGATGTACTTCGTTTGTCTGAACGAAACGTGGGTCTCGGGATCGTAGTGGATCTGTAGTCCCAATAGATAATTAACATCATCGAGACACTTCAGCTTAAAACGCTTCGTCTGCTCCGCATCTACAAAATCCACATCCTCTTCCTTACCTGCTAGCAGAATATCATTCCCATAGATTGGCAGAAGGACAAGTCTGCCCTCATTTCGAATCCAGTACAGACCTTCATCCTTATAACTATGAAGAAAGCCAAGCTCAATCAGCACGATATGTAGCGTGTTGTTCCAGCTACGTGGTAACTGCCGTAATCCACAGATACTCTTCTTCAGTAGACACACCCAGTTTTCGTATCCACGCTTTACAAAGCCTTCAGGTTGCTCTATAAAAATGATGCGTTCGGTGGGGGCGTTTAGGAAGGCAGTTAAAACCCCAAACTGCTTCACTACTGTATAGGCAACCCAGCCCATAGAAAGACGAGTCTTAGAGTTTCGAACCTCACAACCGGGGTGAACGTCTCATCAAAATCAATTCCCCAAGTCTAGAAACAACCCGTTACAGCCAATCAGGCTTCGAATCGTAACATCCTTAGTTCGTTCTCCTTCAATGTCCACACCCATTTGCATCTGAGGATGTGAGCATTCTTTTGTCTATGCACTAGTATCCACGTTTCATTTTCTAGCTGAGCCAAGGACTCCTCCTTCGTGGCTTCAATCCAGCTCACTCTGTGCGGTGAAGCCATCATTTCGGTCCAGGTTCTCGGAACTTCAATCTTCATCGAAGCAGTTGCCGAAGCTGAGGAGCTGAAGACAGTGGACACAAAATCTTTCAGTTGTGTCGACTTCTTGCGGAAACGATGGGATCGTCGTGGAGTTTTCACTTCAACAGGAAATTGTCGTTTTCGTTGTGGCTGAGGTTAATCTTCAATACTCTCTTCTGATCTTGATGCTTGTGGTAGATCGATCTCTTCCTGCATCCGATCATCGATATTTGCCTCATTGTTCCTCTCAATTCCAATCAAACGCTCATTATCATGTTCTTTGTGCGTATCTTGTACTTCTACCACCGGCAGTGGAACCAGCGGGAGCTTCATATGGTCCACGGATGGACTTCTTCTCATTCGATACACTTTAATAAGAAGTTTCTTCACATACCATCTATCTACCGTAGTTTCTTCATAGAACTTCACATTTTCATGCCGATGTTCACTTATAACACCCGTTGTTAGGTCCAGCAGCCGATAACCTTTCGTCTGTGTTGCATACCCGACCATAGAATTAGGTGCCCCTTTCACCGACAACTAGTCCTTACGATAGACCTTATCAACGAACCTAACAGCGAGACAGCCAAAGGGTCAAGGGTGGCGAACACTCGGTTTCGATCCAAACATCTTTTCATGAGGTGTCACCTTCTATGCATTGCCCTTAGTACTCGTCCTGCTAATCATCTCAACTACGTATCAAGCCGCTTCTCCCCACAACATACCAGGAAGATCACAGCTAAATAGTACTGATCGAGCTTTATCCATCATGCTTTATGTGCATTTTCAATCAAACACACTTCTTCGGGCGAATGGGGGGAGAGAAGATTTGTATTGTCTCTCCTGCGCACATCTTAGCCACTGCTTGGTTCGTGAACTCAGTGCCTTGATCAGAATGGAACGTGCTCACCACCGCATGGGGTTTTGCTCGCACCATCTTTTGAAAACACTTCAATTTGTTCACAGTTTCCTCCTTCGTTTTCTGCCCATACACCCATTGATATCTCGAGCCTTCGTCCATGAGATGCATTTACATCATATATCAATCCATTGTACTCTCCTGAATGAAGCTCAAGTCTATCAGTACTCTATCAAATGGATTTGTCGCTCTCCTTGCCATTGTGTGGCGAAAAGACATCCTTTTCATCTTTGCATATCCCACAATTGTAGCATTGTCCTTTCTTACCCTGATCCTCCTTTGACAGCTCCAAGCCTCGCACGAACCCCTTTGAAGCCATCTCTTGGATCACTTGCCAGTTTGCATGCTCCGGGCGGTAATGCCATAAACGCAGCGATCTTGCCGGCTGAGCAGCTGTCTGCAACACAGCTAGCTGAGAGCGTGGTAGCCCCACCATTGTCTGATAGAGTCCACTGACCATATCAAAATCCCAGATAATATGTTTCACCCTGTTTGGTAGCGTAGTCACTTCCTGGCTCTCACTTATCTGCGCGAAAAAGCCATTATCCTTGTAGAGGACACGCTGCGACAACAGATTTGTTGTTCCTTCCACAAACAGAGCCTCAACAGGTATCCATACTTTCATCTTTGTCGCCGCATCAACGATGGCAAACTTCACCAAACCTTTCATCTGCGCCTTCTTATAGGTATTCTCAAACCACTTCATCACCGTGTTACAATCCAACGTCACAGACACAACTGCCTCTCGACATCCACAGATATTCACCCCCGATGCGCTATCCAACACAAACGGAATGTTAAAGCTTTTGTCAGACTTCTTTTCCGCATTAGGATTTGCAAAACACGGTAGTGACTTGTCCTCCACGACCTCAATCATGGTAGCTCTCGACGCTTGGACAATCCTACTGCAAGGACTTCTTCTCGAAATTATCAACCAGTGCAGCTTACTTGGCCTGAGGACGCTTCAAATGTGCTAATCGGACTCGAGTTCCATCATCCAACGTATTCGTCAGGATATCGTTCAGCAACAGCACCTTGTTCCTATACTATTTGCGTTTCTGCTCTGTAGCTCTCGTGCCGTCCTTCTCGGGGTATCTCGCTCTTCCAATCAGGATCTTCCAGCACTTCCGAGCACGTAATGCCGCCGTAAGGCCTTCCTGGTATGCAAGCAAATCATTGCCGTCGAACTTGAGCGAGCGAATAGTATCAACTCTCTGACCTTCCATGCTCTCTCGTTGGGCTCATAGCCTTAAACACGTACAAGGTTTAAGGTAGCACTTGTTGGTCGGCGCATACAACAGTCTTAGATGCCTCGAAATGTATTTGTGGTGGTGAGCAGATCTCTTCTTCTTGATCTTGTTTTACTTGAGAACTAAAACTAGAAGTTTCCATACTTTCCGACAAAAAAAAACCTCGTCTCAGAATTTAGCGTTGAGGTCGACCAGTTTCTTTTACCCTCCTCCCATTTGATCTTCGTAAGTCGCGTGGGCAATACACGCCAACCCCATTGCGTGTGAATTGTATCAGTTGAAGAGTGATGGTCGTAATTGCTTAAGACGCCAGCTAAACATCCTAAAATTCTGTCGGGGGTACCCCCGACAGAACAAAACTTTATAGAGCTGGCCGAGTGTAGACAACACTACAAACTCAAGCAAAACAAATTGGATAGTTACTCTTACTCGAAAGATGTGTATACATCGACCATCGCTGTCGGCCTGTAAAGTCACCGTATTACTCCAAAGACCTTTTTAAAGAAGGAAATTAAAAGGAGCATCATAACGATTTCAACGAAATACATGTAGAAAATTCGATTCTTCAGGCGACTTTTCGAAGACCACGAGTCACCAGGCTTACAAAAGTTATTTTGTTTCGATAGCCAAAATCGGTGGACTATGGACTCAGGCGACATCCGCGAAATAAAAGCAGGGGGGGGGGTCCCGACCGCTGTAATAAAATTGATTAGGGTCCTCCCAGAATAATAATACTATACCCCCGCTCAAGGTTTGTGAGCTGGAGTCAATCCTAAATGAGTCCTAAAAATGTCCTATTGTCCTAAGATTAACCCTGTTAAAAAAGAGATTTTTAATGAACGATATTATTTGTAGACCCTAAAACCACCGCTCCGCGCTGCGCTCGCTTCCGCAAGAACATCCGCTTGCTAAAACAAGTTCTTCTTTAGGTTTTAAATGGACAAATTGGTAATTTATGTGTTAGTTTAGGACTAACTTCGAAGTACTTCCTCAGGGTGGGAAATATTGCAAGCAGCATCATATGGTACAAAATTTAAACCTGTACCTAGCTACGCAAATGTACAAAAAAGCTTATTCATAATTTAAGCCACTCACAGACAAGCCGGGCGTTTTTTTACGACAATGGGAGCACCCTCTAAATCGGAGCAGGTTTTCAACCAATCCGACCATATTTAGATAGAATTTTAAAAAAAATTATGTGTGATACAACTTATTTGAAAATGCATACGATAAAAATATTCAAACGTTTCCGACGGTAGCCGATAGGAGAGGTTTCATTACACCGATAAAATTGCCGAGTAGCAGCCATGTCGATCGCGTCCCTGATACATGGTAAGAGTAAGAAGGATCGAACGACGGCTCTAGACTGTTTCGTTTCTGGAAGCCGAAGGTATGACACTTTTAGCCGCTCACGAACGCATTGGCGCTGATAAGACAAGGAAAGTGTTGCGTATTATGCTGGATAAGTACGCATATTGATTAGGTAGGTCGCCGGACAAAGTATTAGTCACCAATACTTGTTTTGGCGTACTATGGAAACGTAGTGAGCTACTCAGGCCCCAACTACAAAAGATTCTCCCGGGACTCGGTAGGTACTGCACAAATCGAGAGGAAAGCGGCAGCGAGTGAGTCGCTCCACCGTGCTCAAATCAAGATTTGGAATCAATTGTGTGACGGTACACTACGACATCGGACAAGAGCTATATCATGATTCCGCTCTAGTCGCTATAATGTGGCAATTGTACGGCTGTACTTTGGACGCGGAACAAGTTGAAAAACAACAACTGTGCCGGGTACTTAATATTCACACTGACCATTTACTAAATACTCTAGCATATTATCAATTGTAAAGAAAGTGATTTATTCCTTTGGTTTAAGAGCGCTAACACTGCAGGGTTTCAGGGCACGTATTTTGTCAAAGCGCTAATATGTAAAGCGGACAAGTTAGGCTTTCCTGCTAATATGTAAAGCGGACAAGTTAGGCTTTCCTGCTAATATGTAAAGCGGACAAGTAAGGCTTTCCTAACTTGTCCGCTTTACATATTAGCAGTAGCTTTAGTGATCCAGATCTCACCATGTATGCCCACGTTTCCTTTGTTTCTGAACAAGAAGCGCAGCTCCGTGAACATTCAATATCTGCAGAAGTTGTCGCTTGTCGAGCTCCTGGAAATCCAATACGACCAGACGGCTGCGCAAAATTCCTCGAGCTTGACAGCCACGTCACTTCCTGGAGCACATGCATACGCTAACAAGTTGTTAGCTAGGGTCAAAGAGAATGCCAATATTCATAGTGCCCGCGTCAAACCTGGTCTCACCTCCCACTCGTTTTGCCGCGGTGGGGTATGCACACAAACGATGGAAGCGTTGCCGAAAACAGGATTATTAAGCGCGGTGGCTGGTAGCTCGATCGCGTAAACACTGCGTTTGGCTACATTCGCGGGACGACACAGGCGGGCCAGCAGGTATCCCGATGTCTAAGCGAATGGAAGCCTAAAGATGGAGCTGCCGCTCGCAGCACCTGATACACCAGTTCTTGGTCACGCGTTCAAACGACAGGCTGTAATTTTCTCGAACGCGTTGGAATTTGCTGGTCAAACCCTCAACCTTGACGAAGGCGCAGCCGAGGTTCTAACCGCCACGTTTGGCTTGCACTATCCGGACATGCTCCGCCTCTCCCATCTCAGTCTCATTGTCTCTAACATGTGTGACGCTATGAAGGCACTATCCGTCTCTGAATCAGAGCTGCTAGCCTGGGGTGTGACATCCGTCGAAAGCCGACGAAAACCCCGTCTCGCTTAATCGCTGGAACTGGTGAAGCATCAAACCCAGCGGATCGACGTGCTCATTTTGCAAAACAAGCGGCTGGAGCAGCGCTTGGTGGTTGTGGAAGGCTAACTCTGACCGACAGGCTGCACCACGATGCAAGCAGCAACCACCGAGGACTCATCTACCGCACTTACACCCCAAGATCTACCACAGCCCGTACCCAAAGCGGACCGCACTTAGAAGAAAGGCGAACAGTCGCTGTCAGCTGTGTGGTTTGAGTGGTTTACTGCGGAGTCTCGTGTACACGCCGCGCAATCCATCAAAACGGCAAAGCTGTACGAGATTAGGCACACATGATGCCTTTAATACCGACTGGATTTGCGCTAGATGCTGCGTCTCCGGCGTTCAAACGCAAGATGCTAGCCCTGGGTAAGAAGACCAAAGATAATGCTCTAACATTCTTGAAGGTAAACGGGTCCTCGGCAGCTGCAGGCGGTACGACGCTGAAAGCTCATCGTAAACTCCGTAAGGCAGGGAAGCTTGACGCACAGTTTGTTCAAATTCACGACCGTATTGAGCGAGGAGACGTGGTTGATTCCACTCCACCTTCTGCCTTACCAGTATGTATTCGCTTGCAGACCCTACAGAAGAAAAACAGCATACACTTCACCGCGGCCATTGCATACATACTATAGGTAATTAAGCAGCTTGGTACACTTGATACATTTCGATCACCAAAGCATTCGCTATATACTACAAGCAAAGCTGCAACAGCAAGTAAGTGGACCCCAGCGTAGTCGAGTGATTCCAAAACAAACACTTACCAAATCGAAAAGGTATCTTGTGCGCGAGTCAGGATACAGATACCGTCGCTCTGGGCGTACAGGGCTCCCGCGGTGTGCCGTTCACGCTCCCGGGTCATTTTACATCACATGATCGGCTTTCGCCGACGGCAAGAGGCGGCAGGTGACGTATCTTGGGCATCTATATTGCGCGCGTGGGGCTCTAGTGGAAACCTTGTGGTCGCAAGAGAGTCGCCAATCGGCGCGCCATATTAACTACCGTCGGGGTGCTGGGCTGTTGTCGAAAATGACTGTGTGACCTTAAAGAGCGGAGATTTTAATTGTAAACTTTGTGTGTTTATTCCCGCGGGACAGATCACTGGTCTCGTCAAAGTCCGATTTTTAAACTGGTCGGAACCCGGTCGGACAGTTGGAATTTTACGGTATGATACCCTTTAGATTCCATCCACGTCTCGTTCATAGAAAAAATAAATCGGTCAATCCACCAATTAGATTGCACAATTAGTACGTTCTTATCCAATAACAAAGCCTTAAAAATAACCATCCTTCGTACCATCCGACCATATTTAGTTGGATTTTTCAGAATATGCTGGACTCCTTACGGTATGATACCCTTTAGATTCCATCCATGTCTCGTTCATAGAAAAAATTAATCGGTTAATCCACCAATTAGATTGCACCATTAGTACGCTCTTATCTATTGACAATGCCTTAAAAATAACCATCCCATTCGTACCATCCGACCATATTTAGTTAAATTTTTCAGAATATGATGGACTCCATTTAAATATTTATATAATTGCATATTTTAAAATTACCAGGAAGTTTCCAACCGAGATGGCGGTAGGCAGTTGTTTCCTAAAATACAACAGTTAGCAGAGCTGTGACCATGTCTATCGTGTCACTGGCGCCAGCTAACAGTAATCAGACCCGGGAGACGGCGATCAACTCGTTTATCCGTGGTCGGGATGATGTGGTATTTTTATAGACGCAGCCCCGATGCTGAGCAGCTCGAGAAGCGACAGCTTTCAATTTTTCCTGGTACGCTGTGATACAATTGTAATGCATTAACCTATGCAGGCTAAAGTGATTTTAGGGGAAGTGGTTTTCACGATTTAAAATATTAAGACGGCTTTATTGCAGAGTATATCATCGAGCAAGGTCCCGTCCAACTTCTTACCGTACCTTGTTTTTCCCAAGCTGCCGCTCTGATCATGCAAACAGCACCCTCCATCGCGACGTTTATTACTCCGTTTCTCAGAACAAGGCATACCGCGGCTGCTGTGGCTGACGTTGAAGACTTCAGCCTCGTCGAGCTTCTTGAGGTAGACGAAATCCACACGAGCTTAGAAGACACTAAGCCAACACTGGGGAGTAGGTCAGTCCCTGAAGCACAAGCATACGTAAACCGCTTGCTGATCAGAGTAAAGCGGTTTGCAGATAAGAAGCAAGAAAACCTTACGAATGGGTTTACCTCCCACTCGTTTCGTCGATGATCTGCCATGAACGCCGACGCCGGAAGTCTGCCCGAAACCCGGATCATTGAGCGAGGTGGTTGGCAGTTCGATGGTCTAAACAAGGCGTCCGGGTGCATATTAGGTACCACACAGGCTGCCCCAAAACATAGCGCGAGCATTGAGAGGATGGCGACCTAAGGAAGGCGCTCGCCTCCTGTCTCTATGTCCCTTGGAGTATCCAGTGCTAGCTCACGCCGAAAAGCTCAATGACTTGCTCTTCACGCACTCATTGGGCTTTGACGAGATTCCTATGAATATCGATGAGGACGATGCGGGGGTCTTAACGGCCACTCTCATTTTGCATTACCCAGAAAGGCTGCTGTTATCGCCCGCCAGCTACCTTGTTGCGCGAGTACGAGAAGTCCTGTCGGCACAAGCCATAGGGAAAGCGGAAGTACACGCATGGAGCGAACCGATCCGTCGGGCTTTCACCCCCCTCCCTCCCATCAGACCAAGCACGGATGGTCGCACTGATTCCCAATCAGTAGAGGTCCTAAACCTCGTTAAACGCCAGTCCAACCAAATTAGCGAGCTAATCCTACATAACAAGCGCTTGGAGGAACGACTATTAGCTATGGAACCAAAACTTTACTCACCGTTGGATGTAAGAGCTCGCATCGATCAGGTAGATGCTGCACCATCAGCCCCACGCCAGCCTTAACCTTCATGGGAATCTCAGCATAGTCAGCAAGGCGTATGTCACGCCGTGTGTCCCAAGAAGAAGGGCTCGCAATCGCGTTCGGCAGTGGTATACGGTTGAGCGACGCTTGTACGCTCCACGCTCTGTAGAAAAAGGCAATGCTGTACGAGTTCAGACACACCGTAGGGTACATGCCGCGCTTATCCGCTGCGCCGCAAATCTGAAACTGGGAGCTATTCTCTCCCTATATATACACTTGACCCATCGTCTCTCATGCAGCTACTGCGATTCTTCACGCGAAGATCGCAGTGCACACTTGACTCGTCTTCTGTATGTCGCCAGAAGATCTCAAACCGGTTGCCAATCCAGGGGTTGGTGGCTTCTCGGCGGGCTCTGACTTTTCGTCCTGCTTTCTGGTCCGTTGATGCTCCACCCGCTGCTCTATACCGGCTCCTTGGTCATTGTTAAAGTAAGCATCTACGACGTGATGATGACTATCTAGTGGAATATAATTGTGCTATTTCATATAGAGAAATCATATTTAACTCGACTGGTTGGTGGAGAATAACACCTCTCCAGAACATCAGACCCTCTACAGTAATTCATCACTTCTTCTTTTACCATCTTCACCACACAAGCGTCTTCTCCTTTTACACTCAAGACTTCCTTTCCACTATCGCCGCCTAGACCACTCTAATTTTGTCTTCACTCCATACTGTACTGCCCTAATAACCCTGGTCAAATCATCCCTTCAACAGTCGCGACTCCTTTAATAGGGCACCCCAAGCGGATTTCATCCGCTTATTAACGGGTATTCCGATAATAACTTTGCAATAATATTATCAATGCCTTCAGGGTATACATGTATAACCAAAGCGAAAATGATTTTTTTTTTCAATGAAATTAAAAAGAAATGAGTTTTAAGTACCGGTATATCGGAAAGTACCTGTAAAAATTAAATATTGAAATTGATATCTGGCTTCTCAAAAAACCATTTTATTAGTTGTAAAAAAACTGTTTTGAAAATCCAATACAATGATTATTTCGATCCCGTATCTTCAAATAGCACGTGTATTTCAATGATACCGGATTTACTTTTGGTAGATCTTCTGCGTCACTACTGCAATCGTAGGTAGTCAGATCATCGTGGTATAAATACAACCCGCATCAAAAGTTAGGACAGGGTTGCCATGTGATTGATTCACGGTTGAACAAGTTAGTAAACCTTGTGTTTGCGAGGTGGAACAAGTAAGGCTATGAGCAGCTCACTGAGCTCCCCATGATTTATACTAGTGGGGGTGTTCATTGGTCTGGTGAAAAAGAGGAAAACTGCACAGGACGAGAAGCTATTAGGAAAGTAAAAACTGCATGCATTTGAGTTGGCTTCGTTTTCAGCTAAAACAGAGAAATCCTCGTTACGAGGGAACCATGAGTTCGCTCACGGTTGAAGGCCACAAGCTGCTTGCTTTGTGTCGCGACATCTAGTTGAGAGTCCCCGACACAGCTCCGACCTTGGTGGTGGCAGTTCCTGCAGCACTCTTCAAGTAGCACACAGGCTGACCGGGGTTGTTGTTGATGTACGTGTACGCCTTGCACCCGGCCGTGCTAGCGCAGGTATCGCAGCAAAGCGATGGGAGGCTCACGTAGACAGTCTTAATGTCATTTCCGTAGTAATCCTTGTCAGTGAGTTGCTTGGAGCATTTAGCTGGTGGTTGGATGCACTGGTAAAAAGTGTCGTTCCACGGCTGGCAATAGTAGCCGCTCGGGCAGCACGTAGCTCCGTTACTGGAACCACAGGTGCCGTATGGTGCCGTGGTGCAGGTCGGCGATGATGGCGTTGGCGTTGGCGTCGGCGCCGGGGTCGGGGTCGTTGACGATCCCGTCAAGATACCCGAGACTGCTCCAACGGAGGGTGTTCTGGTTCCGGTTCCGCTCTTCAGATAGCATGCCGGTTGACCCGGATTGCTATTCACGAAAGTGTAAGCCTTGCAACCAGCAGTCTGGCTGCAGCGCGTGCAACACTCACCGGGCTGAATGCCGTAGATGGCCGTGATGTCGTTCCCGTAGAAGTCGACGTTCGGGAACTGCTGCGTGCACTTGGCGGGGAGATTGAGGCATTGGTAATAGTTGGTATTCCAAGGTTGGCAGTACTGCGAACTCTGGCAACAGCTCGCTCCGGCGGCATCGGAGCCACAGTTTCCGAAAGAGGGAGTCGAGCACGCACCGGAGGCGACAGCAGCGAGACCAGCGAAGGCGACGGTAATGCGAGCGAGTCATCACCACGGTACAGTTTTGCTGAATGTATCCACTGACAGCAAAATGGATGCAAAGGATTCCGCTGTTGGAGTTTCCGAAAAATTGAAATGGATATTCCGGTGTCGAAGTAGTACTTCAAATAACCAACAGAAATGTAGGCAAGATCGACTCGGCTTAGGATGACAACGGACCTTGATTCCTGAGTCAGGTACCCTGAGTCAATAGGGAGCTTCGAAGTTCGTGCTGAAGTTTATTATGCTGAAAAATTGAGCATGGCGATTGCAATGGCTGGAGCGGCTGCCACAAGCTTTTAGACGGGGCGTGGTTGTTGCCAACCCAACTGCGGTCGATAAAAACGGTGGAGAAACAATACGTAGGGAGTACGGTATTATTCGTCCGGTGGTAATACAAAGTGAAGACTAAAAGGGGCGTTATAAAGAAGGTCGAGTACGAGGGCCCATTAAGCGGTGGCAACGAGGCAGCCACCCGCCCAACGTATAAAGAACGCCAGATCGCCTCGGTGACTACTTGGTGGCTTGCGCAATGACTTCGTGGCGTCAAACAGCACTTGTCGTCGCGGTTTGAATCTATCCGGTGAGCTGAGCACTTACGAGACGGAGACGCGCGAGTTGTACAGGACGGGTCATGGACATTATAGCGTAGAATTTCTACCCTGCGTCGGTCGCGTTGTCGAGTCGTACGTGAGAGCATTGGGCATTGAGGTGACGGACGAGATCCAACAATGGAGAGTTCAGCTGGAACTCGAGCGTCGAGAACGCTTGCAAGTTAGTCAGGAAGATCTAGACGACGAGAAGCGGCTGGTTGAAGCCATGGGGGACGAGACGCAGAAGATGAAGCTACTGACTTTGCTGAAGCACGGCTTAGCCCACTATGAGAGGAGCAGGATGTCGGTGGTGACCTTCTGATTTTGTGCTAGTGGGGGGTCCTCCGAGCTGGTTCTTGTCATCAAACGACCTGATGTGTGACCAAGGAGGCATCTGCTACTTGGACGCTGTTCGCTTCAGCAAATGTGAACAGAGGACGTCGTGCGAGGGAGCCACCAGAGCTGGGAAGACGAGGAGGAGGCGTGTCTGCGTCAAGCAACAATATGGGCAGATATGAACCACCCTCATGTGGCAAAGATGACTGCAATATCTCCACGAACGCGAGCTCGGATACTACTGAAGTAAAACTTTAATAACAAGAGGCTGTAGCTCGGCACCTTGCCACAACTACTGTTGTTCATCCGTGATTCATCCCGATTCGTCCCGATTCGTCCGGCACGGATGAATATTCATCCGTGTGATAGGATTTATTAGTGGACTGAAATAAATGGTGTTTAAATTACCCAAAATCCTATCGCTAGCCAAGCTTCCTGCATAGCGCAGGAGCCTCGACGTCGATCACGCCACGCTTTAGTGCGAGCCATGACCTCGCACTATACAGAAATCATGTACTCTGTTACGATTTCTTCATCCACAGGTAGAAAATCTTCGTCTGCCCAGTGCGTTCCGTCAAACCACTCATATCCTTCTTGAGATGCAGGGTCTGCAACCAATCGTTCCAGTTAGCAAATGCTCTCCAAAAACTCAACGCTGTTAGCAAAGTCGCTCTCTGTGCTGCTCGATGAGTTGCTCTCTGAAGTCCGAACAAGGTTGACTGGATCGAACACGATGGGTGCGTTCGCGTCCTTGGCCCCGTGGTTTGAGTAAATGAACGCCAGCTTAAAAACCCTGCTATTGCTTAGCGGATGAGTGAATAAACTTGAAAATACTCCACGATCGCTCTGACGCCGCTGAAGACGTCGAAACTGTGAAAATTCGTAGCTCCACTAGTTGTGACTCACAACTAGTGGAGTGCTAAGTGGACTGGACTTGTAAAAGAGAAGTGTCAACCTCGTTGCAACGGGGCGAATCAAATATTTTGAACATGCGGGACTTGGCTGCAACACTCTCACAGAATGACGACGACGACCAAGTCTCTGATCTGCATACTGCTAGTGTGGCGAATGGCATTCTTGCCCTTGGACTGGCCATCTACAACACGCGCCAATGGGTTTCCATCTACAGTGACGCGTGCTGCCAGATGAGCGTCCACTGTTTCTAAACGAACAGGAATTGGACTTGGTGACACGAATGTGCGCGAGTATACCGGATAGGAGAGTCAGTATATGCATCAACTTCGCTCGTTCGTCAAGAATGTAGAACCCAAGGGAACCGACAAGATGCCATCCGTGGATCTGAGTGTGAAAGTGGATTCGGAAGAAGTTCTGAATGAGTCGAGAACAGAGAAGATATTTATGACTGGCAGATCAAGTGGAACAAACTGCGTCTCGAGCAACTTTGTGTTCTTGAGGCAGGCTTCAAAGGCCTTCTTGAGGCAGGCTTCAAAGGCGCAGAGGAAAGCTGAGAAACCTTAAAGAAGACAGACTTATGGCTCAAATGCTGCTTCAGTTCGAGTTGCATAAACGTCGAAGTTCGTAGCCGGACTCTGTTTTGGAGGTAATTACCAAGGCCCTTACGGTATCGAGGACGACAGGTAGCGGTGCCAAAAGTGCTCCTAGCTGGTTTATTCCTCCGTACGAGGTGGTTCTGAGTAAGTGCATTGGGTATGATGACTTCGAAGAAGTGTATTACGAAAAATGGTTCGATACAGAAGTTGTGATAAAGATCCCGATTAGCTACAGACTCAAGTAGAATTTTAAGAAACGCGTCCTTCGCCACCAGCAAGGACCAGTGGAGCGAGTGAAAAAGATGTGATGGAGCTGTTCCGACGTGAAATAGATCACTGGTTTATGCTGTACCATCATAGTCGTTCGTCTTTTTGAAGCGTGCCATGTCGAACTCCTTTCATCGTCTGCGAGCCAACCAAGTCTTGGGTATCTGAAGCTGCGGTGGAGTTCCATGTGACTAGGCGTAAAGCACTCCCACCTCGTCCCCAGAAGCTTACCGACTTTCAGTGGAGTCTGATCTAGCACATGTGTTGCTATGAGCCTAGCGAGCGAATTAGACTCGATGCCGTCGTGGACATGCTGCACGCTTGACAATGTGTAGCAGACAAGTCAGCCATCTCACCCATTCTCACCCTATTGCGCTTTTGGGAGTAGAACGGCGTATATAATCCGTTATTGGATGGGTGCATCTTAGAAAAAATGATCCTACATATGTAGTTTACAAGTGCAAATTTCTAGTATGAAACTGCTAAGTACAGTGCTCCAAGATGATATCCACCAGAACCCACCTCATCAGCATTGTTTCCTCGTGGTATCTCGGTGATAAGCTGGCATTGTACGACGACAAGGCTCGATTCTTCAAAGGACCCGATTTGCTTCCACAGTTTTGCCATACCAGAGGATGAATCAGCTTCTTTGGTTTCAGGAAGCTGAAGATCGTCACACGACAGTCTCAGCTCGTGCTCTCGAGACTTCTCCGAACCAGTAAACCATACGTGTGCTTCCACCGAAGCATGACTCTGGATAAAGCCTGTCTTTTTAGATTTTTCGTCCTGGCGCAAACGATAGCGATAGTATCGCTGCGTTCGAGATTCCATCGTCTTTCGGCTCTCCTGGTCTACAATGAGCTCGACTTCCACCATGTCAGCTTCACTCTGAGCCGGTTCCTCATTGTTGTCCAGCTCCACAATCAACGCATTCTTGTCTGGAATAGATTGTTTGTGTGCTGAGTTTAAAAACTCGAGCTTAACGCGAGTAGGCACAAGATCCACCAGATCTCTTTCACTGTCATTGTTGTCTTCAGTATTTTCGTCGTCGTCATTGGCTGCTGAGTTTCCACCTTCCAGAAGTTCCTCGACTCCTTCCATTTGATACAACTCAGCCAACGCCTTGAGGTCCTCTCCTCGGCTAAAGCTAACACTACGCTCGTCGAATTCACGGGCTAATTCCTTGTATCTTAAACGAAATGTACGCAGTATACTGTCGCGCAAATACGGCACCGCTTCCATGACCAGACCATTCTTGCCCAGTACAGACGTACTACCCACCTGTACAATAGCGAGTTCATCCAGATATCGCTGAACGTCTGCGAGAAGAGGAAGTTGATCCACCAGTAGCTCATTCAAATACTTGCGGATGCGTAGGAGCTGATCCTTCCGATACTGCGTCACCTCATAGTGCTCACGAGCCGACTTGGTGCACAGTAAATAGTAGATCGTTAGCCAAATCTGTGCTTCCGTTGTCGTCAGTGCCAGTAGATCACTAGGCTCTACAAGTACCCATTTCTGGTCGACAAACTTCTTCCACTTGACTTCAGTTCTCAGTCTCTGATCTTCACTGTCTTTTGCTGGTGGTAACTTGACGACAGCCTTGTGTGTCCATGGAGGGTTCTCAACAAGCGCCACGAATGTGAGAAGAGCGTCGTGTTTGTCCAATAGACGGGATACAACACTCAGTGGGAGAACATGAAGTCTCTCCGCCACATAACGTAGTATAGTGACAGTCTGCACAGCCACACGGAACTCGATCTCCATTCGCTGTCGTTGCAGCTCTTCACGAGGACTTTGAGCTCTCATCATCTGTACCAGTTCCGATCCAGATTTGTGGAAGCTCGTGGCTTCTGCAATACGTTCACGAGGAAGACCAACCAGCCATGAAAGCTTGCGCATGCAGTAGTCGACGAGTTCGAGTAGTAGATCATCAGTCAGACTCTCCACCACGTGCTCATGGAAGAATGCGACCTCCAAAAGGTTTGTCAAGGTCGCTTCGTGATACACAACGAAGTACAGTCGTAAGGACGCAGCGTCTTTATCTTGGCACTGAAGAAGTGGCAAGATGTTCGCCTTCCAAAGCTCCAGGGACAGCAAATTGCTGATTACGGCTGGGAACTTGTCGAAAGTCAACAAACTCTCCACTACAAAATTGTCTTGCTTGCGTTGTGCAGACTGATGCGCCTGCAGGTTCAGCTTCTCCATGGCATGGTGGTGCTCGAGCCATTGGGTGGATCGCCCAATTTGCTCCAGTGTTTGACCTTCCAATCGTTCCACGATCTGCTCCGCCTCAGTTGGCAGCACTAAATACTGCGCTCCGAATACGTCACTGTGGGATACAAAGGTAAGCATTAATTAAACGACAGCGATCGATGGGAATAGCTTACGCACCTCATTGTTCAGTTGATTGCCACCTGCTACGGAAACTTGGACGCAATTCAAATCGAGATATGAAGGCGTCGGTTGATTTCTGGAAGATCCGGTGCTCATCAAGAGTCGCCTCGCACCAAGGAAGAGCCTTTATTTGAAACAAGACGACCTAGATTAAATAGGCTTTACAAAATTTGTAAAGCCTAAAAAAGCTAAATTAAATTCTTTTCCCCAAGCAAGAAGAACATAGGTAAAACAAAAACTGACAATATTTTTAATTGGCAACAAATACCTGCAAGCTTCGTTTCACCATGGATCTTGCACTTTGCCCCGCTGTGTTTGATAATCGCTTTACACTGCAACATAGCCTAGCATTTACACAGCAGCGAACTATTGCAACAACTGATTGCTTCAGATACGTAGTTGTCACTTTTCAAGTAGAGTACGCGTCGGTTCACGTGGAGCTGAGATTCCTTGGGAAGAAGCGTCGCTGATTGTGTTTGGGACGTTTTAAAGCGGCAGAAATACTTGGGAGTGCCACTTGCGTCTGGTGGGGGCGATTTTTTTTAGAGGGTTCTTCTTGCTCACGATAGCAATAATGGATGAAGAACAAAAGCTTGCTTTCTTCTTGGAATGGGACGACCCACAGTCGGGTCTGAAGAAAGGCTACATCATGCACTACCACGGAGACAACACCGTCGAGCTCGTGAGTTCATTTCTTGACATTTGTAATGCAATATAGCTGGTCTTCACGATAATTGGCGCATTATGCTGTTGATTTTTGCAGGTGGAGCGGAAGACAAGAAAGATCTTCTTGAAACGTATCCCGATACCCACAGTCAGTCTCGACGATCTCTACGTCGGGAGTTCTATCACTGTGTAAGCTTAGAGCCAACGAAGAACTGACTTGAGAACTCATTTTTCTGCCATTCGTTGCCATAATACAGGTACTCTAGACAGCTCACAATCATAGAACCTGCCAACGAATTCACACGGAAAATGCTTCAGCAGCGAGAAGACAAAGCAATTTTTGTTATTACACCGGACGGGTACGCTCACATGGGACGCATAATCCAGCTCATCGAACAAAGTGGTGTATCTGTACGCGATATCCGAATGGCGCATCTGCAGAAATCTCATCTAGCAACACTGGCAATCACCGACAATAACCAGCAACGAGCACTGGTCAACGATGTGTCAGTACTGGTAGAAGTCAGACTTCCTAATCCAAAGGCCATCGAGGATGTTAAAATGAAACTGGGGTCTGTAGACACAGTGCTGGTCGTTAGAACGGGACTGGAAGTTTTCAGCGGAAGGGATGTCTTCCCAACTACGGCTGTGCTGGATAATTGCACTCTGTGTCTCATTCGTCCACGAATTGTCCGTGAAGCTTGCGTGGGTGAGATTCTGGATGCTATCATTGCAGCAGGCTTTGAGGTATCAGCTTTAAAGCTGGTGCACTTCCAGATGAACGAAGTCGACGAGCTTTTCAAGATCTACAAAGGTGTCGTCCGTCAGTACCATGTACGGGTTCCAGGCTCTTCTGCGTGGTTTTTTGGGTTGCTACTGACTAATTTCTTGTAGGAAATGCTCAAGTACATGTGCTCGTCGCCATGTCTAGCTCTCGAAGTTCGTGGTGACGACGTGGTGCGCCGATTCCGCGAGTTTTGCGGCCCATTTGACGTCCAAGTCGCGAGAGCGCTACGACCCGACTGTCTTCGTGCCAAGTTCGGTCGCTCCGCCATTTACAACGCACTCCACTGTACCGACTGCCCTGAGGACGGAGTTCTCGAATGCCAATTCGTCTTCAAATCACTCTTCTCATAGACACAACCACCAGGACACAAAGATGAAAATTGAAAAAAAAACAATCAATTCTTGTCTCTAACTCTCTCAGTAAGTTTATCCACAGCCCGACTCCGTAGACTGGTACGCGAACTCGACAACTTTGCCATCTTTTGTACGACGGAAGCGAGTTTCAACGGGATCGAAACCCTGTTCCTTCGAGTCGTACACTGCCCAGTATGGAGTAGGAGCAGTGTAGTCATCAGCAGTGAACGGCGTGCCATCCTCGTAGTACTTGGCGATGAGTTCGTGGAAGCGCTCGTAGTCAATCCACGTGTGCCACACACCTTCTCGGCAGAATTTCTTCTTAGCAATCAGCACGCAGTTGGAGTGGGAGTGCTCAGATGCCAGGGCGTAGTCACCACTCACGCGGTCGCACAAAGCCGAGCAGAAGCCACGCACTTCCTCGTGCCAGGGCACATTCTTCATGGTCAAATCGGAGCCATCTGACTTTCCACAGTACGTCACGGCCTTCACCTCAATGAAGTCGGGCTGACCGATGTTGATCAGTTCTGCGTAATTATCCAGTTCTTCCATGTTGTACGACTTGACCAGGGTCAAGCGATACACGGTACGCTGTCCCTTGTGCTTGAGCTCTTCCAAACAAGCCAGGAAACGTTCCCAGAAGTCCTTAAACAGCGGACGATCCACAGCACGTAGTGACTCCTTAGTAGCGGCATCAACACTGACATACAGTTGCGTGATGGGGTCCAGAGCGGCAATTTTCTCGGGGAACTGAGCGTTGGTAACTAGGAAGGACGAGATGTGGCGGTTGTGGAGCTGCTTGCAGAACTCATTGATCTGCGGGTACATGATAGCTTCACCCACAAGTGACAGCGCGCAGTGACGCACTGTGAACGCCTCATCCCATCGCGCAGGGATCAGCCCAGGCAGTCCCTTGAGTTCCTTGATCATGTTCTGATGACGTTCTATCGAACCCTTGACGAGAGTCTCAGCGTCGTCGGTCTTCCAGCGCCACACACGACCCACTGGGTTCTTGTGGTGACGCCAGCAAAAGACACACTTGTTGGCACAAGCCAGACTAGGCGTCGTCTCCATGCACTGGTAGCTCGTGATCCCGTAGAACGCGTGCTTGTAGCAACCTCCACGTCCACGGAGTTGGTGCTTCGTCCAGCGACATAGCTTGACAGCACTGTGGGTACCGATGATCTTGTAGCCTTCCTTGGTAAGAGCCTTGCGCTGCATCGGCGTCACCATCTCCCGAGACTTGCTAGCAGCTTCCGACTCCTTCATCGACTTCCCGATATCCTCCACATCCACCATTCCGCTGTCATCGTTGGCGTTTTGTTTACTCTGCTCTTCATCATCCGAGAACTCATCCACCAAGAACTGCTCGTTCATCATATCTTCTTCATTCAGCTCCACTTTGTCTCCGTTCTCTTGTGCCTTCTTAGCTCTCTTCTGACGACGGAACTCTTTCTGTGACAGCCACTTCTTGCCATCCTTATCAGCCTTCACAGGGCTGCTTGACTTCTTCAGTGCAGCCACGGCCTTCTCGGAGCTGTGCTCGCACATGGCAGCCACTAGGTTGTCCATCCAGACATCGAATTGCTTGAACTGGTCCACATTGTCGTCGCCCAGACCTAAAGAAACAAGCGACGGAGATCCTAGATCTGATAGATCACGGTCTAGATTTTTGGCAGCTGTGCCGTAGTCCTCGTCGTACTCAGCGTTGCCCAGGCCGAAAACGGCGTGTTGTACACCATTTAACCAGTTCTTAGACACACGGAAGTCCTGCGTCATGTCTGTGATCCAGTTGCAAAACATTTTGGCGTCTTCAGGAGGCTCGCCGTGCGTCCATGTGGACAGAATAGCCACCACAATGGCCTCCTGCTCCAGATTGTCTTGATCGTAGTCCTTCATGTTCACGACGCTCGTCTGGAAGTGGAAACCGGAAATGTTGAGCGCGAACAACGTCTTTTCCAGCGTCTCGGCCATCGTCTTGGATGCGCCAGTCTGAGTGCCGTACAAGATGCGCACAGTCATGGGCTTAGGCTCGGAGTTGGTCTTGGCAGTCTGTTGCGGCTTCTTCTTGGCCTTGCGCTTGGGCGACGTCACGACTGCGTCACTTCCAGGGAGAGTACGTGGATGCGTCTGAAGGTAAAGCAGCACACCTACTGCAACAAGCAGCAGGCTCACACCAGCACTAGCCGAAGGCGACAACATCTTCCAGCTGCTTTTAATGAAGTGAGCTAGCTGCTCACCACCCGAACGGTTAAACGGGATCAGATTTGAAAGAAGGTACACATTTTCTGATTCGGTTGGACTTAAATTTGTGCAGGAAAAATCTGGTACGCAATTCAATTTCGAATCGTGGCCACCGCCTGTGGCTGTGCTGATCTGCCCCCAAGTCGCACAACCGTCTAACAAGCGCTTCAGATCCTCTAAACTTCAGAGACCTCAGAGACAATGGCCAGCAAGGGAACGTCGTTGTGGCGCATGGCGGGTGTGTCGTACCTGCAGTACGTGAACAAGTCGGCTGGTGTGCTGCGTGCTGCCCTGAAGGAGCCCGTTAAGAGCACCGTGGAGGCTCGTTCTAACGTTGAGTTTGCCGGCTTCAAGTGGGCCAACGGCGAGCGTGGCGAGCGCGTGGACATTGACTCCATCAAGAAGATCGCCGAGGCTTTCAAGACGGCGTAGTTGGACAGCAGTTGAGTACGTTAGCTGAAAGATAAAAACGAGCGTCAAAGGAGCGAGAAGGAGACCCAGGACGAAAGCTGTCTTTATGTGCCTTAATGGCGACGGTGATCCTCCTCTTTTCTTGTTTCTTGGCAGATAAATAAATGCTTTGAAAGGCTCTTTGTGGGCCGACATATTTCAGATGTACATGTTTCCTTCATTCCTGCTCTGGCTAGAAAAAGGTGAAGTGGATGTGTATTTGAATTAACTTAGGCAACATGCAATGATGAGATGCAGACAGTGACGAGCTGAAGCGAGACCACGAACAGTTGAAAGACGGATCTGCTGAAACGGCACAACAATTGGCATGAATAGTCTGCAACGTCGACGAGTTAATGAAGATATGCGTCTCCGTCCAATACGCGGAGATACGACGCACGTGCGTACTTGTGACGTCGGTACGAGTCCTTGGCGTACTGGTATCCTAGCACTGGTGGCAGCACGACAACTGCCAGTCCTGCTCCGGCCACTGCCACGACTGCTGCTACTCCTACGATCGCTGTCTTAGTAACGACGCGCATTGGCGACCAGCAGCCATATTTGCGGCTCTTGGAGCGCAGGAAACTCAAAGGTAGACACAATGTTTCGTCATGGTTGTCCCAAGAACACAGACAAGACCAGCAAAACTCTTGGTCGCACTGGAAGCACTTCATATGCGAGCAGCCGCCCTGCTTTTCGATGCTAGCTTTGCAGCTAGGACACGCTCGAACATTGTGTCGTTTCTTCCAGTGCCCAAAGCGCTTCTCCACGCGACGACATGTCGGGATCTTGTGGAAGTCTCCGCCGCAGCGCATGCACGACTCGTGTTTGCATGCCTGACATTTAACTCTTCGTACTGTGGAGTTGAGTGGTTCTTCCAAGACAGCGCAGCAACCAGCACGCGGACAGAAGCGGATTCCCACCTTCTGGTTCTTGAGGAACTTCTTATACTTTGCGAGCGTATCAGGCGACACCAAGGCTTCAATGATCCCCTCGGACAGCGGTCGTGTGCACTGCGGCGCTGGACACACCATCTTCTTCTGGGAGACTTCACCTTCCAGCACTTTGTACTCGATGTACCAGCGCGTGCAGCTGGCGCAGAAAGATCCACAGCATGAAACACACACATGCGCTTGAAGAGCGTCCAACTTGTCGAAGCAGATCTGACACTCTCGCCGTCGCATTATGTCGAAGCCTTCACTCGAATCCATAACAGCGAGGCTACCGCCGGCAATAGTAGCAGGAGCGGACAAACTCATGATGGGGGCGTCCGCTCGCGGCTGTTCGTCGCCTCCTACCAACGCACTGCTGGAGATACTCGCCCGAAGCAAAGAGGACGCGGCGGAGAAGACTGCGACTCGAGCGTTAAGCTCGTCCAGCTGGGCGGCGTCAACTGTAGCTTCTTCTGCTTGGGCGAGAGCTCGAGAAAGTTGCTCCTCTGACTCTTCAAGTAGTCGGCGCAATGAGGCCGTCGACGACTCGGAAGATGAAAAGGACGAGGCGGAAGAGGGTGCCGGGCGACGGCCCGAATGAGAATAGGAGGATGGACGCTGCTGCTCCTGGAAGAGCTCGGCCATGGCGCTCTCGTGGAGCAGTCGGATGGGGCGCGGACTGAGCAGCGACGGTTTGAGCTGTTGCTCGTCTTCGAGTTTGGAGAGACTCGAGCGCTCCGCTTTCATGCGGTGCAGGTGTGCCTTGCCGCAGAAGGTTCGACGGCGCATCGCAATCTCCATAATCGAGTCTCGCGCTCTCTTGCGGCCGATGGACGGCGGAAGAGCAAGTGCCACGCAGCGGAGAGATTCCGGTCTGAGCACAGTGTAGGCAAGTAAGTTGCCGCACTCTTGACCTGAGTTTTCTCGACGAGTGCGACGTTCCATAGATACAACTCTCACTTTCTGTTTTTCGAGTCACCGCCGCAGATATTTTGGCACATGACGTTCCAGCAGTCAATCGTCTTAAAAAATGTATCCAAACTTCAATCTTCAACTTGTAGACAAAGAATTCTAAGGAAAGCGATGCGCATGAACTTTTCGCTGTTGTTTTTGTGAAACGGTGAAGTCCGTCATCTATCTACAGTGTCGTCTGTGGCTGTGAAGCTCTCAGCTGCCGGCTCCGGTGAAGCTTCAGCTGCGACGGAAGAGGGGCCCCGAGGTACATCTATAGAGGCGCGTCGCCGTAGCAGCAGCAACTTCACGGGCGGGTTGGTTGGCGCAGAGTCTGTCTTCTTTTGTTGCAACTTTTTAGCCGGGCTCTGTCGGACTTGTATCACTCGGGCAGTCGGTGGCGTCTAGCAAAAACACAACGTAGTTATCAAATACCATGACAGTTGCGTTGCACAGTGCAGCAGACGTACAGGAGAAAGCGGAGATGTCACGCTGCCACTGCGGGAGATATGGCTTCTTGAAGGCGACATCAAATTCTGTTCTCCAGCGACACCACTTGCATTTCGTGCTCTATATTCGCAGAAACGAAAAGAAGGAAGATGCAATTCCTCTGCGTGTTGATCAGTCCGTACTAGAACCAGTTTATTGCAACCAGGAAGAGAGCAGAACGTACTTTTCAGCGATTTTCTCAGCCTTCATCGCCTGCACCTCACGCTTCTTCTTGTCGTTCTGCATGCAGTTCAGATAGGCAGAAAAATGTTAGATGGTCAGTGCCGGATGCTACTGATGCGTCAAGCCTACCTTTTCCACCATCTCTTCGAAGCTCGTGCTGGAGCCATATACCTCGGTTCCGAAGAGCGCTTCTAACACCAACATCGCACCTCGGCGATGGTAGATCGACACACCGTCGACACGCGTTTCCGTCCCCATTTCATCCACAGCTGAACGCAGACTGAACCCCAAACCGAGGCCTAGAACACTAGGGCGCTTGCCTTTGAAAGGACCAAGCATCTGCAACCGCGCCTTATTATCGACTTTGACGACGCCATTGTCTTGGTGGAAAACGAGCGGATTTCCCGCTTCATCGAAGCCTGCAAGCATGTTTGTTTTGTAGCCGGCACCCCAGACAATTGCTCCTGCTGTCGCGTATGCTTTGTCGATGAGTGTCTGTGAGCCTTGTTGGTTCACTTGGAATAGCCTCACACGCACCTCACGACCTGCCTTCACGCTCTTAAAAAGTCGTTTGGCGTCTTCTCGAAGTCCCGTAAAAGTATTAACGCAACCAGACCGATCAACGCGACTTGCATCGACCCCGTCGACTTCAGCTTCCTTCTTGAAGCCATAATAGCATCGAATAGGAGACCGATGCAAGATCATGATATCCTTCGGATTGAAAATCGACTTCGGGGATGGAATATCGTTGCTGGTACCTGCTAATGACGTGCGCTTCATCTTTACAATAGCGGAAGTAGTGGGCTCACATTTTTTAATGGTGAGAGGCGATACAGGCGCCGTGGCTATCACAGGAGCTCCGATGGCGAGTTGGGGCGTGGCTAATGGTGTTTCGGTCTCCTTAATGTTCTTTTGCGGATCTGGTAGAGATTGCTTCTTTGGGCTTCCTGCAATCTGTGAACCTTGCCTCGTAGCGGCTGCTTTTGGATCCATAAACTTGTTTACCAGAAGCCATGCCACCGAGAATGAACTGTGAGATCCACCGACAATGCAGACTTTCCGTTTTCCTACAGGCAGAGCAAGAAGGTGCTCCTTGAGTTTTGCAAACCCGTCCTCCCGTAGACAAGAATCTGAGGCAAACAGCTTGGAGTGATAAGCGGGGTTGTCTAAGGAAGGCAGCTCTTGTGTGCCTCCCGTTGCCAATATAAGGTGTTCAGTGTAAAGTACCACGGTGCCGTCACTACTAGCAGTGTTTCGAGCTTCCACACGAATTAAACCACTCTCCAGAGCTACGTACTTGGTTGCAGCTGTATTCAGCAGCACTTTGCTGGTATCAGGAGCTTTATCAGAGATTTCTTCAATCACACACGCTCCGACATGACGCAGGAAGCGACCGATTTCAGTGAGATTCCCAGGTGCTGCACCGATTTCTTCCAGACGCTTGGCGCTTCCGTGGACACGCACTTTCTCCAGGAACGTGTTTACAATACTCTCCGGCGGGTCTAGTTCCGGTTTCTCGTCCAGAACGCCAGCTAGCAAACCGCATGCAAAAGTATTCGAGTTGATGATATATTCACCTAAATTGCCACCACCAAAGGTGTTCACATCGCCTGCATGGAGAATTGCGACGCCCATTTGCTTACATCCAAGTTGAGTGCTGAGCTCGGTATCCTTTGTCGTTCCATGCTTATCCGGATTCAACAATCGAGGTAGTAAACCTCCTCGAGCCGCTCGTACAAACACACCGATCCCTGCTGGGCCTCCGCCCACAACCACAGCCTTGTAAACCTCTTCATTGACAGTCATCAAGTTCGAATTGTTTTGCAGGGCGTCAGTAGCTCGACGGACTTCCTGTGTCACCAAAGAAACAACTGTCAGCTTGAGCAGCAGGGGCAGAGTGAAGGCATATACATAGAAATCTAAAAGTGTTAGACATCCACAAACCTGCACTTTGCTTTTCTGGTCTCATCTCGTCTTCCGTGTCTTGGACGAAGATCGTAACGGTGTAGAATAGCTAGCTCGTAACTGCGGATCCGAGCCAAGTGGAGTGCGCAAAACAGACCGACCACTGGATATGCGAGCGCGAACACTGCGCAACTCTGGAGTTCGCTCAACTTCCGATCGCTTTCTTGAAGGCGTCTTCTTTATCCCTGATAACCGCGAGTTAGAGTTGCGATAGCGCTATTCAAAAAGTAAAACGAACACCGCAATAATGTTAGAACTGATGTTACATAACACCGTTTTCGCATGAAGAGAGGATACTCACGGCTTGAGACTCCAGTCGATTGGCGAGTTTTTCTCGTTGTGAAGTTTCTTGCACTTCGAAACTGGGGGTACTCCGGCTGCGTTCTATGGAAGTGGAGATAGCGGACGTGTTAGCTCGGATTTGGTGTTCCAAACAGTCCTTGTACCTACCTGGTGTCGCTTGTGAGCCTAGCATCGCTGGTGTGCCCTCGATATCCCCCCAAGTCATCAGTGGGCTTGCATCCACACCTGGAGCAATGAGCGGTGTCATCGGGACCAATGAATAGTCCTTCTGTGCAGACGTTGAATCTCCTCCAGAATCGGATCGAATAATCTGTTAAAGGTTAGGCAAAACAGCACAGGGTTCAGTTAGCTCGGCAAACATGAACTGGTAGATGAAGGGCATACCTTTGTACCATCTGAACAAAACCTAGAGTTTGCGTAGACAATCTTCTTTCCCGGCCTTGGTGGCAATCTTAAGCGTGACTTTGAGCTGTTTTCGAGTAGCAACTGACCTCTTGCTTCAGCTTTAACCTGATGCGTTGAAGCAATGTCAGTTAGCGAAATACCGATAGGACAAGCAAGGATTTTTAATGACTGCCAGCAATACCTACCTGACAGATATCTCGCGTTGCGTCAAGCTCAGGAGGGAAGAGTAGTGGGTTCCTTGCACGATATGTCCATGTCTCCGGAGCACTTGGTCTATCGTCCTTCGGACCTGATGTATCAACAAGGAGTATCGACATTGATAAGTCGAAGCTTCACGATCACCAAGATAAAAGCAGTGTCTAACCTTTAGGAGCACAAGCTGCGTCTGCAATCTGTCGCTGTTCCTTCGAAATCCACGTCCCATTCGTCAACAAGTGAAGCTTCGGGTCGCCCTTGTCCTTATCGTCGTCAAACGCCCAATGGTATCGTCGTTGATGATCTTTCACCGCTTTTTCTTGCAGTTCGTTGAATGATTCGTTGTCCTCGGAAGTATGGGTCGCAACGAAATGGTTCAGCGTCATGGATGCCTTCGTACTATCGTGTCCATCTTCATCAAGTGCGTACTGCTCCACCATTGGAGTAGGTTGATCCCATCCTGATTCATTAGCGTTGCTACGCACAGATACAACGCCTCGAGAGGTCGAAGCAGCACGTAATGTTGTGTCGGTCCACGGCAATCCTTCTTCATCTCGTAGCAGCTGCAATTGGAAAACAGCAACATAAATGTTTAGTGACACAATGGACGGCATTCAGGGCACTGGTGGCTGTGCGAAGCGCACCTCTGTCTGCTTCTTGAGCTTGGGTAGGTCTGGGAAGAAATCGCGCTCGATGATCTGGCCAAGCGCCTCCACATACTCGTCCTCTTCTAACACCACCTTCTTGCTCATGTTGGTCTCAAAACGGTGACATGGAAACCACAAATCTTTCAATATTTACAATTCTAGACCGCAACAAAGTGACAATCACTCTGATAATGCAACTTTACCTCCGTTGAGCCGTACCAACAGAAGAACTACATTCTATTCGGATTCGTACATGTCATCGTATACTGCACGTGCTGCAGTAATGATATCAGCTAGATCTTGCGGCAAGTCTTGCGTCACGGCCGACGTTGGAGCGGTATCATCCAAGAGTATCTCGGGTGAAGTGCTGGACACGATAACTGCGTGGGGGATAGCGCAGGACCAGGACTGGCACGGTAGCTGCGAGGTGACCGAGCGTGGACGACACATGCACGCAGTTAGACGCGGATCGTCCTTTTCGCAGTGCACGTTGTCAGCTCCAGACAAAGACGGGTTTCGCACGCGAAGTGTGTCGGTCGGAAGCGAGTGCTGCACCGTTCGTATCCGGAACTCTGTGCTCAAACGGAGAAGCTGCAGCAATGTGGAGGACGAGATCTCGATCTTCAGCTCATCAACCACATACCGGTGGAGCCGGTACAGTGATGCTGATGGGTCACACACACTTAAGAGTTTCTCAACAAGCGTATCCTTGTCAAACCTTCGTGAAAGGCTTGAATGGCTGCCCGATACTGCATTCCCGTTCTTATCGTTCCGCGAACGGAATCTCCTGATAATCTTTGGGGTTGCATAGAGTGTCCTGACATCCTTGCATCGGTCGTTAATAGAAGTTGTTTCAAGTGTCTCGGCCTGGTTCTCATCAACTGTAGCTGTCTGTTTATACTTCGGCAGGCGTGGAAACTGTCGGCGAAGAACTTTGACAGGAAGTGTCATGAACAGTTGCAGCGACTCGGTGTCGTGCTCAGGTAGAATGGCATCCACCGGTATTGGGAGTACTCTTGTGGTTGATTCATCCGTAGGATCATCCTGTGCTGTCACTCCACTAGGCAAGCTGTACATTCAAGAACAGAGGTGTTAGATACCAGAAGAAAGTTTAAAAGACATCAGTATAGCTAAGGTGAGCGTACTTGGACTGGACAGCGGTGCGGTATGACTTGGTCTGAGAACGAGAGGATGATACTTGATGAGAAAACAAATCCCCCGGACTATTGAGCTGGTAAATACTCGCAGATCCAGAGTTCTCGTTACGCAATGCGCAAATGCCCGTTAAATGGGTATATTCTCCGCCATCTTCCATACGTAAATCCAATGTTGCATCTGACGCAACAAGTTGCTCTGTGCTTGATCGAGAAATATCTGAATACTCGTCTTCATCCCCGTTGGAGCGTAACGGAGTCAGTGATATCACTTTACTGCGTTTTCTCTTTCGATTTCGCTCGAACGGGAAAAGTGTCGTCACTTTCGCTCTTTTCAAGCTTGATACGATGTATCCTTCGCAAGAAACGCAGTAAATTAGCACGTGAGCTTGGCTTAGATTCATGAAGAGCTCGCCTACCTCGTGAATCGTTGGAGCTACTTGACAAATCCACTTCGTCAATCGCTCCAAACGAGAACTCTTGTTTGCCAGAATAGCTCTGCGGTTGGGTCCATGACATTAGAGGTTGCCTTGCCATTCGACTATCGAGAAGTTCAATGGAGACGCCCGTGCCAACAACAAACTGGAACGGGTTGCTGGAATATTGAAGACACAAGCATAATAAGTCAAGAGTTTGAAGCATGCGTAGGGCACCTTTTTAGTCCTTGCCTTGTTCTACGCTTCACGTCATAAATGGAAATGAAGGTGCCTGCACCTGCCACATCAAACAGCTTGGTCGCGTGTTGGGCTGGCTGTCGAAGATCTAAAACTGACAGTGCAGTTCGATTTGCTGCCCAAAGAACGCACGGGTGACTACAACACAATGGCACAGCTCCATTAGTGACACCCTCAAAAATATAGCAGGTCATTTGTATATACCTGGAGTATTCGCAGCGTAGAACGCGGTCCGACACATACAAGTCTTTTTTGACAGTTTGAACCCCTCCCTCTGGATCCCAGCGTCGAACCGTACCATCGACCGTAACCACGGCCAACTCCGCTTCTGCATGTGGACTTCCAGTTATATGCTTGATAACCCCCGGCAAAGAGAGCTTAACTTTGGCTTGTATCTTCCAAACGTTGTCACGTGTAACACGAGACGGAGCAGCGATAATTGTGCAGTGCGTGTGGCCACGTGCAGCCGCAAGTATCTTTGCCGTACTCGTCGAATGGTATGCATCTCTGCTTCCCATCACTATAAATTGTCGAATAGGAGAGCCAGTCTCAATCACAGTGCTTGAGCACGGTGGGTCGTCCTCTAATTCGCCTCTGCTGTACCATGCACACGCTTGCTGCAGTACGTGCCCTGTAGGATAGAAAACCACGTGACCATCCTGGCCACAGTCAACTCCAGCGATCGCATTGCCCTGCCATTTGGACAATTTGTAGCAATCTTCTTGTGGCCTACAAAGCACAGATACGTAAGATCACTGCCAGTAATTCAGTACTAATTGCACCACAAAGCCAACGTACGGGGATTCATTCTCCAAGAAGTCCATCATCAGATCGTGCGGCACCAAGTGGCGGTAGTTCGCTCGATAAAATGCAGCTTGCGCATTGCAATCATGCCTTATACCAAATTTTGTCCCTCCCTGCTTAGGTAACAGCTTGTTGCGTTGATGTGGTCGCAGGAACGCGTAGCCTAGTGCATTGCGGACGTGCAGACGCATCGCGCCCCTAGCGTCCACTGCGGTACCGTCGTGAGCGAATCGTCGACGCGCATCATTGATCAAATCAGGTTCCAGCGGAATGTGGTCCGGATCTGTGCCTGCTAGTGTCACGCCGAGTCCATTAGCGGCTAGCACCGGCACCGTATTCGAGTACACAGCGGTTGCCTCCATGTCAATCGACACAAGGGCTATTGGCGACCAATCCGTTAAAAATCGTTACATCTGATTGGTGGAAATGAAGAAACACGAAACAAAATGTAGCCATCTAAGACTGTTACCGTTTGTTCGGTTGAAGTCGGTTCTGGGGGTTTCGCAAGGTTCTTTTTCCTCCGTTGGTGCTTAAGGCGTTGCGTTAAACGAGCTCATTTCCAATTTTGCAAGGCCAACTCCAAGCGAGACGACAACAAGTACATTATTTGCAAAGATGCGGATCCCTGCCATCCTCGCTGCGCTTGCCATGGCGCTGAGTGCCGTCAGCGCAGACAGCGATAGTGACTCTGAGCTTGTGATGCTCATCTCACTCTCGCGTCATGGTAGTCGCGCACCGAACCCGACGGTCAGGGCTCATTGTCCGAACAACTTGCCTAACGTCCAGTCTTACTCGGTTCCACTCGAGCAGCTTACGAAGCGTGGAATGGAGCAGATGGAGAAAGTGGGGGACCACATCCGCGAGGTGTACGTGAACGAGAAGGGCTTTCTGTCACCAACCTTTAATGGACCGGAAGACGATCCACACTTCGAGGGATACTTCCGCGCGGACGCTGCAAACCGATGTGGCCAGAGTGCAGTTTCAATGGGCTACGGATTATATCCCGAGGGCACAGGTCCTGACGGATACCCGCGACAGCCGATCCCAGTGTACATGCAGTTATCCGAGAATGAGCACGACTTCACTGCAAACGGGCCTTGCTGGCCAGTCATGTCTGCGAATAACAGGGCGTACCTTAAAGCAGGGGCCGCGGTTGCAATTCGAAAGCACAAAAAGACACTTGAAGCTCTTGCTGACATCTGCGGGAAGGCGTTTTACACTGGTAATGATTCGGTGACGGCGATTAAGGATGTCAACGATATGTTCCTCTTCGATCAGGATGAGGGTCATAATCCAGCCCCGGGACTCACACCCGAGCTGGTGAGGGATGTTTCTGAGCTTGCATTTCAGCATCTGATCGAGCGCCTCTACTCGACGCCCACAAAGATCACTGTGTCCATCGGCGGATTTCCACAGCTTTTAGTGCGAAACTTGCGTGAGGGCGCTGCGCCGAACCGGAACCCGGAGAGTCCCAAATACCTGTCGTATCACGGTCACCGCGAGCTCCTGCATGGTCTGGGCTTCATGATGGGTATGAAATTTAACTTCGAGGGTCTACCGCAGTACAATGGCTCGACGCCTTTGCACCCGGCATCGACGTTGTTCTTTGAACTACACCGCAAGGGTGGCGACCATTTCGTGCAGCTCTTCGTGTGGTCTCCCTTCAGTCCTCGAATGGCAGTCAAGCTCAACACATGCGAACTTAACTGTCCGCTGAACGAATTCACTGCCCTAATTGAAAATCACATCCAGTCCACCGGTCCGTGGCAGGATATCTGCGGATACCATCCAGTGAACGTGCCTGCCGTCAAGACCGTCAAGACAATCAAGCCCACGAACTTGGTGGTGAATGATGCGACAATTGTAGAAACGAAGAAGGAGACACAAACCGAAAACGCGAGCGCTTTGTGGTCCGCTCTGACGGCCGGTGGTCTTGTTGCTTTTGGAGCAGTCGGTGCCACAACTTACCAGCGGTACATGAATCGTCGTGGCTATCAGTTATTGTGATTGCCATTTGATAACTGATAACAAAGATCCCAGTATATTGGCTAAAACTTCCTTAATCGATTATTCATTGGTTGAAATTCATTTGTTTCACAAGTCGCTTTTCAAACTCAATTTCTTTCGCGTCAAAAAAGTGGAGAAAGGGAGGACCGTGCCGATGCCTCTGACGGCAGCCTCGTTCCTGCTGCAAGTAGCTCCATGGGTCTCGCTGGATGTACGTCGAGGAAGCGTAGCAGATATATCGATACCCATCCCATCGGTTGCAGCGCAGAGTGATGACCCGCAAGACTGTTTGCTGTGGCAATTCCAGCTACAGGAGTACGACGTGGGCTTCCAATTGCTAGAGAACGGGGCGGTGGCTCAGGAGTTTGGCCGGTTCAAAGCGACAGAACAAGGAGACACTGAATCCACTATAAATACAATGGTGGTGCCACATCCGCTGCATGTTGACGCGTTGGAGCCGACAATGGAAGGCAGATTCGACGATGTCACACCTGAAAGCGTCTACACTTTGCGTTGGGACAATTCGTACTCGCTGGTGCGTCACAAGGAGGTGAAATATCGGTTTCTAGTGACGTCAAACCGCGTGGTTGCAGCAGCTGAGTTGGCGGTGCAAGAGTCACAGTCGCGTTCGCAGAGACGAGCGAGGAGAGCAGCGGCAGGGCTGCCACTTGCGCATTTGGCGAAGACACTGGAGAAGGAACGCGCAATGAACGATGAAGAAAGGAAAGTGGAAAATGAAAGAGTGGCAGCGAATTTGGAGCAGACGGTGATGGACATTGTGTCGATTTTCATCGCAAAACCCGACAGTCCACTGCACGAAGGAGCCATTCGACCTTTCATATTGGCGCTCGAAGCTGTTCTGTGCCATGGAATTAAAGTAAGTCCAACGTGTCTTTCGTGTACGCAAAGGGTTATAGTGAGACTGATTTTTTTTTCGTATAGGAAGAGTTTCTGGATGTGTGGCCAGAGGCACCGTTCTACGAGTTTTTAATTGAGACACAACACGTCCTACGCGATGACATGGGCATCGTGGCGAGAGTACAAGCCGGAGAACCTCCGTCGAACTTGCAGCATCTGGGATGGAACAAGTCCCGTTCTTTTTTGCTACTAGCTTTGAACAAGGGGGTTCTGCAGCGCGCGTTCGAGGTGCATATCCGATGCGTAAATATTTCATAGCTACCTCAATTTTTAACCGTTTTAATGTTCTGTCGATATGGTGATAGAATTTAACCAAACGGAGGACGGTGGTGGAGAAGTACTACGAGTCAAGAGCTCTTCTGTACAAGTATGATGATGCCCGGAGAATCGCTTCGTTTCTCAGTGCATTGAATGGAGTCACATTTTTGCTAGCTGCGTATCCTCATGATGAGTGCGACAAAGATGATCAACCTCCGTTTCCGCGGAACCTCAAGCAGTGTGCTCCAGAGGCACCACTTCTTGGCAACGAGATATCTTTTCAAAACGATGTGGACGGTGACAGCAGTGTTGTGAGGTTCATGGAAGAAAACCCTGACGAAATTAAGCAACTTCAGAACTGCAGTGTGCCTCGGTATATTCTTCACGGTGAACCTTTTCAAGATATTGGGATTGGGTGCGTCGTTCGTTAACGAGCATTTTTTATCCGATCAAGTTTTAACTGTGCTTTCGTGTGATGTTAAGGCGATCATCCGTTGAGCTGCTCTCGATAGATGAGGTTGAAGGTGCCCCGGTTGTGTTAGCGCAGGTACAAGTTCAAACGCAAGATATCCTACTTTCCGTTGCCACCCGTGATGGTCAAGACTTGACGAAGCCAACGCGTTTCTCAGCTTCGGATGAGTGGATTGAGTTAGTGATGCGTTTCAAGTCAAGCCCAGCTGGTGGTCTGGCGCTGAAGTTGGACAACGCATACTCAATTGTTCGATCTAAGCAAGTTCAGGTTCGCTACGTGTCTGTCGATGCAGCTGCGTACGTAGCGGCATGGGAAGGATGTCTGGAAATGGCACGATCTATTTCTTGGAATCACGCGTCTCGAACTGGAGGTGAACGCTGTGCCAAATACATGGCGTCACAACATCAGAAAGAGGAAACTGAAGTAATGTTTCAGCGAAAACAGAGAGGAGACAGCGACCAGGAAATGGATGACGGTATCATGGGTATCCGCACCTCACTTCTCTCTAACCCCGTGTCGTATATTGGAGGATTACTTTCAAGTGAAGACAGTCCTGAAGCTTGCGACCAGTGTCTTGCCCCATTCTCTTTCTTCAGTAGACAACATGAATGCCCTTGTTGCAAGAAGATCGTGTGTATCCAGTGCTGTCGTCATCACGTTCAAATCAACGGGAAGGGCTCTCAATTGAAAGTCTGCGACAGGTGTTTTATTCAAGAAAAAGACAAAGAGGTGGGTAGTTGATGTCGACTTCGTTTGGGGTATACAGTATGCGACTAACATACATCATGAAGCGAGCACGCATTGCTAATACGAAGCGCAAACATGATGACGATGGAGGCGAACGACCAGAGTATGCTGCGCTTCGTAGAGATCCTAGTATGGACAAGTACTTCAAGATGCTAAGCTTCGGCGTTCCATCCAGCGGAGTAGCTCAGAAAATGACTCAAGATGAGATGCCTCCAGATAAAATTGCCGTTTTTGTTGCAGGTCCTGATGGAAGTAATGCTTCTCGTATTGGTCGAACGAGGTTTGTGCAAACTTTTTTTCTAATGACTTCGTTACTGTATGAAATGCTGATATCAGTTTTGCGTTGTCCATAGTAAAAAAGAGCGATCGGGCAGTCGTGGTTTAAATCGACGCGACAGCACATTTCGTAAGGTTTACTGGACTAGTTTGGACACGAAGAAGGCCAACGAAACTATTTGGGCTCGTGTGACGGCCAGACGCAAGACTGCTCCAATCACACTATCGCCACAAGATTTCCAGGAACTGGAGTTTCTCTTTGGAAACCCAACAGCTGCATCACCCTCCCAGTCCAAAGACAAAACTGCGAAGAAGATCAAATTCTCGGCGCTTGATTCACGAAGGTCGAACAACATTTCCATTGGATTGAGCCAATTCAAGGCGGTCGGCGGAGCTGAGGCCATATTGTCGGCATTACAGCGCTGTGATTTCGAGTTCCTCACAGTCGATCGCTTGACAAATCTGCAAGACATTGCACCAAATAGTGTTGAAGTGAAGCGATATACAAACTTCAAGGGATCTCGATCACGATTGGAACCCGCAGAAAAGTTCTTGGTGGAAATATGTGAGATTTCTCGTGTGACGGAAAAGGTCAAAGTGATAACGCCTTTGTTGATGGACTTTCGATTGCTTACTGACCTGTATGCTGTTTTGAGTGCAGATTAAGGCGCTGTTGTTTGCCTCCCAGTTTAAGCACCAGCAACAAAAGCTGCGCAACCGTATCCGGGTGATCACACAGGCTTGTTACGAAGTCTTGAGGAGTGAGCGTCTTGCACGGTGCTTCGAATTAGTACTGGCGATTGGGAACCTTCTGAACACTGGTACAGAGCTCGAAGGAGCTCAAGGTATAACGCTTGCTTCTCTCTTGAAGGTATGCTCGTCTATCTTAGCATTTGATCGTTCCAACGTGTGCTATTTGAGCACTTACATTGACAACGTTAGCTGTCAGAGACCAAGGCCATTGACCAAAGTATGACACTTCTCCAGTTCAGCATCAAACTCATTCACGTAAGTATGTTTACTGCTGACTTCAACTGATTTCATTGTGCTAAGTATGCGCGATTTTGTCGGCTGTAGGACAGAGGTGAAGGCGATGTTTTATTGTTCACTAACGACCTCAGTACACTGGCCGAGGCAAGACGATACTCTAACGTGATCTGCGACTCACAAGCGCGAGCATTGCAACACGAAATCATCAAGCTTGGTCAAGAGATTAAGGAAGACATAGTGGAGGATTTGAAGCGATTCAACGGCGCGGAGGCACTTCGAAAGCGCCAATTTGAACATCGAAAGGCTCAGCAGCATCGTCCGGCGATGATTCAAAGTAACAGGGAGCTGAACAACCTGCGAGATGGAAGTTCGGGGGCTCAAAATACAGTTCTTGATGCAACTCGACAGCGAGGTGCGATTGATTCAGGAACCCGAGTCCGGAAGAACGGAGTCACTGCGAGTAATCAGCATGCTGCGATGTTGGCTGCAATTCGTACCCGTGGAAATGGAGGTGATACGATTTCGACGAAGCTGGATCGAGGTGATACACTATCGCCTGCGAGTGCATCTCATGCAGCACTGCTAAATGCCATTCGTAAACGACCGCAAAAGCTGCATAATGCAAGTGACTTAAATGGAGATGATCTAACGCGTGTGGGTGGAGCAGATGAAGCAACAAGCGCAGAACAAACTAAGCATAATCGATCTGATGCAGCTGGTACTCGCTCAGCTCTCCTGGCATCCATTAAGCAACGCCATAGCGACAGCGCGGCGGATCAAAACGGTGCATTCACGCTAGACCCACAAGCTGCTCTGTTAGCTGCGATCAGGCAGCAAGCAAAGAAGCCAATGGATTCAATGCCTACCGGTAATGGTGTTGGTGACTCCAGTAAAGAAGACGAAGAGTTTGAACCACGTCAATACAAAATGGAGAGCAAATTTATCTCAATCATGAGAGAGCGACTGATGAGTATCAAGGCCGCATTTGAAGATATCGAGATGGACTTGGAGGCTTTACATTCAGTGTGGGAAGGCACCGCTCGGTACTTAGCAGAAGACTCTTGCGCATCGTCCACCGAGTACGTGTTCGGCCTGCTGAACAGGTTTCTACTTGATGTCAAAGTCGCCAAAACTCTGCTCTTCCGAAAGGGGCTCAATTTTGCCAGTGAAGCGAACGCACTTCTTCCTCGTGCTTGTAAGTGGGCGTATTTAGCTCAGTAACAATCTGTCACTAATGTTTTAGCGCTACGGATTTGTTACAGACGTGGGGAGTATCGTGGCGACCAAGTTCGGCTCAGGGATCATAACGGCACTCCGAGTTAGTGATAAGCGCATTGAAGTCAAGTTTCCCTGGAGTCGAGAAGCATATCTGGAACCTTCTTCAATTCTGTCTGTTGGTAGTTTGGTGCGGTGTCGACAATGGGGTGTAGGTATTATCCGCGAGACTTGCTACGATGTGGGCTTCTGCGACGTTCGGTTTTCGTTTGGATACGGCAAAGTTCGGGTCGAGGAATTGGTGCTGGAAACGTCATCAAACAAAGAGGAATTGCGTATTCAGTTACTACGTTGTGGATTCTGTATCGGCGATCCCGTTATCACACCATTTGGATGTGGCCACGTCCAGTCAATTCGCGGGAAACCTCAGAGCCCTACTGCTGTACTTGCAGTTGGTATGTTATCGTCGGGGTCTGACGTTCATGATAAAGAAAGTAGTCTTAAAGTAGTCGCGTATGTGCCTGCAAGGCATGTCAAACGAAACTATTGAGGGGTCATAATTAGAGTATAATACACTTGCTCCGAACATCTTTCAGCTTCGATGGTGTTTTTTGTAAATGGGTTGCCGACGCTGAAGGCCAAAATCGGTCTTCTCGCACCTGTTCAGCGGTTCGCAGGTTCTTGGCGATCCGAATGAAATTCATCGGCGACATCTCCTATCACCATGATTATCGCTGTTCAGCTTTCATGTGTTGCCGTTGATCAGCAAAACGTGAACCACCTCGAAGTTAATATGTTCCGAGCTTGCACAGGACTCAAAATAGTGACTTCAGCATTGGTTGTTAAGAAACTTGAATAGCTGAAATTACAGCAGTTGGTTTTGGCGGGAAAACATTTGCTGCCAGTTGACTTTTAACTCAATTTAGGCACAACCAACAGCTCCAGAAAACGCGCCTTAGCATGGGAATTAAAGGTCTGATGAAGCTGCTGCAGGAGGAGGCTCCATCCTGCATCAAGGAGGTGGAGAAGATGTCGGCTCTGGCTGGACACGCCGTGGCCATCGATGCCAGTATGGCGCTGTACCAGTTTCTCATCGCCATTCGTTCGGCCGACGGGGGAGGACCTTCCCAGGCACTGACAAATGCAGACGGAGAGGTGACGTCCCACTTGCAGGGTATGTTTAGTCGCACCATTCGCATGATGGAGAATGGTTTGAAGCCCGTATACGTGTTTGACGGCAAACCACCCGTCATGAAGAGCGGTGAACTGGCAAAGCGCAGCGACCGTCGCCAGGAGGCACAGAAGGCGCTCGAGGAGGCCACGGAGAAGGGCAACGCCGAAGACATAGACCGTTTTAACAAGCGTCTGGTGCGAGCTACGCCGCAGCACAACGAGGACTGCAAGGAACTACTGAGACTCATGGGCGTACCGCACATCACGGCCCCATGCGAGGCTGAAGCTTCTTGTGCTGCACTTGCCAAGGGCGGGCGAGTTTATGCCGCTGGCACGGAGGATATGGATGCTCTGACGTTCGGCGTACCCGTGCTGTACCGTCGTCTGACAGTCTCACCTGCTAAGAAGATCCCTATCCTGGAGATCCGTCTGGAGCGTGCACTGCAAGAGCTGGAGATGACACATGAGCAGTTCGTGGACTTGTGCATCTTGTGCGGGTGCGACTACTGCGATTCGATTCGTGGCGTTGGTCCCAAGAAGGCGTACGCTGGTATCAAAGAGCACAAGAGCATTGAGAACTTCCTTGAGGTTCTGCAGAAGAACAAGAGCAAGGGTGTGGTCATTCCCGACGAGTGGCTCGGAGAAAACCCCATCTACAAGAACGCACGCGAGATGTTCATTAAGCCTGAAGTTGTGGATGCTAAAGAGACGGAGATTAAGTGGCGCGACCCACAGGAGACCGAACTAGTGGACTTCCTGGTCAAGAAGCACGGATTCCAGGAGGACCGAGTGCTCTCGGCCATCACGCGACTTAAAAAGTCTAAGAGCACGCAGTCACAGAAGCGACTCGACAGCTTTTTCACGGTGATGCCGAGCGCTAATGGTGCTAAGAAGCGTAAGGCACCTGCAGCCAAGGGTGGAAAGAAGGCTGCCACCGCGAAAAAGGGAAAGAAATAAGGGCACATACTTACAATTTGAGCTGAAAACCTTTTCGCTTTTCACTAGTAGTAGTAATTTGTAGCTAACTAAAGTGAACATTTTCTTGCGTCTCCTTTGCACTATTTGCTAGCGAAACAATGTCCTTGCCTTATACATTACTGCCTGGGACTGCTACGCTACACGACAGCCCCGCTTACTACAAGTGTGTCAGAAATTAAATACTTATCGGCACGGCTTATACAGAAGAGGTGACTTCTCGGACGCCTCGAAGAAAACGATCCCGTACGTCTTCTTAGCTCCATCGCTTGGAGTGTTCTGCCAGCCACACGAGCCCATGACAGAGCATCGTCAATACAAAGGCCACATCCGAGCGTGAAGCTCCTTCCGCTTCCTCGTGAAAAAAGCGAAACAATCCCGCAGCATAACTCGAAAACGCAGGGATCTGATAAACGACAGCGAGTTGCTGGTTAAAAGCACGGGCGCGTTCAGCTCTTTCCATTTCGCTGCGTACCGACCCACACTGTTGCTGCCGAAGTCTTTGCACTCGAAAAGCTGTGATACTTTCGGTTTCCTTAAATACCGCACTCATGAACAGATCGCCATCGATGCAGGCACTCTCCGTGTCTTTAATCGACGAAAGCACGTCATGGAACTCAACCAAGTCCAGTAATTTGGGTTCCATCCGCCTCAAGTGCGCCATGATGACAGGGAACACAAAAGATGAACCTTCGGTGAAGATGCAGTCGAAGATACGGAACACCGTCTCACTCGGGAATGTCGTTGTGAACAAACACAGCAACCACTGCGACCCCAGAAGCTCCAGCGGTAGACCAACGTCCAACGCGAACTCGTCCAGTTGAGGAAGCTCCTCAGCGATCAATTGCTTTAGTACCAGCATGTCTCTCTGAATATCACTCATCGCTGGGGAGTAGTAGCCAGGGTATAAATCTTCGCAAAAGACACTCAAAAGCCAGAAAACCACTTCTTCATCCGCGATTAACATCAGAAACGCCACAATAAAGTTCAGTCCTTGGCAGTATCCAACCGACGGGTTGCGAAGAGAATAAGCTTGGAGAATACGGCGCAGCTGATCGCGTCCTGACTCGGAGCAAAGTTTCGTTCCCGAGTGACCAAATGTACGATCAATGTCCAGCTCAATTTGACGGAACGTCTCCGTCTCCATCGTCTCAGCTTTCTTCACCAGCTCTGCGTAATAACTCGGTCCTGCATTGGCCTGCTTCTCCCCCGCACCAGAAAGGTTCACATATGCACATTCTCGTAAGTGCCGCGGGATTCCAGCCCGAGCGAGCTGTATAAGGAGCGCCTTCTCCTCTGTGTCTTTCTCCTTGTACGAGCAGCGTCGAAGACGCTCAGGAAACTGAGTGCCATAGATTTTAGTCCAGTCCTCAACACGTCTCTCTTCTCGACAATCTTGATACGAACGCAAGTGTACCCATTCCTTGCGCGCAGATTCCGGTATGTTAAACCCGTAGAAGTCACTCACAGGCTTGGCCATAAAATGACTCACATGCTCCTCAAACAGCACCTCTCGATCCTGTGCTGTGAGCGCTCTCTTCGCTCGCTCATACCACACGGTACGAATCCGCACCTCCCCCGTTCTCGTGCCACCTAGACTGTACCACGAGTCCGTCGCGACTCTCGACGGTTTACATAATAAGTTGGAGTTAATCTCCACAGCGCCTAGCATCTCATCATCAATACTCTCCGTCGTCGCAGCAATTTTCTCTTCAATCACAGGCCAGACGTCGTCGTCATCGGCAAACTCGTCATTTTCGTCTTCCTCCTCTGAGAGCGTGACGACATCGTCACTGTCACTGTCGTATATCCCTTTGCTCCCATTTATATAAATCTGTGGCCTTAGTACTGAATGTTCTTTCGCAGGATAGTCAATTTGGTTTCTGTTTTTCTCGCCTTCTTCATCGAACGAACTGCTGTTAGTTGGGAACATGTCGAAGAAAAAGTTCTTCTCACTGAAGAGCTGCACTCGAAGTCTCACACTCGCAGGTCGAGCAGGAACCACGAATTCGGCCACATGACTCCATGTGGGACTCTTCGAATCCGTCACCGTCGAAGATCGAAAACTGGGGGATGCGGCGAGACGCGGACGTCCGCGCGCCGTCTTGGGCTTGATATCGCATAGCTCCACGACGCAGTAGGCGTCTACAGACTGAGGGCTCTCGAGGTTGCGTGCACCCACCACCTCCACGCACAGTCGCTTCCTATCCATCAATGCGGCACGTCAGAAATGAGATAAGGACCAAAATTAAGGGCAATTTCAAAGATAAAATTGAGAAGGCGGTCGAAATCAACGTACTGGTGACGCATGGAGATAGACGACGCGATGGCCAATGCCAGCTACGAGAGCTTACGATGAAGACGCGTTCGACGTTGAGAAAAGCTTTGTGGCTTTAGAACGCAGTTTCTTCTTCAAGATGCGACCTGGCGTCTGGTCTGTGGATGCAGAGACAGCCGGCAAAATGGTACGATGTACCCATTTTGTTGCACTGCAAAATTGTGTCGCGTTGACAGTTAAACTCGGAGGGTCGCGATGAAGGAAGAAGTTTTGCGGGCACTACAGCGCGTGGCAGACATGCTAGTGGGAAACTTCACTGTGTCCTTCCAAAACGAATTGCGCTTCATGGTGAGAGCGTTGTGCTAATTTGGTGGGTGCGTGAGAAAGCTGCTAACGCAGATTTGGTATCGATGCAGGCGGAGGCAGCGGGGTCTTCATGCGCAACAGCCATGAAGGCTCAGGGCGTACCGATGGCACAAGCAGTCAAGCACACGGCAGGCGCTGTTGCACGTCTGTAATGAAGTGGAGGTGTGATGAACGCTACGACGACTTGGAGAAAAAGAAAGTTGCGCAAGGAGGAATGAAAAGATATCGCCGCATTGTGGATAATATAAGTGAGCGACGTAGGCAACTTCAATGCCGGCACGATCCTCATCCACTCGTCCATCTTGTGGCCTATTGTCGTGACAGTCCAATTGGTTTATCCGCTCGATGGCTTCGATGCCTTCGCAACAGCAGTCCATCGCAACAGCGCTGCAGTCGTGGTCTTTTCAGCCTGTGCCGCCGCAATTCGTCGCTGAAGCAGAGCCACCTTCTTCTCGTACTTGGAAGCTGCAGTCGCCTGCGCTGCTACCAGCCCCTTGGTAGCGTAGAGCTGGAACACATCGGCGAGAAGTCGAGCCTGCAGCAGAACATTCTTGCTCTGGAGACTTGTCCCGATGGCGTTCATTAGCATCGTCTCTCCTTCCTCCATCTTGCCGAAGGCCACTAGCTGCGGTCCAAACAGCGCCATGATCTCGGACGTGGTCTCGCAACATATCACGCTTGTGTTCATGTGCAGGAGAGCCTCGTGAAGAAGCGTGAGTGCCTTCGGACGCAGTTCTTCCAGTTCACCATGCTGATTGTAGGGCAAAGAGCGAGCAGCGTTGCTGTCTTGGACGTCATCTGGCAGTCTCTCTGTTGCCCACATCCACTTGGCTAGTGCAAGGTTGTACTACAAATTTAGAGTGGCATCGTAAGTAGTTAAACAAGCACTATAAACTTAAAAATGAGTGTGCATACCTTTGCTCGCAAGTCAACGCTACAGCTCTGATTTACCTGATGCCGCAAGCCGTCCGATTTCAGAATACGAGTGACCCATTCTAGCAGCACCGGGCTCGGATAGATCTGCTTGACCTGCACAACTGTAGAAGTGTCGTTTACCGAAGATGGTTGCGTTGCTACCCCGCAGCAATACATCGCCACTTCTAGTACATCGACCAACACTGCTAGATACGCATCGGGGTACATGGCGTCCCCTTCTGTGAGAGGAGGCAGTACCTTGTCAACAACAAAATTCAAATGGGCACGAGCGTCTTTTCCCTTCCCGATAGCTGTAGCATACTGCAGAGTAGAAGAAAAAAAAAGAACATAGAAGGCATTACGTTAGCGTGCTCAGTAGTTAGTAGGTTGCAAATCCAACATCAATCACAGCGTACCTTTGCGATCAGCGTGTGGCACCTCGCGAGGAAATAGCGATAGAAGATGGTACGCTCCAAGTCCGACTTATACTTGGCAAATAGAGTAGTCATCTGCACGATGGCAGCTCCCATGTCTGCGTATCGACACTGCACGCCTAGTTGCCGACAGTACACATAAAGCGTATCGAACAGCGTCGCTATGAGCATGAGTCGTACTGCCCGGTACTTGTCGTATTTTTTCAAGTTGGCTTGAGCTGCGAGCGTGGTTTTCGTGGCAAGATCAACAGCCTGTTTTGGATCCGAATATGCCAGTACGGCCACCCGCATTGAATCCAGAATTGTAGTCAGGTACGCCTCCTCCACAGCACCGGTCAGTGGTTGGTCACCACATCGAGTGCCACGACCTAAGACTTGGATTTGATCCAACAACGGCGCCACTTTCGTCACCTTTCCGATCCTATAGAGCAACACCAAGCAACGCCGTTTTTAATACGTTATCGCGTGTTAGCTTCAGTACTCGGGCCTCACCGTAAGTAGTAGAACCCAGTGATGATTAGGTGGTGCATCCGAAATTCTCGTGAAACTGGGTGCTCGAGGGCCACCTTGTCGAAGAATTCTTGTCCAAATGCAACCAATTGGTGCATCTCAGCTGTGCTATCAGGTTGAAAAGACGTGATAGCGGTATGGCAGGTCACTTCCACCAGCCACAACTGTTAGACAAGCAGCAAAAATGGGTAAATATCACAGCAAACCACACAGCATGCAAGAATTGGGGCCAAGGCCAATATCCCACCAGAAAGTTCTTGTCGACATAGTTCGGCAGTGTTGCTCGCAGGTATTTCAAGTTCTCTGCAAAGATGTTGGCACCGCTATTGTCTTTGGAGTATTTTGCCATGACGGTTGTAGCGTGCATTTTCACCAAACAGGCCTTCAACTTGACTCCGAAATACTTCCGAAACTCGGCAGCCAGCTCATGACGCTCGCCTTCAGCTTCAGTACAGCACCTCAGTCCTTCGCAAAGAATCTCCAGCATGCGCCGATTCTTCGCCGTCCGGTCGACCTTCAACTGTTGCTGCAACAAAAACTTGGCCTTCAATAGCCGTAGCTTGGCCTCATGCTACAGATCAGACCACAGCACAGCAATCAGTACACGATAAATCCAATACAATTGTTAAAAAGCCACTACTTGCACTGCAAGGAACTCCTCGCGTGATTGCAGTGTCAGCGGAATAGATGCACTTCTCCGTCTGAATCACTCGGCGAGTCCACATATCTCGATCCGCCTTTCTTTTGTTGCTACAAGCTACACTGCAGATCTCAGCTAGAAGCACGTTCGCTTGCACTAATATCCCTTGTTCTTCAGCACTGCGGACGCTGCAATCGAGAGCGCAAAGGGGCTACAGAACAGAAACACAATTAGCCTCTCGCTCTCATTTATTGAGGATACGTAGCTGGTCGCTCACCTCCAGGCATTGTGCAGTCTGCATTGTCAGCTTATTTTGTGCCATTAAGCACGCCAGGCTCCATAATTGCCGCACATCTTCAGCCTGCAATTCCGCACTCGGCGCTTTGCTTGCCGCCATTATATTCAAAATCTGACACGATGTCACTAAAACGAGGCAAATAATCAGGCCTAATCACAGCTTTCTTCAATGGCAATGTGGGTCTCTCGCCTCGCTAGCGGAAGCGATAACGGTAGCGGCTCGACAGACGAGGAACTGGGCGTTGGCGCGGCGTTCCTTGTCGATGGCATCGTTTACGCGCTCGTGGGAGGTGCGGCGGGCGTCCAGTTTGTGCGCAACTGTTGCCGCTATCGCCCCTGGACCGTTCAGAAGATAATTCATCTGCTCATGTTCTTCGCAACGCTCGGTGAGCACCCCTGAGCTTAATTTTGCATCAGAAATGTTATGTTATAACTCGCTGTGTGGGTCTCCATGCCGCAGTACGCTCAATTTTCCTGGCGTTGGTGGGCTCCGATTGGTGCGGCGTGCTGAGTGGAAAGGTCAACGTATCCAAGTGCTCTACTGGCGAGCGAGACCTGTTCTACATTTTGGATCAAGTGCCAATTATGGCATTCTTCGCGATCTATGCACTGTTAGTGCAATTCTGGGCGGAGGTGTACTACAACGCGGTGGATAAGCTATCGACGCTGACGGATGTGGTAAAGCCTGCGATCCGATGGTTCATCGTGGTACGGCTATTTCTTATAAAGATACTGCATAGCGGATAGAACGTAGTGGCACTGATGATAGCATTTTCGTCTCTACAGATTGTGTTGCTCATTCAAGGACTATTCTGGGTGTTCTATGCTTCCGTGTGGCGTCACGAGCGTATGTGTTTACTAGGCTGTTGCAGTGTTACGAGTAACTACCAACCACTAAGGTCTGTTTGTGTGTATTATTTGCAGGTGCATTCTTTACCCGATCACAAGCAATCTTGAATATGGAGCTCTTCCTTATTATCGCCACCGGCTTTATCTACTTTGGACGGAAGGCCTACATTGAACTGCGGTGGGTACCTGATAACAAGATTGAGTCGCTTCTGCTTTTTTAAACTGATACACCACATTGTCGTGTAGATCGGTGCCGGTGGAGCTTGGAATTCGAACAAGAAAGCTCAAGGAGCTTTCGCTTATGACATCCGTCGGCACGTCCTGCTTCATGGCTCGCTGTGGGCTGCAAATCTACTTGTCCACGGAAAAGAAGCAGCTGCACGATCAGAGTACGTGGCTTGTAGTCGTCGTGTACTACGCTCTCTTGGAGATTGTGCCGGCGCTGTCCGTGTTATACTTTAACCGCCGACTTCCTCCTCGCCGAAGACCTGGTGGTCTCTCGGCAACGTCAAGTCCCATTCGAGGGGGCAGACTTTTCTTTGGCAAAGGTATGGGCGCTGAGAGTGCATCCGACGGAGGAGATCCGTTGAGAAAAAGTTTGCTTCGAGGGTAAATGTCGTGCTTAGCACGCACGTTTAATACTGTAGTAATTGTGTACTACGTAGTACTTCGAAGTATTAGACTTGAAATCATTTTTTTACATTGCAGCTATCCTAAATGTTAACATTCAAAACGGGGTGTCCTTAGTCACGGCACAATATTCGTCGACAAGGGCAAGTGCTACTAGCTACAAAAAAAAGATTCAATGGGAGCAGATCCGTGTGCTTGATATGGCGAAGACCAAATGCCATGATACGAAGCTAGATTTCCCGAAAGGATGTCGACCAACAAATTTTGTTTTTATCAGTGTAAGTCGGGTTATCGGAGGACCCAGTTAAGCAGAATCTATCGTAGCACCTCCAACATAGCTCATCATGATTTGAGTTTACCGCCCCATGGTAGTAGCAGAGCGCACTCGGATATACCTAAGCTTCGCATTGAATGGCTAAGAACAGCAAACTGAACTGTGTGTTCCATTCTCTACTGTTCACCCGATACTTCCACAAGTAGTTCAAGCATGCGGTCGTTCTCCTCGCGAGATCCGATCGTAGCACGAAGGCAGTCAGTGAGCAAGTGCTGGTTGCCACGGTAGCGAATTACAACGCCACGGCCAGCCATTTGCCGATACACAGTCAGCGCATGCGGGATCTGACAACGATAAGCGCGAGATTGAGTAAGATGCCAAGATACAAGACCAGAGCGAGTAAGCCTACCTCGAAAAGCACAAAGTTGGAGTCGGACGCGTAGATGCGACGCACGAAAGACAATTTTTGCAACTCCTTGACCACCCGGTGTTTCTCCTGTGATACAAAAATCAGCGATTGCGTCCTAGCATTCGAGGAAGTAGCACACATACCTCCTTGATAAGCTTCACATTCTTGCGCAGCTCATCCAAGTTTGAAAAGGCCTTGCGCGCGACATCAGACGTCAGTTTGCTGATGTTGTACGGCGCCTTCACGTTGTTGAGTACTTGAATAAGCTTCGGGTCACCGAAAGCAACACCCAGACGGATACCAGCAAGTCCAAAGCCCTTCGAGAGGGTCTGTAGCACAATAAGCCTCCTGTGCTTGTTCACGAGTGAACACAGGCTGGGAGTGTCAGCGAAGTCGATGTAGGCTTCATCAACTACCACAAATCCATTGTATTTCTGTAAATGCAGAACCACCAAGAAGACGTTTAGAGAGAGACAAAAAATATGGTAGGCGTGCAGCAACAGCTATCAACCTTCGAGTTCAAAATTGTCTCCACGTCCTGTAGGCGCAGCACATTGGCCGTAGGGTTGCCTGGACTGCACAGGAAGATCACCTTCGTGGCCGTGGTGGCAGCGTTTAGAACCTGAATCCAAAAGAGATTGGTCAGAAGAGTAGCGCAACTTGGTCAATATATAAAGGCATACCTCCTGTGGGTCAATGTGGAAAGCTGGAAACGAGAGATCCGGCTTCAGTCCCTTCAGGTTCTCGGACGGGGCCTCAATTTGCAGTGGCACGGAGACAATCCCAACGTCGTGGATGTTAGCACACACACTGTACATGCCGTAGGTAGGCGGTGTGATCATGATGTTGTCCACACGAGGCGTGCATGCCACGCGGATGATCAGGTCGATGGCCTCGTCGCTTCCAACGCCCAGGAACGTATTCGCCTGGCTGATCTTCTCGGTCGGGTTCTGGTTTCTGCAATTTTAGAGTTAACACGACGTCAACTCGCTACGTCACAGCATTAGTTGACGTACCTGAAGTCGGTGATGACCTTCTTCAGCTCAGGCTGGTACGGACACGGGTAGCGCTCCAGTTCCATTGCTTGGAGCTGCTCGTGGCCTTGCAGAGGTGGTCCCAGGCTGTTCTCGTTGGCATCCAGCAGAATACCTGCAAGAAATAGCTTTTAGAGCGTAGTCACACCAATCATTATGATACATTACAGCTACTTTACCTTGGTCGTAGTCATCGCGGGCGCAGCGGTAGGGGGTCAGTTCCAGGATGTTGGGTCGGATGAGACGCTCTACCTCATCGAGATCTTCGATGGGCTTCTTCACCGTCCTGGCGCGAGGTTGAGCCTTACCCAAGAGGTAGCCAACGCCCAGTCCGGCAGTCACGCCCAGCGCGATGGCACTCTGCTTGTCCATTGCTAAGTTTGCTTGTGATTGTGAGTTAACTCAAGTGGAAATCGTGTTTGCAAAAACAAAATTGCTTTTGGCGGATAATCGAGACCATTACCGGTAATTCATTCACCAAGTGAAAACTTACGGAACATTCATGTGGCAACGACAGTAACATTTGGTAAGTTTATGATACATGCACCGTAGCTGTTTGGCTCACGTGAAGTATCATTGTAGGGTATTGATGGCGATTGTCTATTTATCAATTAGCACTATGATCAGCAAAAATGTGGGGAAGGATTCAGCTTGAGCTTGTGGTGTACTACATGTATACGAGTATCGGTTTCGGTACACGAAACCTGCCACTGAATCATTAGCCTCTCGAGGTACACGAATCGTGTTACCTCCGAGGTTAACGATTCGATACGAGATGACCAGAAGAAGAAGTTAAAGCGGGTTTCTACTGTAGAGATTGGGTAGCGATGGGCTGGCAAGTTGGCAACTCAAGAATCTTGAGCCAAGATGGCGACGAAAAACCCTTTTCAAAGGGCCTACCTGTTTGGTGGCTGGGCTCATTTCTCATTTCGATTTTACCTGCTCGAGTCTTCGTTGCCAACTCCATCGTTATCTTCGATACCGAAGTCATGCCATCGATCTGAAGTGCGTGTCATTTGCTGTTGCTGTTGATGGCGCCGAAAACACGAAGTTCTGTTCGCAGGATTTAGAAGTAGCTCACCAACAAGCTGCGTGAACAGAACACGGAGCTTATTCTACCGAGCAGCCAACAGTGTCGTTTCCACTCTCGTCACGAGCCGCCTGTGCACTCTGCCGGAATGTGTGATCGGGATCAACTACAAGACAACAAACGCTCCCAACAGCTACTTCGACAGCTAAACGATACGCAACGTTTTACGTAATTAAAAATGGCGACTGCACCAGTGATAGTGCAAGTTCGGAAGTTTGACCGAATCGAGCAGCAACAGCAGTGGTGCTCTTTTAGTTGTGAGCGAAGACCGAGACCTGAATGTAACGAGCTCACACAGAAACTCGATGGGTGAATTGTCGGTTATCGAGATGGCTAGGGCTGAAGGAAGCAATAGCACGTAGCCTGCATCGAATGACGCTAAAGCTGAAATGACAATTATCCGACACGGTGTCGCGACACCCACTCCGTCGGAAAACTTGTTCATTGAAAAGCGAGGGTAAAAAAATACTGACTCGTCCAGCAGCACAACCCAACACGAGAGCTACAGGTATTAAAAGTACCTCCTCCCACATCGGGTCTTCCATTGCATTAGTTGCCAGCTACTCGCCGCTATTGCTTTTGTTGGAATCGAATTTCTGTGATTTGGCAAAAAGCAGTGTTTCAATTTACCTTCTTGGACTCCACTATAAAATATTTTGTATCTCTGTAGATATTGTGCGCGCGCGCAGTGCGGGCGCCGCACGATACTGTACCTACGTTTCACAAAAAAACGTTTTAGTGAAAACCCTCCGCTTCCTGCGTCAAATAGAATAGCGTCAAACACAAAAAAAACAGAAAGCGAAACGACCCCGACTAGCGCGAAGCAAAAGGCTCACTACGCTTCGGCACAACGAGAGCGTGTTATGGCGCTAACGTTGGAGGAACTGGCGCGCGCGGCTCATCTAGGAAGCAAGCACATTATGGAGGAGGTGAGATGCTATAACTACAAATGCCTACCTCGTTTCAACTGCTGACCGCTGCCACTGCGCAGGTATCATGGCGTGACCTCATGGATATGTCATACGAAGCTGGGGGTGTCTACCCTACCATCGTGGGTTATGCGCTCGGCACCATCACGGCGCTCTTCTTCTCACGTTGCTCGTCCTGGATATCTCGGCTTGTTCCGGCAGCACTGTGTCCCATGTTCCTTTTGCACATCTTTTACAACCATGAGGCGAAACCTTTCAAATGGATGCTCTTGATAGCTGCTGGAACCGGCATAGGTTGCACCTACGTGCAGAAGGCTTCGATGGACCTCATCCGCGACCATTTCGCGTTTAAAAGAGTGGTGGGCAAGGCAAATAAACGAGAGAAACATGATTGAAACGGGAAGAAGCGCGCAAACACGACGTTAACCCTCATTTTCATCGGCGTGAGAATTAGACGTAATCTCAATCACGGATAGCTACTCTCCTTTCTTTACTTGTCTCCACTAAATATCTTTTCTTCAAGCCGTCTCAGCCATCGCCGACAGCACAACTGCGTAGCTCACGACGAACAAGGAGCCAGCAACTGCGATGCCAATAGCCAAAGTCGACATCAACCCCGTGGCATTACTGCCATTCAGAGCGTTGGTGTCTGCGGCACACTGACGCTCGCGTGAACGGCGTGCCATCACCGGTGTGTGTCGATTGACCATATTCGACTGGCATTTTTCCGCCTGCGACTTCTCAAAAGAGCCCGATATCTACGACGTGCAAGCACCAAGTTAATTTGATAAAACAAGCTAGTACAAATAGCAGTCACGCGCACCTTACGGTGCTGCAAGGCTGCAGACATGGTGCGGTCGCCGGAGTTCTTTCTCATCGTAACGTTTTTGATCTGGTGAGCCAAACGCCTTTCAAAGATTCGCTTCAGTTTTATCCAATCATTGGGCGGTAAAAAAGAACGGGCCAATCGTAAGCGAGCTACTAATGACCAATGAGCGAGGGTTGCAGGATGCTCGCCATCAATTTATCTGGCCAGCAATGACGTTGCCCTTTGGTCTGAGACTGGAGACGCTAGCGCTGACACTGCAAGCCACGGCATTCCTGTGGTTCTGGTGGAGACAATCACAATCGCATTCTGGCGATTTCCAGAAGCTTAAGGTGCTCCGCATTTTTGATGTAATCAATAAAATGTTGTCTTTTTCATCAAATTCCCAAATTTCCGACCACTGCAGGAACTGGAACGCGATGCGGCCAAGAAAGAAAAGGCGCGACTTGACGAAAGACGAGGACGCGTAGCTGCTGAGAAGGTCATTGTTATTGAGAGCCATTGATTGCAATGGCTGTAACACCGATAAGCTTTGTGATTCTGTTTTACCGGTACCAGGAGCTGCGACGTGTGATGGAGGAGAAACTGGATACAAGCAAAGGGTGTTTCGTACAGCCTGTAGGAACAGTTCACTCGTGTTTCAAGGTGTGCTTGGGTGCGTACACATTTTTTTACTAGTAGTAGGGATGTTCGCTAACATATTTGCTTCATGAGTAGGCACGCCGCGTCAAGGTTCACTTGCACCATCGACACGGGCGAAAATTACCTTTCAGCGGAGTATCTCTCCAGATACATTGGTTGGATTAGAGGATTTTAGCCATGTGTGGATCATTTTCGTCTTCCACCAAAATACGAATGGTAAAAATACTCGAGCGCACGAGGGTCTCCGATCGGATAGCCATCGGCACACGTTCCGTGTATGTATACATGGCCAGGTTCAACATTTGTTGAGTTGAGTGGAAAGCTAATCGACAGGTGTCACTGTTATCCAACTGGTATTTTTCAACAGGCCAAGATCTCCCCTCCGATGTTGAAGGAACGCGTAGGCATCTTTTGCACTCGCTCACCCCATCGGCCCAACCCAATTGGAATCACGCTGGCAAAAATTGAACGCGTTGATCTGCGCCAACGCACCGTGTATCTATCGGGAGTGGACTTACTTGACGAGACCCCGATACTTGACATTAAACCGTACATTGCAGGTAAGAAAAGCATCAAGATATTAAAAAGCACTGAACTGAACTAAATATTTCTATCTGATGCAGCGTATGATAGCCTCCCGGGTGCACTCGCAGCAAGCTGGGTCTCCACTCCGCAACCACCTATCCAGTACGTGCAAAAGTCTGTCCTCGTTGTGGCTTCGACTAACGGTGTTTTACCAGAATTGTGTGGGAAGCGAGTGATCTGATTCCAACAATCCACCGACTGTCTGCAAAGTCTGTACACTACCGTGACACTCCTGAGAAGTTTGTAGCTGCCATCGAAGAAGTGTTACAAGTCGACGTCCGCAGCAAGTACCAGACACGTCGGTGGACGTCCCCCGACTACGTGAACTACCAGATCGTCGATAACATTCGCGTGCAGTATCGCTTTGCCTTGTTATCGCAGCCATCTCTATCAGTGGATGACGAAAACAACGTCGACACGGCGCATATTCAAATTTCTGCAGTTGAAGAAGTGAAAACTGCACGAGATCAATAACAGCTTCAATTTGATCAAACCTCTCTTAGTGCATACCAAAGGTTCTAAATTCACTTCAATAGGCCACTAGTTTTGACCCAGACTTATTTTCGCGCGTGAAGAGGTCCAAGCCTGTCATGGCCGCGAGCCTCCCACCTGCAATTCCCTCGACTCCTGCAACACCCAGGTAAATGGTGTTACCTTCCGATATTTTCCATGTTGTATTGTGTCGATTCTGACCTTCTGTTTGCTTTTCTACGGTGAGTAGCGGCTCCAATCTCAACACTGAATCAAAACCGACCATGACGCCGTCTACGGGGATTCATGGAGCAAGTCCACCGGCAAAATCTGGCTCAGTGCCAGCATTAGAGCAGGAAGAAGTGGAAAACCCAGCTGAAGCTTCTGTCGAGAGGCCTGTATTGAGCAAGAGTAGGAGACGCCGCGATAGACGCTCCAAACCAAAGCCAAAGCCCAAGAAGAAGCACTCAGCGCAATCCGTGGGCTACTACGTGGACGCTCTAGACAAGAAGATGCTGTGGGGAGAAGCCAGGATCATTCAGTGCAATTTGACCACTCAGAAGATCAAGGTGCACTTCGTGGGGTGGAGCAAGAACTACGACCTTTGGACAGATGCCATGTCAATTACGGCTCACGGTCGCTACGCTCGTACGTGACGATATTTACCGGTACCTTACAGACTTTTATCTTACATAGACCCCTCTGCTGCTCTATTACAGCTCGTACGAAGGACGAGACTGTCAAGAGCTGGGATGGCGACATGCATCTTTTTGAGGACATGTTGGGCACGATTGAGGAAGCCACCTTCACTCCTATTCCAGTACCAGGGAGCGACCCCACGGCCACTTTATCACAAAGTTCTTCTAGGAGAAAACCCATCGACAAGAAGAAAGTTTCCAGTGAGAAGAGTACATCCAGTGCTAAGCTCTCACATCCTTTTCAGCCTAACAGATCTCACTCGAAAAGAAAAGCTACTGTGGGAAATGAAGAGCAGGTCAGTTCCAAGAGTGCAGCCACAACAGTAAAGGAAGCTGACAGCAATAGACTTCGCCAAGATTCAAAGCGCAGCTCAAAACGTGTGGCAGGTGGAGAGAAGGTCAAGGGTGAGGGTGATGAGAAGGAGGAGTCGCAGCGAAGCTCCAAGCGACAGAAACGAGAGACACGGTTGCCAGATACAACCACTGCCCCAACAAGAGCGAACGCCCGCCCATCAAAGAAGAAGAGGACCCTTTCTCCCGATCAGCTTCCACTGTTTCGTGATCTGGAGCTGGACGATGGCACTGTGCTGGATTTCTCGGTACAACGAGAGGAAGCACGAGCAGAACGTGAAGCAATGCAAAGCTTTGTCGACAAGTGCGCTCTGATCTGGAAGAAGCAGCTAGCGCTTTCGGTACACTAAGTCGGATGACGTAGGGAGATCTAATGCTGGAGGCGCTGTTAAGAAAGTCTGTCGGAAATGATGGCAGCGATGTTTGTGAAGATGAACAAGATAATTTTCGATGAAGTCACCAAAATGGGGCAGCAAACCTTTGTTGCACAATCGCACATGGGAATGAGCCGCGTATAGCTCTATGATCGTTTCAAGGCTATTTCTCACAAATGTTCGGGCGCCTTCACTCTGAAGCCTTGAATTGGACTTAACCAAGTGCGAGGATGGAAGAAACAAGAACAACACAACGCCCGTATGGAAATACAGGCATGCATCGACGCTTCTCTTTTTCTCGTGAAGCTGTCGAAGCTATTGAAAAGGTGAGAAGCATGGCTTTACCAGTGACAAGTCAAGCTATATTAACGGTGCGTGATTGTGGTAGAGGAAGCATGATTCAAGTCCCGACAAATCCCCTCGCAAGGCTTTCTCGTCTCCGTCGATGACACGTACGCATGACACGCTGGGCTATTGGAATGAGCGTCGACCAGATCAGCAGGAAAGAGTGCAAGAACAAATAATTTCTAATGCAGAAACTGCAGACGATCAGCAAGTTTCCGTTAGCCCCAGCGAGGATGTGACGTTCACGCTTGAAATCAAAAGTCAGTCTGACCGGTTTAGCGATGACGATAGTGACGGTTCGGCGTACTCGTCGGTCTGTTCAAAAGACGAATATTCTCCTACGCCGTCGTCGGCTGGATCTGTCACCTCGAGCTCGCCACTGTTGCATCGAGAGCAGCCAGCTGGGTTCAACACGCTGCACAGTGAGGCGAGCGAGCCTTCGCCGATGGACCGTCAAAATAAACCTCAGGAAGGAGTTGAGAGTGAGCTACAGTCAAAGCTCAGCTTGGATTTGACAGCGAAAAGCCCTTTGTCGCCAACACCGAGCAACAAGCTGCTGCCGGCAGAAGAGAAGACAGACATCTACGAAGATGACCTCCCAGATTGGCTGCTAGGGCGAACCACTCTGTCTCCACCTGCCTCAACGACAAAGATGCCAGCGCGTTCCCCTCAACAGATCGAAGGAGAGATCCGTTTCGCCGTCGATTCAGCGGCCGCTCGGGTCCAACAAGAGCTTGGGCGTCGTGAGCAGTTCAACAGCGAGTTACGATCTGCCGCAATGTGGTCGCCGACCGCAACAAGTACAGACAAGCCGTCGGCGACCTCAAAACTGTTTTCGAGTGGTGGAAATGATTTCGAGAGGCGTGCCAACGTGTCTGATGAACAGTTTGGTGTCCAAAGTGAACAGGAAGTGCAGCCTATCGCTGATCTTGCCGTCACGGATGAAGCAGAACAAGGCGATCTTTTGCTGCTGATGGAAGTGGTCATAGGCGACGGCAGAACTGAGACGATTGAGATTCACGATGGGGACAATCCTGATGCTTTAGCTGCGGCTTTCGCACAAAAGTACGCGCTGCAACCTGACTCAATTCCTAAACTCAGACATTTGATCCAAGAGCAGCTCAGCGCTCTCGATGAAGCAGAATCCGATGAAATGTTAGACTCGGAGCAGGTTGTTGAAGATGAATGGGTCGTCGACACCGAACTGGAACAATTTGTGAATGCTACATACACTTCAGCAGCCCAAGATATCAGTCATACAAACGAAGACATGAATCTGGCGCATTTGATCCAACCCGAGCTTCACAGCTGTGCACCAAATCAACTATACGAGCGTGAAAATCATCGTGAGTTTAACTACAACAATCTGTTGGCTAGGTATGGCCATTATTCGCAGCAAAGTGGCAAGGTGGACCCCGAAGGAAGTAGAGAGCGTCGAGCAACGCCGAGTGCACCACTCAATATGCAGATAATGGATCCGAAAAGAACTGGTGAGCGTGTATCGGCGTCTTCCAGAGCCCCAACTTTCACAACTACGGTCCAAGGCAATCGCAGCAGCAACTCGAAGAAGAAAACCAATCTTGTTGATGCACCGGCGTATGAGCGACTGCACGCTCTGGCCGAGTCGAAAGACAAGTGGATTCAACGCGCACAGAGAGCGAAGGAACTGGAACAGATGCGAGACGAGCAGCGACTGCAAACTGTCGAGCTGATGGCGGCCAAGTCTCGGGAGCTCGTGGCTAATCGTACGAACGGAAACTATTCGCATATAGGTGAGCGCCTCCACGACGAAGCATTGTCGGATATTTCCAAAAAGGTGCAACGCCACGAACGCCGAGTTGTGGAGCGTGAGCAGCAGCAAAGCTGGATGTGTCCCAAATGTGGCTATGTGAACCAGTACAACGACGCTCGATGCCAGAACAAAATGGCACAAAAGACAAGAGCCCAGCGTGGTAAACCCTCGACGGTATCACGAAGAGATACTGCCAGTAGCGCCAACAGCTCGTTTGGTTCGCAGCCTGAGGTGCTTTGTGGACAGCCCAAGCCTGAGCGGCTTTTTCAGCCAACATTGATCACCAATTCATCCAGCACCATGAAAGCTGTCCACGCCAATAAAGAAAAGTCCTCGCGGATGGCAAGTTTGCGACGCCAGAGACACCAAAGCGCGATCGCTGGGGAATTCCAGCAAACGTGTCCGTTTAAACCGAAGATCAACAAGGTGTCGAAGGAGATAGTGCGAGAAAAACAGGAGACTGCTGCTGCTGTTGCAGCGTTGAACGGCGAGGCTAGACGCTCACGAAACCCTCATCTTGAGCTGTATGAAAACTCCTTCCAGGTTCGAACCAAGCGAGAAGAACGAGAAGAAGAATACTTTAAGCAGTTTTCTTTCAAGCCTAATATTGGCGTGAACGCGCTCTGGGTTTCGCCAGACAAATCCCAGAGCGATTTTGTGGAGCGTCTCGCCGTTGACAAGTACCACGAATTGGAGCGGAAACGCGTTGCACTTTACGACAAGTATGCTCCAGATCGGGACCCTAACACAGGAAAAGAGCTCTTCCAGCCCGAAACTGGTCGAGCTCCTGCTTTTTCACGCAACAAGCAAGGACTACCCATTGGAGACTTCTTGCATGCTGCTCACAGTGAACAACAAGCGTATCACCGCCAGTTGCGGGAGAAGGATCAGCGTGAAATAAAGAAGAAATCGCAGCAAACATTTGTGTCGGAGGCATCGCGCCGAGCACTGGAGCGACGAAAAGCGGACACCTGCTTGCGGATTTTTAACGCTCTCCTCGCCATGTCTCGTGAATCATCAACAACCTCGGAGTCCAGTGCACCTACAATGCTTTCAAGCTGTGAAGAAGTAAACGGAGAAAGTAGTGACGCGGTGATACCTGCCCGGGTGGATCTCTCGGCGCTACCAGTTGAGATTTCTCGTGTCGTTGCGATTGTGTTTGAGTATGCAAACCACGTGCCGATCTCGCGAGATGCCTTCTCGGGATACATAGATCGACTTGTACGGGAAGTACCAGGTGTTACCTATTCGCAGATAATATTCCTATCCGAGCATCTCCAGACCGGTAAAAGTGGTCGGAATCCTCACCAATTTCACCACTCGGATCCTGAACGGGAAGCGGCTCTTGCTGAGGAAAAGGAGCTGACCTTCCACCCGGTTATTGACAAGAACTCGCGTGAAATCGCCACCAAACATGGCCGAGTAGCAGGTTCCAAGGTCTTCGAGGCACTCAATCAGTACTATGACCACTATCTTGAGCGTAAGGAACAGTTCCGTAAACAGCAGCAGCGCGAGTTTAAGAAGACGCACCCGTTCCAACCTACACTGGTCACGAAACCTCATCTGCGGGAACCGGCGGCTGCTGCTTTTTACGACAAGATCCTAATCGGTAACTACGAGGACTCTGGGAACGTCATGTCCTCCTGGGGGGTCACTGCCTCTGTGTCGTCAGCTCCAGTATCAAATCGAAATGTGGGTGTGAACATACCTGCTTCAGCTCCACTACAGACGGCTCTCTCGAACGCGAGACCTTCTGTGCGTCCAATCGAGAACGAACCCGGCAGATTCTACCCGTCATCGGTGGCCGACGAAGCTCCACTTGAGGATATCTTAGAAAGTATATCAAGAAGCTCGTCATGCTCCCAGCTCGAAGATGCCGAACTTACGTCACGAGTGCTCGCAGCACTGGACGAGAAGCCCGCATCTACTTCGCCAACACCCTCGTATCTCCCGACCAAAGCACGTTCAGCCAACGATGACTCGAACTTATCTGCAGACAAGGAATGCTCCGTGAGATCACGTGAGGACTCGGTCCTGAGCCCTGCGAACTTCGTGTAAGCTAGATAACCTCTCAATATGAAACTTAACTTCAACCCTCTATTCACGATACAAAACCTTCTATTCAGAATCGTATGATGTTACTGAGGATCGAAGGAGTTTTGCACCTAATTCGGCAAGCGAATGCGCGCAACTGAGGTGGTGCATCCGGTGAACGGGACGACGATGACAGCGCCGTCACTGAAGAACATTTTCGTGCTATACTCGCTAATGGGCGAGGAATTGGAGCCCGTACAGGAAAGCAAACCGCAGCGCGGACCCGACACCAACTGGAACGCCTTCGTTCTGCCGCTACCGTCCGCAGGTGGTCGAGTGCGGCTTGCAGATGTGCAGAAGGCGTTCCCTCTAGGCAGCAACTATCATTTCGCCTTCCGCTGTGAGGATGGTGCCTACTTGGACTTAACAAATCCGGATTCGGCTGTTCCGTTCTGCGGCCGCAAGATCCTGGCTCGCATCACGCCTTTGGACGAGGAAATAAGTGTCGAGTATCTACACTACGAGGAGTCTCGAGAAGCGGTACCGCCGTCAGGACAGGCACATATCTTAACAGAGACGGAAGTTCGCACTGATAGCTATGGAAGTAGCACGACAGAACGTCGTCATCGCGACGATTATGAGGAGTTCGAGTCGACGACGTACGAGTCCCAAGGTAAGGGATGGGAGAGGGATGTTAGTTGTACCAGTTCTAATGTATGTGCTCTGGTGTTTAGATGAAGAACCACCAGCATCAGTTGCACGCTCGCAATCACGTGATAAAATGCGGAAGGATCAGACGGGAAATGAATGGAACCGCGATAACTACGAGAACGGCGGCACTGAATACCAGAACGTGGGTGATGACAATCGCGGCTCGCAGTTTGGTCGTGATGATCGATATGACTCGAGTGGCTCTCGTCAATCATCAGAATGGACTGAGGCAGGCAAAGACGCACAGGCTTATTTGCGGAAACAAACGGAGCAAGCATACGATTTTGCCAAGAAGATTTCTATTGAGGATGCCAAGAAAGGTGCGTCAGAGACAGCCAAGAAGGCGAAGAAATGGGGTGGATCCTGCTTTCGTCGATCAGTGCAACTATTTCTAGTGCCAGTGCCAATGTTACGAAGGTAAGTTTGCATACTTTTTCTCCTAAGGATTGAAAGATTCTAATGAGATGCACGGTTAATGCCAGAGTGAAACCATCCAAGTTGGCGGTGTCACCGTGCAAGTCGTGCGGCTACTCGCCGAAGGGGCCTATGCTCAAGTGCTTTTGGTTCGGTCATCTGCCACCAACGAAACTTTTGCGCTAAAACGAATCCTCTGCCAGTCCCAAGAGGTTGAAAATGACGTGCAGATGGAGCTTCAAGTCTTCCGGGTACGAATTTTATTGCTGATGCTTCATTCTCTAAGATCATGACTAATGTTACCTCTATTGTTTCGTCCAGTCTGTCAAGCACCTAAATATCATGCCACTTGTAGAGTTTTCTGAAGCACGGGTTCAGCAAGGAATGGAGGTACGAATAGCTAATTTGCGTTTGATTTTCTGTACGTAGACAAGCTAACTTTTGGTCATGTTCATTGCTCGTTTTAGTTTTACTTTTTGGTCCCGTACTTTGAGCGCGGAAGTTTGTGGGATGCGATTGACGCCGCGTGCCAGTCGTCGTCACCTCTGTGGCCGTTTACGCAGCGCACTGCACTGCATCTCTTCCACGGTATTTGCGCGGGCGTGCTTGCACTCCATCGTGCAGGCTTTTGCCACAGAGATATCAAACCACACAACATTCTGCTCTCCTCGTCCTCCACCGGGGAAGATTTCCTTGCCTACATCCCGGTGGTAACAGACTTTGGTAGCTGTGCCCCCATTCGTGTCGAAGTCAACTCACGTCGGAATTCACTCGAGCTGCAAGATGAAGCAAACCGAAAAAGCTCCGCTCCGTATCGGGCTCCAGAACTCTTCGAGCCAACAGTTGACGTAGCGCTGGATGGTCAATCGGACGTGTGGTCTCTTGGTTGCGTATTGTAAGTATCGTGCAGTGTTGTTTTGGCTGACCTGGGTGATTTAATGTGGACAAGGGTTTAACTACGGCTTTGCTGACTTGCAGATACACGATGGCATTTGGAACCAGTCCATTTGAGCACCCGCGAGAGGTATAAGCTCATTGTTTTCCCAACTGCTCGGCAAGCCTTCTCATGGTGGAATTATTTTGATATACTCAGGGCTTTATGAAGCTGGCTTGCTTGAACGGCCGAGTGTCGTTCCCACCAGAACAAGGCGGCGTTGTGCTCCATCGCGGGACTCAGTTTACGATCGAGTTCTGCGACTTTATCCGGGACATGCTACACACAAACCCCGAGGAGCGGCCTTCAGTTTTGGACGCGCTCGAGTTCACTGAAGAGCTCCTCAATGACGAAATGCAGCGGTAAGATGTCAAAACTGTTCACTTTATTTTTCTTTCTTGCCCTCGAGCTCCGATCTTTCAAATACAAACAAGCAACTTGGAAAGACAAACCCAATAAAAGTTATTCGTGTTAGTTTTAAAATCCAACAGTGCTCATTGCTATCACGAAAATGTTGCTTGATGAGAGCACGAAGGAGCAGACGAAATGCTCGTCAGTCATGCGTCTTGAGGACTTAGGCCAAGTAAGCAGCGACGACGCTTACGGTGGCCGCCAATACGGTCGAGACGGCGGTCGTTGTAGTCGCAGCACTGGATCCCGCAGTCGATGCGGAGCTGTCCGAAGCTGTGCTGCTGGCCGTGGAGGGGGCGTCCGTTCCTCCCACAGGTGCGAATGAGGCCGAGCCCGAGCTGACGCTCCAGCCAACAGAGCCGCTGTTGGCGTATGAGTCGGTCGTACTGGAGGGTGTGATACCGCAGTACTCGAGCAGCTTCTGGGCCGAGTATTGTAGACCCCAGAGGTTGTAGCGACAGTTGGGTAGTTCGTTGTACAGCTCTTGCAGCGCGGCCTTGCAGGACGTAGTGTCACAAATCTGGGTGGCATCGGCCGTCGTGACTTGCAGCATTGTGCCCGATTGTAAGCCCAGCGCCTCCTCGCATTGCTCGGCGCGCTGGTTCGACGTCAGAATTGTTTCGCCCGCGTTAAGCTGTGTCGTGTTGCACTCGGGGATGGCCGCGAGCTCTGCCGACATGGACGCCGATCCCGACCCCGGCGCAGACGCCAGCGAGGCCGTTGTTGTCGTCGAGCTGGACTGCGCCGAGGCGATGGCGGCGACAGCGGCTACTAGCAGGACAGGCGTGAAGGTGCGCATTGTACCGGCTACTGAAGAGGTCCAAGGAATATTTCAAAGTGACCAAGGGAGAGTCGGGAACACTTTTTACTCCTTTTTAGACTCAATTTATGTGTCCTACAGATGGCGTACCTCAACGTATTAGCGAGAGCGGTCAACTGTGCATGCACCTCAGGTGAGCACCTATGATGCGCCAGTTAATATGCTATGTCGGTTGCGAAGCCGCAGTGGTTGAGGAACTTTGCAGCCGAGTACTTAAGCCCCCACAGCTCATATCGGCAGTTGGGCAACGTGGAGAAAAGCGTTTGAAGCGCGTTAAGGCAGATCTGCTCTGCGCAAAACTCGCCAGCGGCGTCGGCGGATTGCAGCATCATGCCGGACTTGATGTCGACCTTCTTCTCACACAACAGCGTGCTCGGCTCCGTGGTGAGAATTGCTTCACCGAGATTCAGCTGGTCTTGGGTACACCCCGGAATCTCATATACAGCACCAGCTTCTTCTGTCCCATTCGACACGGCAACGGCAGAATACACCGAAACATCGAAAAAGACAAGAAGAAGGATGGCAACAGATAGATAAGTGCGAGCTGTCATGGGTTGATAATTAGCTGTCCAAAGCAATTGTGACGACCATCAAGCGTTAAATGCTTTGGAATCGATTTTTAGTCCCAGTGATGACGCAAATCAGACAATTCAGTGGAAAAACTTCTTCAATTTCGATACTTGGCTCTGGTCGAAGATTGCCTCTATGGGTGATCGTGCGATATCTAGAAGTCGCGTCTTGCTTAATTTGAACGCCTGCGCGGCACGCATGTACTCGATCGTTAGGGTCGTGCCCAGGACGCCGTGGTCATCTGTGCAGATACACATGGGGTAAACACCGAACTGCTGCTCTTGGTTGCGATCGTTGGCGAGCAGCTTGCCGTGCGGGTGCGAGGTAAAGCCGCACACACACAGCCCTGAGACATCGTGCTTTTCATCTGATGAACAAATGCAGTCCCCTTCGTTGCGGTATCTCGCTAGAGTGTGCACGTTGGAGGTCAAGCATATCTCGACGGGTATTCGTAGCTCCAGCATCTTGGCGTAGAGAGGCTCCGGTAGGCAACAGGCGTGGCCCAGTCGGTCCGGTCGAAAGTCGAGGATCCGAGTGGACTCATCGTCGTCGAAGTGTTCGGCGAAGTGCACAGCGAGCTTGAGGCCGCCGGCTCTCGCACGCTCTAACACATTCTCGAAGCGATAGAATTCGGAATCTGGGCGCTCTGAGTTTCCGCTGAGGTCGATACCCACAATGAATGGGCAGTGCTGCTCGCTCTTGCGCTTGATTGCCATATCAACAGTGTCTTCTGCGAGCTGCAACGGCTGGTTCCTGTTGATGCTGAGCAGTAATCGCACCTCAATATCCAGATCTCGTCGCGCGTGACATTCCTCAAGCGCTGCCACCACTTCGTCCACATAGTCTGCACGTGTGGCACGATCTCTCGGCATATCACGCGGCGTAGAGCGCAGCTCCAAATACTTGACATTCTCTGCGGCAAAATCTTCCACTGCTTCAATGACAATCCGGCGGAGCACGCGTCGACTAGTGACGACTTGGTGGATCAGCCCGAACATCTCGAAACACTCCTCCAAACTGCGATTCTTCGGGAGTCGCAGCGGCTCTGTACCCTTCAGGTTCGCTTCATCTTGCAACAGTTCCTCCAAGGTCGATGGCCTAATGGATCCGTGGATGTGTGCGTGCAGCTCCACCTTGGGTAGCGCCTTGCAGTACGCAGCAAACTTGCCATCCATCGTGCAGGGAAAGATGGTGTTCGCGTGGTGTGGTTTGACTAAAAGAGACCGGTTTCAAATGTCACGGTCAAAGAAGTGACGCAACAAAGGTCAACAGAACACCACAACCAAACCGACCTAACTCGCACCAAGCCCCCTTCATCACCTCGCTATGATCGACCACTTTGTCATCTTTTGCAAGACTGGTACAGTGCTGTGGTCGCGCACACTATGTAAGCTGGGTGGCGACCCAGTGGACAACCTCATCAACCGCGTGCTAATGGAAGACCGCGCCGGTGAGAAGAAGTTCATCGACGACGCGTACGCGATGCAGTGGGTGTTCGAGAACAAGCTGGATCTGGTCTTCGTGGTGGTTTACCAGAAGATTCTGCGACTGCTGTACATTGAAGAGCTACTGGAAATCGTCAAGAAGGACTTCATGGCCATGTTCCCGCAGCAGATCGCCAACAAGACGCCCGTCAAGTACGAAGACAAGTTCACCAAAATCCTCAAGGCCACGGAACTCAAGTTTACAGAGAAACAAGCACGCAAGGGTCCTCGCGCATTCAATGCGTCTAAGAAAGCCAAAGCCAAGGGTGTGACGTCCAATACGTCGGGCAAAACAGCGTCGTCATCGCGTTCAGCGACGACTGCAGATGTACGCTTCTTGCTCAGTTGTTATTGCGATTTTTCCTTGTGTTTTAATGAGCTCATTGTTTGTGTATTATCGGAGCAGTCAAGTGAAGATGGCAGTGACAGCCCCACGTCCGACGGGAAGGACAAGAGTCTGGAGGAGCTGGAGAACGAAGCAGCTCTTCGCTCGAAGGTGCGCAAGATGCGCACGGGCCCACGTCGTAAGGGAAAAGATAAGGCCGCGAAGGAGACCAAGAAGAGCGGCAAAAAGATGACCAAATGGGACGACACGAAGGTTTCCAAGAAGGAGGCCGAGGCGCTGGATCGCTCCAAGACGGTGAGCATGACATCTGTGGTCGAGCTGCTGCAATCGAGTGGTCTCACTAATCGAATTACGTGTATGTGCTAAATCATACCGCCAGACCACAGCTGAGGAGGAAGAAGCGCAGCTCCGCGAGAAGCGTGAAGCGTACATTGGAGTAAGCTTGCCTTTCTTGTTTAACTACTACCCCCGATGTGGCAAGCGGTCGTTGCTACGGTAATCTAATGGTACTTTTATACTACTAGGAAATGGAGGACAGCGAGTCGGAAGATTTCTCTGACACCGACGATGAGTCGGCGGCTTCCTCTGGGGCAGAGTCCGACTCGAGCCAGGGTTGGAGCTTTTCCAAGACGCGTCTGGGTAACTTTCTGAGCACAGTGTCTGGCAACAAGATTCTCGAGCGTGAAGACTTGGAGCCTGTGATCACACCGATGCACCAAATGGTAGGCACCTCTCTGTGCCAGATGCATCTCTCACGTGCATTTAATTGACTGCTGTGTGTCGTCCAATTGCAGTTAATCAGTAAGAATGTGGCTTCGGAAGTCGCTGATGAGCTGTGTGAGTCTGTCATCACTACCGTGGTCGGCCAGAGACTTGAGAGCTTCACTCGTATTTCCACTGTCGTTCGTAAGGCGTTGGAGGCTGCGCTGCTGCGTATTTTGACGCCGAAGAAGTCCACCGACGTGCTGCGTGAAATTCTCCAAGCTAAGTCTGAGGGCCGTGCGTACAGCATTGTTTTCGTGGGTGTAAACGGTGTTGGCAAGTCCACCAGCTTGTCCAAGGTGTGCTACTACCTTAAGTCGAAGGGTGTCAACGTCATGATCGCTGCTTGTGATACGTTCCGCTCTGGAGCTGTGGAGCAGTTGAACCAGCATGCTAAGGTTCTGGACGTGGAGCTATTCCAGAAGGGCTATGCGAAAGATCCCGCCTCGGTAGCCAAGGAGGCTATCAAGTATGGCACGGAAAACGGCTACGACTGTGTGCTTATTGACACTGCTGGGCGTATGCAAAACAACGAGCCACTCATGCGCGCGCTGGCCAAACTGGTATCGAACAACGAACCTGATCTGGTTCTATTCGTCGGAGAAGCGTTGGTGGGCAACGATGGTATTGACCAGCTTTCGATGTTTGACCGGGTATGTTGCTGGGTATATGATCGTTGCTACCTTAGTAGCGCTCTAAGCTTGCGGTTTCCTAATGTTTGTTAGGCCCTTGCTGACTACTCGGACCGCCGTGAACCGCACCGCATTGACGGCATTGTCGTCACGAAGTTCGACACGATTGATGACAAGGGTACGTTGTGGTGTAAACTTGAGTAATTTTTTTAAGCATTGCGTTGTGCAGGACTCACCTGCTCTTCTCTCTTACAGTTGGTGCTGCGGTGTCGATGGTGTACAAGACTGGCCAGCCCATCATGTTTGTCGGTACGGGTCAGAAGTACACGCACCTCAAGAAGCTGAATGTGCGCACTGTGATGCGTCACCTTCTTCAGTAAGGATTATTCCTTTGAAGCCTTGCACAGCACCCGCGGACCTCACTTCAACAGCATACTTCATATTGAGGACGGTTACTTTTTCTAACGCTTGAAATTGCGCTCGACTTTGATTCTTCTTATTGTTCGTTCCTACTTGCGCTGTATCCGTATCCAAGCTCAGGGTGTTGAAGTGGAGGCGTAACTAAGTCCACGCGAAGAGCATCCAGGTCGATAACCCACGGTGCTCCGAGCCACATGGCATGAGTGGTGTGGTCCTCGCGCTCGTAGCGAGTCAACGGGTGCACCAGGATGCTCAGCGATCCACGGTGAAGCGTAAACCACGACAACACCTGCGCGAAGGACTCAGCCGGCGCCCACGTCTCAAAGCTGCCACTGAGGTGGGGGCCCACGGGTCCGAGGTTCATCGGAGGTGGCTTTCCCTCTAAGCCAGGGAGCTCCTTGTTCGTCATTCCATTGCACACAGCGATAAAGGTCTTCGGGTTAGCTGCGACTTGCTCCACTAGCGCGTCGCGCAATGCCTGGGCCTCTTTCTTGGAGCGCTCATTGGTGTGGTAGAAGCACGTGTGGAAGTGCCATTCCTTGATGCTGCTCTCGTTGACTTTGTTCGTCGACATAGCGCAAAAAGATCTTCTTTAAGTGCGCACGCGGATCGATATGTGAGCGTCCACAGAGATCAGCACTTCGACCGCCATGGTGGCCAAGATCGTCTCGATTGCGTACAATAATTGTGTTTCGTCCAATCACAATTATTATTGCGGATGACGCGGCTTTGCATGACAGCCCATCACTACTCGGCGCAAAGAAACGCCAAAAAGATGCCTTCAATCCGCTGGTCACTCGTGCGAGGGAGAATGAATGTCACATCCGTCAGCCATTGGACACTTACAAAACAAGTTGCGATTGATGCTAATCATAGACTCGAGGGCGTAGTGGTTTTTGTGTTCTTGCTCAGCCTCGAGTCTTTTGACGCCAAGAGCTGATGCTCAAGCCAATTGGGCGTTGCCGTGACACTAGTATTAATAGCGACGAGACCGAGAAGCTGGCGTCGTTGCGTGTATGCAGGGACGGAGTTATTTCTGTGTGAAGAAGAAGATTGGTGAGGCGGGGTTTCATTTTTAAACTTCCGCTTCCAATTTGGTGAAACGTGTGCAGCTTCCCACTCCAGCAGTAGAGCCTCCGTGCGCAGCAGAAACCGAGCCGCCCGCGTCTGCTCGCTTGCGCGCTACCCCACATCGTTCGCGACCGTCGAAGAAGTAGCCCTTTGGCAGCCCTCGGCAGTGAGCAAAGGTAACACTGAGTCAACATGGGACTCTGTGCTTCCCAGATGAACGATAACGATCGGCAGGCGATGGCCAAGTCCCGTGAGATTGAAGCTAAGAACGAGGAGGCTCACCGCGTGGAACAGGAGAAGGTTAAGCTGTTGCTGCTAGGTGCAGGCGAGTCAGGCAAGAGTACGGTCTTTAAGCAGATGAAGGTGGGTCGATCGCTTATTACGGAAATACTGAGGCTGTAAGAATGCTACTAGAACTCTAACACTGCTTGCGTTTATTTGCTACGAAAGATTTTGTTTGGCGCAGCTCTTACTGAAGATGAGAAGCGGCACTGCACACCAATTATATATAACAACGTGGTGACGTCCATGAAGATGCTGATCGAGCAGTGTGCGGAAATGAAACTGAAAGGCGACGTGGTGTGCGTACAAGATTTCGAGGACATTCGGACGCTGAGCGATGAGGCAGAAGTGAACCTCGTCATAGGTCAGAAGATCAAAAACTTGTGGTCGGACCCTGGCATTGTAGCTACCTGGAACCGACGAGCAGAGTTCCAGATCATTGAGTCGGTCAAATACTACTTCAATGACCTGGATCGCATCATGCGTGACGACTACGCAGCGACGCAACAAGATATGCTGTACGCACGTGTGCGTACATCCGGTATCGTAGAAGAACGGTACCAGATCGATGGCGCCACTTTCGTCATGTACGATGTCGGTGGACAGCGTAACGAGCGTAAGAAGTGGATCCACTGCTTCGAGGACGTGACAGCAGTGATTTTCGTGGCAGCACTGAGTGAGTACGATCAGTCTTTGTACGAAGATGCGTCCACAAACCGTATGATCGAGGCCATCACCTTGTTCGACGAGATCATCAACAACAAGTTCTTCCTGAACTCAGCTATGATCCTGTTCCTCAACAAGAAGGACTTGTTCCAGGACAAGATCAAAAAGGTGGACCCGAAGACCGTCGAAGTGTTTAAAGACTTCCCCGGTGGCATTGGTGACTACGAGCTGGGTGTGCAATATTTCCTAGGAAAGTTTATGGAGATGAACCGCCAGCCCGAGAAGGAGATCTACCACCACGTGACTTGTGCCACGGACTCGCAGAACGTCCAAGTCGTGTTCAACGCCTGCAAAGATATTATTTTAAAGCAGAATATCAAGGGCTCTGGCTTCATGTAGGCAAGCGCAAGACTTGTACACGACAATGACAAACGCACGTCGACCAGGTAACTGACGGACGACACGCCGTGAGGTAGAGGAGTTGGTGGTCAAGCGAAGCGAGGCAGCTAATTCAGCGCCAGCTTAGCATAACCCCAGCGCTTCCCACCTTCGCCGGCTCGTAGGTAGTAGGAAGAGGTGGACTGCGTAGAACAATTTATATACATTGACCTTTTCCCATTTAACCTCTTGGTCTAGCCTAGATTGCATACACATCATGACCATGACCTTCTTGCTGGCATTGCAATGACACCGTCAATACGAGGCTGCTTAGATTTTCAGTTATGCCTTAAACTCATTCGCGCCAAAATAGACCTACCCACGGTTTGCTATAGACCAATAGATTATGACAAGATTTTGATTGAGCCAATTAAATTATTTGACGCTGTGTTCCGCCAATCAAAACCTGCTATATGAGCCCAAGAAGAATCTGCTCAGATGTGTACGGGATGGACGAGGACTTTGAGCTGGATATGGTCCCAACCAGATCGATCATTCCTCAATTCACCGAGTAATTCAAACCCCAATCAGCAGCAATGGCGAAGACTCCCTCCAAGAAGGCCGCTAAGACGGTTGCTAAGTCCGGTAAGGGCAAGGGCAAGGGCAAGAAGCGTGTTGAGTCGTACTCGACCTACATCTACAAGGTGCTGCGTCAGGTGCACCCCGACACGGGTATCAGCAAGCGTGGCATGTCGATCATGAACTCGTTCATCAACGACATTTTCGAGCGCATCGCTTCGGAGGCCGGTAAGCTTTCCCGCTACAACAAGAAGTCCACGCTTTCCAGCCGTGAGATCCAGACGGCCGTGCGTCTTATGCTCCCTGGTGAGCTTGCCAAGCACGCCGTGTCGGAGGGCACGAAGGCTGTGACCAAGTTTACGTCTGCTTAAGCGCTTTAGCGTACGCGTAAACTGCTCGGTCTGGCTTTTAAAGAGCCTCTGAAGCTTGTCGACTTACAAAGTGTGGTTGACGAAATCTAGTCGGAATTCGTTTGCTGTGCCTTCGCTGGTATTGCAACGTGGACCGCACAATTCATTCTGGTGTTTATTAACACCACCCTTTTGTGAAAGATATTTAAAGCGAGACAGATTCGGTCTTCGATTTGGATGAGATGTTTATGCAGGTTTTAAGGGCTTTTGTAATTTGTTTGAAAAGGTGTTCGCGTTTTGATGAAATCGACTATGACAGCTTGTGTGGGTCCGCTCGTCAGACACATCAGTACTGTCACAGTACTACGGTGTACACGTGTACCACTCGTAGAAGTAGTAGAAGTTGTGGGAAGAAGAGGAAAAGCACTTTGCTTTTCCAGAGTTCTGAAACTGTAAATCTGGTTGCAGATTTACTACTACGTACTACAGTAGTACTAGTACTACAGAGGTTGTGAAACTGTAAAACTAGCTGCAGATTTACTACTACTGTACTAGTAGTACAAGTGCTACAGTAGTGTATGAAGTAGCACACTAAAACTACTACATGTATTAAAGACTTTTACGTAGTGCGAAGTACAGTAGTACTGTAGTAGTAGTAGCTTGGTGCTCGAATTTCTTGTCGCAAGGTCTGCATTGTCAGCGAGCGTGGTTGAAGCAGAGTGAAGGTGCCGACGAAAGGATCCGCGATCATCAAAAGCGAGAGTTTGATCACAAGTGACCAGGACAGCGATGCGAAGGTTCCTCCTGCCTTGTTTGACAGCGAGTCTGAATTGTGGCTGGCTCGAAATCATTTTACAGTCATCCAGAAGATCGTGTATAGATTGAAAGATCTTAAAAAGAAACGAAATCCTGCCTGAGTCAACAAAGTCGTGGTCTGTTTTCGCGGAGGCACGCAAGCGCCGGTGATGCTCATGCTGCACAACTTTGATCTTCGCCGCGAAGTTCGCGAGGCAGATGGATACAGAGCGGCTAGTGGCACCACTGAAAATGCATCCATTCATGTGATAGCATTCCTCGAAACGTCTCAGTCCGCCGATACCTCCGTGCTGCGGTAAACTGCATGGTCTGGGATGCCACAAAGTTTTTGTTGTGACAAACGCAGTGGCTGCCAGCCACTGCGTTAGCCACTGGCTGCCACGCTGGCGATTAAGAAACTAATTTAAATAAGTACATATTGAAGCCAAACCACACGTGAAATGGTTCTTATGGTTGACGAACGACCAGCACATTAAAACTACTGGAACCGGTAAGTCTATCATGATACTAAGTTATTGTGAGATAGTCATGCTATTGTGGCCTGCTTCGTAGCAACCTGTCTTACAGGGTTCCCTGTGCAGGGTGATTCTTGCTGGAATCGCCCCGGTAGAAATAACAGCGATTCAATAATTGTCGACCTTGTGAGTGCTTGTACTATAATACTAGCTGGTGCGTTTCAGTGAAGACACTACCGTTGCTGTCATACTTGTCAGTGCTACAGACCGTATCTTGTTCGATGAAAGGCAACAATCTACCAGTACTGACATAGTTTAACCTCTTGTGGGGCTCCTTTCGCATAGAAAATACGTTTTTGAATTTATCTCCTTACGAAATCCTACTCTGACTCTTTTTTTCTAAGCAAAACCAAATTTGCAGAGTTTCGGGCGCACGCCGAATCATCCATTGTCGCCACCTCGCCCAGGTCGCATCCGTCTCCTTTGCCCGCTCCCGCTCATAACGCGACTGTCCTAGCGGATCCCAGAGAGTCTCGGAGAGTCCCAGCACCGCTTGCGCCTCCTCACCTGCCGCAATGACGCCGCCCGACTTCCTACTGCGTGTGCCGCCGCTTAAGCTCCATGTGCGCAACGCGACTCAAACCAACGGGGAACCAGCCGTGGTACGTTACCGGTAATCAACCCCCATACAAACCCACGAAACACTGCGCTAACCACCTTCTTCTCTTTGATTTGCCACAGTACGAGCTATTCTGTCGCCTCAATAAAACGCGAGAGAAGCAGGACGAGCCCGTCGAGGTGACGCAGTGGAGTCTCTGGAAAACGTACGAGGAGTTCCAGGCTTTCGACAACCAGATGCGTGCGACTCGCAATTCGCCTTTCTCGAAGATGATGGTCACTGTTGCATTTGCTCCCGTTCACCGTGTACGCGCCTTCTTCCACCAGGATCAGACGTCCAGTTTCCTTGAGAAACGTCGTGCTGAGCTGGACTTTTACATGCAAAGAGTGATGCTCTTTCCAGACGTTGTGGAGTTCTCCAAGCGCGGAGGCTGCAAGGTTCTGGCGGACTTTATCGGGGCTGACCAGCTCATGGACTGCTGTGGATTGGTGTCGCCTAGTATGAACATGTCGGGAGTTTTCTCGTCGTCGAGGGGAATGCTGCGTGACTCTACGGATTCAGACACCCGCGCGTCGTATGCCAGTGCTACAGGAACGGGAGATAAGATCAGCTCGCGACGTAAGATGTGCAGGATGGAGATCGAGGAAGAGCTCGCTCTACGTGGAGGAGCACACGAGCTTAAGCGGTTTAAGAAACGTGCACGTGTCTTCCGTAAGGAGAACGACCCCGTTGCCGCTGCGAACCCATTTGTGGAGTTTGTAAACGAGGAATATGATCCGGAATTCGCGATGTGGATTCTGCAGCGCTTTGTACGCTCAATCAAGAGCATCGAGAAGCGTGAGGCGCTCTGTACTGCCGGTGGCATTTCGGCCGAATCGATCGACGCTGAGGACTCAGGGGAGAACAGACCACAGCGACAGAATCACCGCTTTAGCGTGCAAGAAGACGAGGACGCTGATCGACGATCCAAGAAATATGGTACGTTAGCAAAGTGATGTTGTTGTTTGCTGGCTACCGGAAGACTTATTTGCTTGCTCTCGTATTGTTTCGCTCTTGCGGATTCCCCGCCAGCAGAGCAAAAGCTGCAGATTTTTTCCAGCAGTCAACGCAGCTCAGGTGGCCGTGCCAGTGACCCTGCCATCCCTGGACGCGTCTCGCGGAAGAAAGCCAACCGACAAATTCTAGAGCGGGTAAATGCTCTTTCGAACGGCAGCGTGCACACTGTGAGCGAGTTCAAGCATGCAGCCAAAGCACTTGGTAGCCAAGAGATGAGTGGCCAGGCGTTTGTAGATTATCTGCGCTCAACCTTCGGCAAAAAGGAAGCGGAAGAATTGCTCCATCTGGTTGTCGAGGTTGTTCCACAGCCACAGGTGCAGCAAGAGCTACGTGTCGCCTTGGCGCGGTAAACAAGTTACCTCGCCCCAGTTTTGCAAGAGTGACGAAGAGTCAAGGCCCTGGGATCCTCTGGGAAGCACAGACCAACACAGCATAGACAAGTGCAGCATTGCAAATGAGCCGCGTCCCACGAGATTCATCTACACGAACGGTGGCGATAGAAGCCGCCGCATCAATTTTTAACTGTACAAATATTCATAAGAAATAGTGTCCATTGCATCAACTAATCATCGCGTCAATTTTCAACACGATCTCGCGCAGTTTCTTGATCTCGAGCGTCGATCCGATGCCGTTTTTGAGTAAGTTAGCGAATTGAACTTTCGAGTACAACGTCTGCAATTATCATTTAACATGGTTAAAAGCTGAGGAGAATTGCATGACAGATGATACTACTCACCTTGTTAGCTTGTACCCATTCCAGAAGTTCATCCTCGTCGTAGTAAAATGCTTTGATGTAATTACCCACGTACTCCCGCCCACGAGGCACTGTCCGAGAGCTGACGTGGTTAATCAGGTCAAGACCATTCTGAAGTGCATGTAAGTCCAGTAACATCAGAGCACGGCCTTGAGCAGTGGGCTTGGACACCGTCGAGAAAGCCTGTAGCAATGTATCCATGATAATCTGCACCATTTCCGCCCAAATATCCTCCCGTGCATCCATCGGGATGGATCCGTCCGCCAGAATCTGTAGCCCTCCCCACGCTTCCCCACACTTCTGCACTAAGTGGACAATATACTCGTTGTGTTGATCACTGATGTACGGGATATCCCACGACACTGCGGCAACGGACTCCATGAGAGCAGGAACGTCCACAAGCCTCACTGCAATCGTGCTGTACATGAAGCTACGGAGCTCTCGTGCCATCGTGCGATTTCGCTCGAACACCTCATCCATAAGACACAGATATCGGTCCGGAAGATAAGATCGAGCGAGGTCTTCAATTGCGTTCAGCAGTCTGGACTGTCCGACAATCGCTTCACAAGCAATAGACCGCTCAGCCAGCGCGTACAAGTTGCCTTCATCTGCATCTTCCATGGCTGCTGGTACTCGAGTTATCTTGCGTAAAGTCACTTTTCTCGACATGGGCGAGTTCTGCTGATCCATTCTTCCTTTATCCGAGTTTGCAGCAGGGTATATCAGAGCAGACGACTGAAGCAGCACTTCCCCGGCGTTGACTTCATCCGCAATACGACAGATTCCAGTGCGCAGTCCATTCCACCGCGTAGCATCCTTCTTAATCAACCCCCCACCTTTACCCCGGAATAACTGGGCGATGTCGTCTGCAGCGAGGAAGTTGGTGAATACAGCGTACAAGTTGAACTCGAACAGATTGTTCAATAAGCGGAAAACATCCCAAGCAATATGAGGAAGATGCTCCATCATTTTCAGGTAAACACCACAGAGCCTAGCAAGCACAAACGACAGTTAGACCTCTCGGTACCAGCGCGCTCCACTTCAAAGAATTTCATTTACCGGACAAAACCTGCGAGACTGGATGAGGTCAACACAAATTCGGACTCGTTCGGATCCATTACAGGCAGCTCTTGGTTCGGAGACATTTTCTCACCACTATTTACACCAATAGTTTCATGGTGGAAGCGGATGCCTTGCTTCATCGACAGCCACTCCATCGAGTTGGCGGCGCCGAACGGGTTCCCTTCGCTGTGGAAAGAAGGAAACACGCGTCTCGAATAAATAGGGTTGACCGCAAGATCTCCACGAACTTTTCGCTCAAAGTAGTAACCACTCCGCTTCTCGATGAGCCGAAGAAGACCCGCATTATCGTCACCATCCGTGGTCGATCCAGTGACGCGAAGCCAGTTTTCTGTGTCCAAAAGCATCCGAGCCAGCTCGATATTGTCGTCGTGAAAGGCGTGCAGATACTGCTCACACTTGACACGAAGAACGGATCGAATCCTGTGAATTACAGACAGCCTCGTTATTCGATGCACAACTCGAACCATTAAGCATTCAACAAAACGCACTTTGACGATGCAGCGCCTGTGAACTCCTCCCCGATTTCAGAAAACGTCGTCGTCGCAAGTGAAAGCGCAATAATATGCTCCATCTTGTAGCCTAAACAATGAGAAAAATAAAGTTAGAGCCACAAGCCACCCTCATCTCCACACCTCGACAATTACTATAAGTCATGTCCAGCTTCTCAACCATCTCCAGGACGTTGTGTTGAATGTTTTCCCACACGATCTTGCGGTATCTTAGCAACGTCATTCCAGTATCACAAAGCACTTTCTCATACAAAGACCTTTGCGAGGCAGAATGTCCAAGCGATCCATTTCTCGAGCGCTGCGACGGAGACTCTGGTCTCTTCGCTCTTCCACTTCCATGACCGTGCCTTGACGAGTGAGTATGACGATACCCCTTCTCGTCGTGCGCATCTTCTTCTTCGCTGTCATCGTCGTCGTCGTCGTCATCATCGTCAATTCCGCAACGGTGGAGGTACACCATGCCATCGTTCAGCGGGTTAAACGGATCCCGATGCCATTGTACCAGAAGATAATACGTGTGCATCAAGTCGGTGAGATGTTCATAGCCTCTCTTGACGTTTTCCACTGTTTGGGACGCCGGTGTTAGTGCTGTATCCGCCGCTTCTCCGCTCTTGTTTCCGTTGTTGTCTTGTAAATGGGCGTTCTGGTTTCCTTGCTTGAGCTTCTTTGGCGACACAGCGTCAAAGACCCGACGCATAAACTCACTAGTCATGTCGTCGATTGAGCGCACGATGATTTCTGGAATTTTGGAGAGCACGTCGTTCAGCGTATACGATGAAAACTCGAAACCCAGATTTTCAGAGTGATCCGCTAGAGTAATGTAGGCTTGGAGCAGCTCCTTGTATTCAAGAGGATCGAAATGTCCGGCAACTTTCCGCAAAGACTGACACGAACAAAACCAAGACGAGTGAGATAGACCCTCGCTCCAGCTGATATCTTCAAAGCCATTAAACCCACCTGGTCGAATTGTTCCCGTAGTTTTGGAATAAAGTCTTGCATCCGAAGTCGAATTTCATCCAAGATAGTAAGACCCTGCATCTCCTCGCGCGACAATCCTTTCCTTAGACCAACGCAAATGTCCACCTGTTATCGTCACAACAACCGTCTTAGGTGCGTATAAAGTTTGAGCTGGCAAGTCAAGGTCACGAGGCACCTACAGCAGTAATAAAGTGATGCTCTTGAAGGGCACGATTCATCTTCTCTTCTTCCTCAAACAAGTGCACAATTTGCGAGCCCAAACCGACAATCTGATCATCAAAGAAACAAAATTGAGTACTTATATACCAAGAATGAGCGACAATTTATGGTCTCACTTCGCTAACACGATCCCGATTTCGCTTCGTTTTCACGATTTCCAGCGAGCTTCACACCGAGCAAGACGCATACAGGTTTAGTCTTGAGGTGTATGGAGTAGCGAAAAATCAGCAAACATATTACCTCATGATGAGGTCGTGCTTGGCTGTTGCAAGCAGGCGACGTCCGTTCTTAACGTGGATTTGAGCTCGAACCAAGTCGAGATCCACGTCCTGCACCACCTTCATGCCCTGAATCAGCGCGTTGTAGTTCGCGCGCACCTCGTCCTGCAGCTTGGTCAGAATAACGTCCTTGGCTACATCTACAGCACTGATCTCGGTGCGCATGAACACGTTCAGCGCGTCTTTTTTCTCGGGAAGATTTTCCTATTCAATTCACCAAGTTTAACGCTCCGTTCACACCACCTCCTCCACAATAAAAAACAGCGTACCAGCATATGTGCGACTGGGTCGAAGCTCTCAGTAAAGTAACGCGCATCCAGGGCCTCCAGTACCTCCTCATTCGGCTGCGGCACCAACACCGACATGGCTCTGGCCGTCTGCAACGTATGTATTGTCAGTCATACCGACATACTGTACAGTACCATTTCTCACTACAGCATACCCGCGGTGTAGGTAGAAACCCAGGTGAGAGCAGCGCTGTGTCCGTGTCGGAGCTATCGCTGTCACGCGGACTCTTCTTGGGCTTTGGGAACATACTGCGGGGCAGTCTGGCCATCCATTTCTGGTCCTTCAGTGTCACCAACATCGGAAGCTCGTCCATCATATCGCGCAGGTCCAGCGAGCGCTTCTTTTTCGCTGTTGACGGCACTACGGCCGACACCGTCACGGGCAGCGGCGCCTCCATCGCCGGATTTTCCAGTAATTTGAGTCGCGATCCGGGTCTGATTTCATGATTTATGGCAGGTAAAATGACGAATGAAAGGGTATTTTGTCTTTTGGGTCACCCAGAGTATCCTCCCACCCAAGTTGGGTGGGTGCCCAACAGCCATTTCTGAAAGCACCCAAGCCAAGGAAGCGATGGCCAACAGACAGCTGACGGAGGGTGCACCCCACGCCGTGTCCGATGAGACGCGCGCGCTTGCCGACACACTGAAAGCGCAGGGCAACGAGGCTCTGTCGCACTTCAAGTTTGCGCAGGCCGTGGAGCTGTACACGAAGGCCATTGAGCTGGTACCCACCGCGATCTTTTACGCCAACCGCGCAGCTGCACACGTCAAGAGTGAGAGCTACGGCCTGGCCATCGAAGATGCGTCGGCTGCTATTGAGCTGGAAGCCAGCTACATTAAAGGTATGGAGATGTTACCATGCGATTGACTGCAACTGAGAGACTCTAACCGGCGCTTGTGACTTTTTGCACAGCGTATTACCGTCGTGGCTCCGCGGAGCTGGCACTCGGTCACCATAAGAAGGCGATTAAGGACTTCCGTCTCGTGGTGCGCATAAAACCCCAGGACCGCGACGCGCGTGCTAAACTCAAACTTTGCGAGAAGATCATCAAGGAGGCGGCGTTTGCGGCGGCAATCCAATCAGAGCGCAATCTGCCGCTCTCGGAGACCATCGACGTCAATTCTCTGGTCGTAGATCCGTCGTACGATGGGCCATGTCTTCCAGAAGATGTATCGAAGACCAAACCCGACTTTATTGTGGCGTTGATGGATCGCTTTAAGCGTGGCAAGCTGCTGCACCGGAAGTTCGTGATCCAGATTCTACTCAAGCTTAAGGAGATGCTGTGTGCTCTGCCGTCGTTGCTACGTGTTTCTTTGCCGACTGACGACCCGGACGCGCACTTTACGGTGTGTGGAGACACCCACGGCCAATACTACGACGTGTGCAATATCTTCTCGCTTAACGGGCTGCCGAGCGAAAGCAACCCGTATTTATTCAATGGCGACTTTGTTGATCGAGGCTCGTTCTCGTTCGAAGTGGTTATGACGCTGTTCGCCATGAAGCTCGTGTATCCGCAGCACGTGCACCTGTTACGTGGCAACCACGAGTCCAAGAACATGAACAAGATCTACGGTTTCGAGGGCGAGGTGAAGCACAAGTATGACGAGACGGTCATGCAGCTCTTTACCGAGGTGTTCAACTGGCTGCCTCTTGCGGCTGTGATCGAAAACAAGGTGCTGGTGGTACACGGCGGTCTTTTCAGTGACGAGAACGTGACGCTGGCAGATATCGAGAAGATCGACCGCAACCGTGAACCTCCTGAGAGTGGACTCATGAGCGACCTGATGTGGAGTGACCCGCAGCCCTTCCCGGGTCGTGGCCCCAGTAAACGCGGCATCGGTCTGTCTTTCGGTCCTGATGTTACCAAGGCTTTCTTGGAGCTGAACAACCTTGGTACGATTTTGCTGCGGCTGTTTTGTTGTCGTCCGGATAACTAACATGCCACTCTGTTGTTATTCTAGACTTGTTGGTGCGCTCACACGAGGTCAAGGACGAAGGTTACTTAGTAGAGCACGACGGCAAGTGCATCACTGTTTTCAGTGCGCCGAACTATTGCGACCAGATGGGCAACAAGGGCGCGTTCATTCGCTTTGAGAGGGACATGCAGCCCCGATTCACGCAGTTTGTTGCAGTTGTACGTTCAATGTGGGAGTTTTGTATCGAGGAATGCGCTTCTGACTGTGTTGATATTGCTTTTATTTCTACAGGAACACCCCCCGATTCGACCGATGGCATATGCTGGTAACATGGGCGGTATGTTTGGCTAGACTAAAGCGAGGTGTCCAGATAAAGCGTAGCAAGCAGACTTCAACAGAATAATGCGTGTTCTAATGAACGATGGTGCGTACTCTTAAGTGAACAAACGCTGCATCAAGATGTTAGCGTTGTCTCGACAATACTTGATTTCTGCACTAAGATCGGCCAACTGACCTCGATAGAAACGCTGAACTGCGTCTGGTTCATATCTCGAGAAACGCGCACTCGGAGGTGCTGGTGGCATCCAGTCCGCTAGTGCTGCTACGGTGCAGAACACTTCGTCACCATTCAGCTGTACTAACGCTGCAAAGAGCTCCGAGGTTTGCTCCACAATCTCCCGTGGTGCTGCACGACTCAAGTATTTACTGCAGACGCGTGTGATTTCAGGCACAAGTTTTGTCACCGTCTCCGATTGTCGGCATACCGTGGTTAGACACGACAGAATCGTCAGCAGTTGACGAATCTCTTGCGTTTTCCGCGTCCCGCTCACAGCGCTGAGTTCAGTGTCCGTAGTAGTTTGTGCTTCTACTTCACTCACCGCGTCATCGTGTGGCTTTGATATCAGCAGCATGGAGCGCGTAAGCCGTGAAGACTTTGCGTCAGCCTCGAAATTGATAGCTTGCATTAGAGACCGCAGCACGGGCCACACGCTCTCCACAAAGCGCTCTCCGACAAAGTCACCAGCAGTTTCTGCTAACGTGGTGATGACACCGACAGTACTAGTTACGATCGCGCGGTTCTCAACACGTAGTCGAGGTAGTAACTCGGGCCACATCCGAGCGACAAGAGGCAATAGCTGTCTTTGGTGTTGTGAGAGGAATCGCACACCCTCCCGGATCAAAGATAACACCAGACAGCACGCGATTGGATCGGATTCCACCAGGAAATAGCCACATCTGTCCATGATATCGATGACGAGTGCTCGATAGCCTGAAGTGTCTTCATCGTTGTCTTGATTGTCCTCTCGAGTGTTGGCCTGAATTGCATCATACTCCAACGGCATCGCACCTTTCACACTTGGCATTTCTGGTGTTTCAGGGACGGATTCGTTCTCTTCGTCGGCTTCAATATCGAGAGCATCTATACCATCGTTTGCCAACACCTTCATCTCGTGAATGAAATTGCTCAGAAGAGAGCGAGACGAAGTCTGTTTTTCAGTCTCGTCGTCTCCAAGTGTTCGCATTTTCTTGACTTCAGCCTCTCGGACATCACGTGCAATACTATCGAGCAGATTCTTGAGCGCGCGTAATAAACCATCGACGTAAGGCGAGTCCTGGTATAAATCAACGCTACGTAGCAGTGACGATGCTACTTCATGGACCAGAGGCAAAGACGCTAATCGAGTGTGTCGCAGTAATGCCTCCACGACGTACGCCGTCATCGGATACGCATCTAATTGTTCAAGCCGAGCGCATAAAGAATCCACGAAGTAGTCCATGTTGGCCTGGAAAAGGGCCTCGAGGGATTCGTAGCCCGTGAAAAAGTAGACCTTCTCCAACGCAGCTAAAGCGGCACGCTCCACTTCCACACTGTGTGATCCTAATTGTTCAACTAACGGATACAGCACATACAGCAGGAATATCCTAAACTCAGCGCCAAGGATTTCGGCACACACACCGACACATTCAACCATGAGCGCACGCTGCGATACAAGTGCTCTACTGGAGCTGTGGATCGATGGCGAATTGTGCTCTTCCCAAGCCTCCAGCGCCAGTAAATCCTCCAAAATACGGCCAATAAGATGGACATCCATCGTTTCATTGCTGCTCCCCTCGCTCGAGCAGTAAGCGCGTAAGAACTCGTTCAAAACCAGCACAACTTCTGCTCTTCCCGATCCTGTGGAAGCCCCAGATAATAACATGAAAGCGCTGTCAATGAAGCCCGCTGGGGTTGAGACAGCGCCGATGTCGCGCAACATCGCCAACACATCTTGAACTGACGCTTCCTCATTGAAGTAGCGCAGTCTCTTCTGGAATTGTGAGACCACGACACTATTACCGTTGCCTTTGTCCGCCTGTGGTTCACTGGAAAACTTTTGGTGGACAACCAGCTCGATGTCAAGCGCAGCAAATGATACCACACGACACAGAGAGGTGTAGATACTCTCCATAGACGCGTCGAGATACGGGGTCAAGCTCGATCCTAGAAATGCCAGGTAGCCACGAAGAGTGCGCACAAAATGAACTTTAGTTGCCTCGTGCTCAGTCGCAACTTTGAGCACAAGAGTGGAAAGCAGCATTTGGAAACGATCAGCCATTTCTGGTAACACGCGTAAACGCTCTTCGGAAGACAACGCCGACATTTGTAAGTTCTGAAGCACCTTGTCCGCTTCGTTAGCAACCTCTGCGATTGCATCACCTCGAAGGACTAGAAGTTCATCGTAACATCGAAAGAAAGAGATTTGGAGCGCTTGTCGACACTGGAGCATCACTGTACCACACAGTCGTGCAAGTGCACAGCGAACTCGCCAAGAAGAGCGCGGTAAGCCAGTGCTGGTTCCAGCAGCAACGGCTGTGGCGCTGGCCGCGAACATCCGGGAAAGCAGTAAATCTAGATTTATAGCTGTGGTCTGCAGCCACTCGTCACTTCCACTTGAAGGCAAGTCGGTTGGTTCATCTGTCTCTGTCGGATCGTCTTTCGTCTTTTCAAAGGTCTGTCGAATAGCTTCCAGCGTGAATTTCTGCTGTTCTTGCTTCACTGCTCCATCTTCTGGCAAATGTTCATCACCGATGCAAAGATCCAATGCTGCAGATAAACAGTTTAATGCTGCAGCAACTACCTTGGATGCCTGTTGCGGTGCATTTGCGCTCTTCCACAAACCAGCAGCGACACCAGGCAAGTATTGTCGGAGGGTGTGGGGGTCGCGAATGAAGAACAACACGCACTTAAGCACCTGAATCGCTTGCAATGCAGCTTCTCGACACCGTTCTCGTCGTGCTACATGCAACAGCGACGCTACTAAGTACGCGAAGAAGTGCTGCTGGTCCACTTGAAGCAGCATTGCCTGCCTTTCTTGCCCTTCGTCCTCCAATAACTCCAGGAGACTCTTCAGAATGGCAAGCCTCAACTCCTCTGGCTGAGAAGCAAGTGTCAAACTGCCCGGAACTTCTTCGTTATCATCATCAGCCTCCGGTGGTGGTGGCAGATAGAAAACACAGCTTTGCACGAAGCTCAGCCGGCGGTGCACCTGCCCAGGATTATCTCCTCGCATGCGAGGCTTACAACGCCGCAGCACACTAGCAAACGCCCTAAATGCTCGTTCTTGAAGTGCCACAGATGAGGCATTAAGCACGAAGGAGCTAAGCAGTTTGTGCAGCGAGAGCAATACCAGATCGTCCATAGCCGCGAATCCCACCATCGGCGTATGAGCAGCTCGCTTCTCGGGCACATCCACGCGTTCATAGAGAGCCACCAACTCGTCTAGAACCTCTTGAAGCTCCTTGCAATGAGCGCTACTGGGCTGGAGTTGCACAAAACGTGACAGACGCGTGCACAGCTCCACATACACCGCCACCTCCGCCATGCTTGTCAGTGATGTTTAGAAATGCTTAACTTTTTGTGATAGAAACTTGGAATTAACGCTACTTTTGAAGAATCAACTTGTTTTTGTACTTGGCTCATGAAAAATTATCCTGTTTTGTAGTTTTTTTTTAGGTATTTGAAAACTACAAACTTGCCATCATCACTCTTCAGCTTTGTATCTGACTCATGGGGGCTCCGCGTCGAAAGCAGCAAGAGCAACACGCGGCGCTCGTAGCGCAGCTCGCGGCTATTAAGAAGAGTCAGCAGTCATTGCGTGAGGATTCTCTTGCGTTTGCCAAGGCACCGGCGGCCCCTGAGAAGGCGGCGGCTCAGCGATCGCTACGCTCCTTGCGACAGCTTACGCCCGACGTGACCGTCCTTTGTGCGCAGACTGGCGCAGTTGTGGAGCGCGTCGCGAATGCTAATGACGTTGCCGAGAAGATGACGCGAGAGGTGCGACGCCTGGACGTGATCCAGCTGCGTTTAGGCGAAGCTTTGGAGCAATCCGCGCAGCTTCTGACGCTGCGTAACGCGCTAGCAGGTATCCGACGCGCCATGCAGCAACAGAGGTACCCGGAGGCCGCAACGTTTCTCCAGACACTGAAAAATATTGAACAGCAAATGCCACTGGACGTGGCGGACAAACTGCGAGTGGATACCATTGAAAATGACCTTAAGGCTGTCATTGAAGGCGCGTTCGAGGATGGTCTACGAGCTGGTGATACTCGCCAAGTGCAAACATATGCGCCGTTGTTTAAGGTGGTGAGTAAGGACTACGAAAAACATGGTCTGGTGATGTTACTGGACCATGTACAGAAGACACTGGAGCAGACGTTGAAGGGGGAAAGAGATCCACGAGTTGGGGTCTTCAGTACTCAGGAACTCATCACTCACCTTGCGGAGGTGTTTAATCAGGTGGCACAAGAAGCACAACAACATGCTGGTCTGCTGTCGCAGTGTTTTGAGAGAGTTTATGGCCCAAATCGATTCGTGGCGACGTTGTATACGTTGGGAGAGCAGTCGGCGGTCGCAGTGTTGAACGCGTACATGGTACAGCGTAAATTTCACGAACGGATTACGAACGGAGAGCAGCTAGAATCGCCGGTTTCAACTAACGTCACCCCGCTATCGCCGTCAAATCGGAGTGGCAGTACTCGAGGGTTGCAATCTGCACCTTTAAGTCCCAAAGATGATGGTGTCGCTGTCATGAACGAACAACTGAATGAAATGGCGCTGGTCATTCAACACACGCAGACATACGAGCGGTTCATGCGCTCAAGGGTGGTGTCAGAAGAGGAAGCTGAAGCAAACGACACGGGGGAAGCTGAGAGGAGCGGGCAAGCTGATGATGATATAGGTCTTGTCGTTCCAGTATTGCCTCCTATCCAAGAAAGTGAATTGGGGAGAACTGTCCAGGAACTGGCAGGTCTCTACTGCTTCTTCGAGAATGCACTGTTGAACCAGGCTGCTCGGAAAGCATTTCAGTGGGAAGAGCTTCACTTTTCATCCGGCGACGGGAGCTCTGGAGGTGCTGAGCTTGGTGGAATCGACAGCGACGATGGAATGGCGTGCTTTCCTATCTCATCGGCTGTTGATGAAATCTTTTACGTGGCACGTAACTCTGGATTGCGAGCTTTGGCAACTGGCCATGTCGACTGTGCTGCTGGCGTTCTCAACATGATTAATACGGTGCTACGTGATGTCGTTGGAGACACGATGCGAAGCCGTATTCGACATATGACAACAGCAGCCAAGATGGACAGTGCAGCAGGAGCGGATGCTGCGAGCTTGTTGGCCGCATCCTCTGCGCAGTTACGTGATCAGATGCAGCAGCAGTTTGCCAAGCTCAGCAAAACTGTTGGACCTGTGGGTGGCGCTAATACTGGGGATAATGCTGGTCAAACACCAGAGCAGCGAAAGGAACACACTCCTGATGTCACGCTTAACAGTTTGGAGGTTACCTCGGGATACATCGCACAATTGAAGGGCGAGTTCGAGCGCGAGCTGCCCGAAGCCTTCCCGGAGGTACCGCAGCACATTATGACTTGTCTAAATGCGCTCGAAGACGCATCAGCAGAGCTCAAACAGCTTCTTCTAGCGTCAAGAAAAAAGCTGCTCAAGCTCTTGGAGCCTAAAATTGCCACTTATCTAAACAGTTTGCTGTCATCGTCGGCATCTTCTGCAGCCTCAGCTTTGGCTGCTTCCGCCACTGCTCTTTCGTCCGCTGGAGCTTCATCGTCGCGACGCAATCCTGTCCGGTATGAACTCACAGAGGCCATGTTCACATTCAACGAGGCCAACGATCCGTTCGCCCATGCTTTTGTACGTGGGCTTCGCTCCCTTCTGACCGCTTTTCGCGGGAATCTCTCGCGCAGCAACTACCGTGCTATCGTTCAAGGGGTGGCTTTGTACTCTGCTACTCAACTTGAGTCTTGGTTCCTCTCAAAGGCGACACGGGTAAACCAGCTGGGTGCATTGCAATTTGACAAGGATGTTCGTGTCATCAGCACATACCTCAGCGGTGAAGGTGGGGCCGGTGAAGAAGTACGCGAGGCATTTGCGACCTTAACGCAACTATCCGAGGTGTTGAATGCGGACTCTCCGCAAGATGTACTGGACGTGTACGGTCGACGACGTCGTGGTGTAGCGTGGTCACTACCAGCTGCGCGAGTCAAGGAAATACTTTCACGTCGTGTCGAATTTGCTGATGCGTCAATCAATAAGCTGGTACTGAAGTGAGATGCTATGCGCTAAGCAATAATTAACTACCGGTACGGAGCCCATTGTACAAGAATGCAAAGAAGCACTAACTTTGCTGCGTCTGAACCTCGTTGTGGTAGTTGCAAATGCGTTCAGCCCATTTTCGCACTTGTTTCTTGACTTGCCTGTAGTGAGTTGGTGACTGCGTAGCACTGGTCTCCCGTTGATCCACACGTCCAAAACGTGTTCGCGACCAGCGACGTAGACGACATGATTCACTGCATTGTACATAGGTAGCATCTCGATGCTGTCGCACTCGATTGCGATAATATCTGCGCGTTTGCCCACCTCAATGGACCCGATCTCATGCTCTAGTCCAAGAGCTCGTGCACCATTCAATGTAGCCATCTGCAGGGCTTCAGCAGCAGAAACACTCGTGCAGTCATGGGATTCTGCTTTCGCCAGCATTGCTGCCAGTTTCATCTCTCCTAATATGTCGAGCGAGTTGTTGCTGGCCGCGCCGTCAGTACCGAGCGTCACATTCACCCCTCGACGTAGCATTTCAGTCACTCGTGCGATTCCAGATGCCAATTTGAGGTTAGACGACGGACAGTGGACGACGTGGGCCCCAGCACGAGCAACGTCATCAATCTCCTCATCAGTTAGTTGAGTCATATGCGCACATATAAGTCTATCTGATAGTAGACCCAAGCGTTTGAAATTTGCAAGTGGACGCAGCTTTTGATCGCTTTTGTGGCAACACATAGAGGCTCGGTTCAACTGCTCGCTGTCATTGCATTCCGCCTCCGTCTCGTGCAGATGAATGTGGATCCGTGCGTTATACTTGCGCACTAATGCGTCCACTTTAAGCAATGTATGTTCCCCTACTGTGTAGGGAGAATGGGGCGCCATAGTGACCGTGATGAGGTCGTGACGCCCAGGAGCAAATTTTTCCAGATTTGGCTCCGCCTTTGACAAAAAATCGTCCGGACCTGAGCCATAGGGCGACGCCATATCCATAATACCTTGACCCACTGCTCCACGCATGCCTGTACTCTCTAGCACGCCACAAATTTCGTTTGGGAAGAAATACATGTTGTTGAAGCACGTGGTCCCGCTGCGGATCATCTCGGCGACGGCGTGGGTCATCCCAGCGCGCACAAACTCCGGACTGACAAACTTCTTCTCCGTTGGCCAAATGTCCTCCGCCAGCCAGTCGTGCAGCATCTTGTCGTCCCCTAGACCGCGGAACAGCGTCATAGGCGCGTGCGTATGCAGATTGATCAGCCCTGGCATCACGATGTGGCGGCCCAAATGCTGCTCCTCAGCACCGATGAAGCGCTCCTGGGCTTCTACTCGTGGCAGCAGCGCCACGACCCGAGCCTTGTTGACCACAATAGCAGCATCATGCAGCACTACGTCGCGAGGAAGAACCGGGATCACGTGCGCAGCGAAGATTACCAGATCCACTTTCAGCTTGGTCATGGCAATCAGCTAAAATATGGCAAATGATGCCAAAATTAAATTTGGCGCGTTGTTTAATTTTTCGATTTGAATTTCGCGCGGAGAATAAAGAAACGTTTTTATGATGTTTCTTATCCATTAAAATTGCGCGCCAGTAAATTATTTGCCAGAACGTACTCAGTTGGTATGCGGCAGCACTCTCTGTACGCGTCGCTGAGGTGTGTCGTGCACCCGGCGGAGTTGGACGTGCCTGAGCTTCTCGCGCTAGAGCTGTGTCTGATTGATGGTGGAGCGACGATATTGGAAGACGCGAACGCCGCGAGCAGCAGCGTCGTGACGCACATTGTGTGCCACCCTAAGGCCTATCGGAACTTCGTGGAGCAGCGCAATGAGCGCTTCGTGGCGCTTGTGCGGCCTGAATGGGTTTTCCGCACCTTCTTGCTACAGCGACTGATTCCCGTAGACCGCTTCAGTCCCAACCCGGCGCTTGTCTTCTCCACACTCGCGATCTCGGCGGGAACCATGGGGAAAGACCCTCGGAAGGTCACCAACGGCCTCATCACTCACTTTGGCGGGCAAATCGTTGATCAGAATGAAGTTCATCCCGGAGCTACACACATTCTGCACCACGAAGACAGCAGTAAAGACACTACAGAGCCTGAAGAACTCGAATTCCAGAAACTGCTGCAGCTTACCTACTCAAAAGCAGACGTTGCGCGTGGTGTCGATGCATGGAGACTGCACATGTCGACGCATCAAGAAGGATCAACGTATACTCTGCCCAGTTGTGTCGTTGCCTACATGGGACAACGAGCGGGACTGGACAAGCAATATCATGTCAAACTCACATGGATTGAAGAGTGCGTGACGCGCCAGAGTCGTGTACCGGAAGGCCCTTTCGCTCACAAGCCGACTGGAGCTGCTGAGATTAAGCCAGGAAAGAAGGGGCGTAGCTGGAAAACGCAACCGAATGTGCAGTTGGAAGATTTGAACCTCAGCAAGTGTGCACAGGTGTATCAACTGGGCAGGACGGAGCTTGGAAGTGATCTCTCTGTGGTTCGCAGGCTATCTAACGAGGTAAATGCTTTCATCTACTTCGGATATGAGGGGTGGATGATTGTAATCGTTAGTTTGTGTGGTTATTTTGCTCGTAGAAACTTGAGGCGATGAAGAAGACTCTCCATGGGGCAATCGTACTCCTCGCTCAGCATATTGCGCCACTGCTGCGAGAAAAACTGTCTGACATGTTGAAGACGGTCGATGCCAAGGTGGCGAATGTGCCATTTGGAGATTCGTATCAGGATATTGTGGGTAAGGTGGTCACAAATGCGTCGTTTGTAGTGTGTCGCTATCGCGGTGGCTTCGAGTACAACGAGGCCATGCGTCAAGGCAAAAATGTGGTTAGTATCTACTGGGTTCTAGCAGGTCTTTCGCAAGTCAGCAAGCCGACTCCTTTCAACGAGGCGATTCAGCGTCCTGTTCAGTCTTTTGGAAGTATCCCTGGAATGCAGTCTTTTGTTATTACACTGTCCGGGTATTCTAGCAAATCAAGCCCAACTCGAGAAGAGCTCCAGATTGCTATTCATGCCACTGGCGCGTGCTTGCTTCCTGTACTTTCACGAGCTCATTCCACACACCTTCTGTGCTATGAGGCCTCCGGAGAGAAGTACAAGAAGGCGTTGAGCTGGAGATTCGATAACGTCTTGAGTCACGAGGTAAGTGGTTGTGCTTGTCCCTGGCTTGTCCTCAAATCTCATTTGTTGCTCATGTTTTTATTTTAGTGGATCTTCGCATGTCTGTCCAAGTGGGAATATGTCCCTGAGCTTGCGTTCCGATACAATGCGATTAAGGAGCTGTCAGGAGATACAGACAGCACGGCATCGGACCACAGCTCCAAGAAGAAGGACAGCGGAGATATCAATCCGGACGAAATAGTGAGCAAGACGAAGCTAGCGATTACACCCAACGTGAGAAGTGCGAAGAAGGCGAAAAAGGGTGGCGAAGGTCGATTTGACGTTGACGGCATCCTCACTGAGATTGATAAGGTGCCTACTCTAACTGAGAAGAAGACACCAGCTAACCAAAAGACTCCGACAGCAATCTCTAAATCATCCACCACGACTTCTGGCCGGGCGAAAGATGTTGCATGCACGCTCTTCGACACACCGACAAACGCCGCTGCCCCTTCAAGTACTAAACGGAAGACGCGCAGGAGTGCTGCTGAGGAAGTGTCTGCGGATATGGAAGAAGTGGAGAAAGAACCGGCGGTAAAAATCGACGCCGAAGCCGCGAAGGAGCCCCCGCTGGTGATTAGCATCAGCAGCGACAGCAACGCCGATGAGTCCGGTGCTATTGAGGCAGCAACCACCCAGGTTGCCAACCAGGAACCAGAAGAGACCAAGGCGCCTGCCAAGAAATCGAAAGCCAAAAAGCGAAAGGTTGCTGCTGACGTGGACGAATCGGCCACGTTGAAGTCGAAAAGAGCTTCTTCGAAAAAGCAGAAGAATGAACCAGCAGCTACCAAGAAAACACGCGCAGCGTCTCCACCTAAGATCAAGCGAGTGTTCCTCTTGACCGGCGATCGAGACCAGGCCACTCTGCACACTTCAATAATTTCTTCCTTGGGCGGGAGCGTCAGTGAGTTTAGTCGTGAGTTTGACAGCAACTGCACGCACATTATTTGCAGCGAACTCAAGCGCACGGAGAAGTTTATTGCGGGATGTGCAGCTGGCAAGGTGCGTCTACAGTACAGATTCGTGTCCAGTACTAACTGGAGAAGTCTCTAACTGACATTGTCTTGTTCGTATTATCCACTGCAGTGGATATTGAAGCCCTCGTACTTGGAAGCTTGCTCTGCCTCAAAACAATTTCTCGATGAGTCCGCGCATGAGTGGGGAAGCCACAAAACTGATAAGAAGGATATTGATGGGCGTATTTGGCCCGAGGTGTGTGCATTTTGGCGAAAGGAGCGCGCAGGTGGCCATGCTGGTGCGTTCCATGGCTGGCGCTTTTTCATCCATGCCAAGTGCGTCCCACCCCGAGATATGTGTGAACGTATTGTCCTCGCCGGCGGAGGTTCCGTGATCCCGCTTACCAAGGCCGTCGATTTTGACAGTTTGGCAAAAGAGTCTTCCCCCGAGGCGCCTGTTGTGGCACTGTTTCCTCCTGAGGTTCCAACACGAGACTTGTGGTTGAAGAAGATCAAAACCCACAGCATCGAATGTATCAAGGCGACCTTCCTCATTGACTACATCACCAAGAAGCAATCGCCGCCTGTCAAGCGCACAGACTACCGTCTCTAGAGTCTACTGTAGGTCTCACAAATGAAGTGCGCGACGGCGTACAAGAATTTAGTCGTCCATTTCGATGAGATCGGCCTCGTCCTTGTAGATCTGTTCACGAATATCGCAGATGCAGAGAATATTTAGCAATATGTTCTTGTATAACGAATGATCCCAGCCATTGTGTAGTATTTTGAAGTAGTTCTCACCCTTCCGAAGCGTTCGAAGCCGCCGTGCAAAATGAGTACGCGGGGCTTGTGCTTGGTCCCTTCAAGCACCACCTCCATACGAGCTTTAACTCTCTTTGCACATGAAGGTCCGCGTACTTGACTCAGCATGCAGTGGAAAACAATGGCATCTTCGTCTTTGTACCTTTCCACAAGGGTGTCGACGTCGTCATCGTCCATGAAATTGTCCTCGGGGATGTTCACCGCTGAGCGAATGTGGCCGCCGGCATAGTCCGTGTCGCGCACATCGATGATAACTGGGCGCTTGTTGGACGTGTTGGGGTCACGCAGGATCTCAGCCAACGCGGAAGGTTGGATGTAGTGTGGAGGCTCCATGTACCCGATCGGGATCGACATTGCTACCTGAATACGTTTTGGGTTTGATGAAAAGACGAACAACAAAATGTGTCTTGTAAAACAAGTTTCTCTTGTGACTCAAAATAAAATTCCAAAAGTGACATGATAACTCGGACATCCTTCATGGAAATAAAAAATTACTACAGTAGTATAACAGTGGATGCCATTGAATAAATAAACTCTTGAAACTACAGTCTCGGCCACTACATGTACAAAAATGATGGATTTGAGGACTACTTTTCGGCTTCGAGCTTGGTTTTTATTATTGTTTGGGGTAAATTTACGATTTTTTCACTAGACTACCGGTTTGTATGCAGCTGCTTCCAAGTCACTTGCCGGCACTTTGATGATCAAACCATCACAAGAGCGAACAGAGCCGTAAATGTGGTCAGCGCCGTCGCCATTGCAAAGTTGTGTCCCGAGGCCGAGTTAGACGCTTCGTCCCCGATGGTGTCTGAGCCAGCGGACTTGCTTCCACTCTTACCGTCATTGTTTAAGGATCCATCGAAGAACATGACGCTGCCAGAGCCAGAGTAGCTCGCAGCGAGGTTGTCGGGCAGAAGCACCATGATCGTCGTTGGCGTTTCTGTATCAGTTGCCGAGACAGCAGCAGATGCAGATGCATCCATCGCAGAGGTGGAGCTAGCACTAGTAGCAGACCCTGTGCTCGACAGGTCGGTGGTAGCTTGCACGCGTCGCAACGAGTTCTGCGAGTGGATAACAGTATTACCAGGAATCTCCACATCAGCTTCCGGTTCCCACCCTAATGCAGTGGCGTAGATCGATTCTAGTAGAACGGCAACGGAAAGTGCAAAGATGAATTGGAACGACTTCATGGCGACGGTTGTTGGTGGAGGGAATTGAATAATGAGGCTGGATGAGATGAAGTAGCTGGGGCCTGTCACTTTGCCTCAATAAGTAATTGCCGTTCCAAGAATCAATCAAAAGTCAATGATCTGCTGTCCATCATTTGAGTGTCGATTAAAAGCATCAACGATTTACTTGTCAACAGGCTTCACAAGGTGAGTCTTAAGTGCCTCCAGAGCCTTGTAGCGGTGCGAAATCTGGTTCTTGGTGACCTTCTCCATCTCGGCGTACGTTTGTTCAAATCCGTCCGGTTGGAAGACCGGGTCCCAGCCGAAAGTGGTAGGACCGCGAGCTGGAACGATCTTGCCGTGCGTCTGGCCGACGAACACCTGAGGCTCAGCACCCGCTGGTGCGTAGGCGAAGATGCACTGGGCATACGCAGATTTGTCCTCGTAGGCAGCTAGCATATTATTAAGGCCGTCGTGACCCGTCTTCTCCAAAAACCACTTAATGTACGGGCCAGGTAGACCCTTGAGCGCGTTGAAGCAGAGCGATGTGTCCTCCACAAGCACAGCACCTTGCACCTGCTTGGCTGCGAGGCGGCACTTCTCCTTGGCGATATCAGCCGGCTCGCCCTGCAGCTCTGGAAGGTCCACAGCCTGGTTTCGCAACTCGAAAGGGAAGTCGGCACCCAGGATGGCCACCACCTCCTTCAGTTTGTTGGCGTTGCCCGTCACGAACGTCAGCACAGGCTTGGCACTCGACATTTTGTTGAGGATTGTCAATGCAGCAGTGGGCTTCCATGTACTAATTTTAGCGTTAGCTCACGGAATGTTGCACAATATGTTCAAACATAACAAAAGATTGCAGATTTAAGGGCTTCCATGTACTAATTTAACACGGAATGTTGCGCAATGTTTACAAACATAACATCAAGTGGCTACTGCACCCGCAGCTTCAACCTGTAAATGTTGCACGAATGTAAAAGAGATCTTAAAAAGACGCGAGTCTTGAATACTTGACCGTGTTCCGAGCAGATTGTACTCGACCCACCGAGGAGTTGGATCGTTCGCCATGTTACCTGCTTTCCAAGTACATTTGCACCAGCCGATTCTTGAGCGTGTAGCACAAGTAGGAAAGTTCGACGGTCGCCACCCCGCGTTGGCATGCGGCACTACTGCGGGCAAAGTATTCATCCACTCGCCAAACGAGAACACCTTTCGGGATAACTCGGAGGCAGATGACAGCGACCAAAGTAGCGTGCGTTTCCTCAAGATCAATCGCAAGGTCACGGCACTGGCAGCCGGCAAGTTCGAGAACGCAGATCAGGGCGACACGCTCGTAGTGGGCACACAATCCAGCTTGCTGGCTTACGACGTGGAGAAGAACTCCGACATCTTCTATAAGGATGTTCCCGATGGCGTGAGTGCCATGCTCTTCGCACCTGCACCACGCACTGCCTCGTTGGTAAACTCTCCGTCTCAGATGGTCGTGGTGGGCGGAAACTGCTCGCTGCAAGGCTTCGGTCGGGACGGTGGTGAGCTCTTCTGGACAGTCACTGGAGATCATGTTCGTGCACTGACAGTGAATGTGACTGGCCATGGACGCGATGAACTCATTGCCGGATCAGATGACTTTGAGATCCGAGCATTCCAGAATGAAGAAGTAGTTTTCGAGTGCACGGAGACAAGTCGAGTGCTGGCACTCACAGCGATTAAGAAGCAAATGTTCGGCTATGCTCTTCAGAACGGCACCGTAGGCGTCTACAAAGGGAAGCACCGTGCATGGCGTGTTAAATCGAAGAACGTTCCAACGGCAATCCACAGCTTTGATATCGACGGTGATGGAGAGAAGGAGATCGTTATGGGCTGGAGCAACGGCAAGTTCGAGGCGCGAAAGCTGGCGAACGGAGAAGCCGTGCATAAGGAAGTGCTTAAATCGCCTGTGGCGGCCCTTGTGACGGCAGACTATCGCATGAATGGCAAAGACGAGATTATCTGCTGTTCAGCAGACGGAGAGATTCGCGGCTATTTCACTGCCACGGGTGATTTTCCTGCCCCAGGAGTGTCCAGTACTGGTACCAATGATAAGGCAAGTCAGGAAGAGAAAGAGGTAGCGAAACTGTCCAAACATCGAGCAGCGCTACAGCTGGAAATCAAGTCGTTAGAGGCAAACCAGGCCGGTACTGCGACAGCAGGAAAAGGGCTACGTATTCGAGCCGACACCAACCTCAAGGTAAGCTCACTAGCAAGTAAAAGCGCCCCAAACTTTGAGCTCGAAGTGTCGACCGAGAACGACGCAGTTATCAAGATGGTAATTGTGTTTGAGTCCGAAGCGGGTATCTTCGAGGGCGAGGCTTTGGTCGTTCGTCCAGCAACTATGAGTTCGACAGTTCGAATTCCGCTGAATGTGACTAAAGATGCTGCAGCGCGTCTCGATTTCAAGGTGCTCGTAGGTTCACGTGGCCATCACACGTCCTTTCACGTGTTTGAATCCACTTTCAAACTGCCAAAGTTTGCTGCGTTTCACCACATCACTGGTGAAACTCCAGGCCCACAGACGACGCCGGAAGGATCGGTGCGTTTCAATACGCCAGTGAAGCCACAGCAAATGTACTCATGGCTGGACAACGCCTTTGTGTTAGCCGAGTTGATCCCAGATAGTTCTCAAGCCCATTTAATGTTCCGTTCGCTTCGCAACAACTCGCGGCTCAACATCTCCGTGAATTCACAGGAGACTGTGATCCGAACGGACAGTATGGAGCTAGCAGCTGAACTTGTTCAGCACATGTGCGCATTCCTTGAATGGCGAGACCTTGAATCAGTGGCAGATTTTCCTCAACAAATGGAGGAATTCCGTAACCTGCTCGTGAGAGTTGATGAGAGCAATGCTATTAGGCTCAAGCTCACAGGTGAAATGGCTGACGATTCCAATCAGGTCAAGAATCTCATCATCCGCGTCGAAGACTTGCGTATTCTCAACGACATGTACGTGATGCACTAGTGCGCATATTTGGTGAGCAAACTCACTCGAATCCTTGTGTTAATAGGCCTCGTATGCGGCGGTTCTACTCCGAGTTGTTCTCACTGAACAATCAGCTTTTGGGCGAGTACACAAAGCGCAGTACGAACCACCAGGCACTTCTTGATGCTCTCAAGGAGGTTAACAGCATGATCCAGCTTGCTGCGCGGTTGCGTTTCGGTAACGCAAAGTCCACGGTCATCGCAGCTTGTCGCAAGGCGATCAAGAACAACAATATCCACGCACTCTTCTACATCGTGAAGACAGGGAAAGAAGAACACCAGTAACTTGACCTAGCTAATACGGCATCTCAGCTTCAAAAATCGTTGGCTGTAACGCTGATAGCACCACCTCCCCTTCAACTTAATCAATCCACGCGATGAGGACGAAATGCGAGAGAGTCTCGCCACTCTGCATCGTCATCTTCGTCATCTAACATGCCAAACGCTTGCTTGTGTTTACGCTTTCCTGTTGAACACTCGCCCGGAGCCCCCATCGGCGGTGACGCTATCAGTGCGTCAACCTCGTCACCGAAAGAGATTCGCCTGTTAATCCGAGGTGTTCTACAAACAGAATCCCACTCACAGTTAGAAATGTTGCTGCTTTCAACAAGTCTGTCAGTCCAGCATACTTACTTTTCCTGTGGTCGCTCCTGTCCTTTAGTTGTTCCCAAGGCTTGGTCGTGGCTACGCTTCTCTAAAACCTGATGCGCCTCCACCGCATCGTCAATCTCCTTTTCGTCATCCGATCCAAATGCTTCATAGTGTGAACGCTTGTCTAAAGGGTGGGAAGTTGCAGTTGCAGCATTGCCCTCTGGTTGCTCGATATTTTTTTCTAATATCCGTGGATGCTTGCGCTTTTCAACCGATTGCCGAGCTATTCTGACGCTGTCATTTGTCTTCTCAGCGTCCGATTCAAACGCTTCGTGGTGCTTCCGCTTCGTCGCAACTTGAGCTGCAGCAGAGCCACCGCTTGCAAATGAAGCGCAAAATGTCTGGAAATCTGTCTGAGGTTCGCTTCGCTCGGACTCTTTCGTCTCTTCATTGGCACCTATGCTCGTCTGCTCATTTTGCTGCTCTATTGGCGTACGATCCTTCTGTCGTGCTAACTTCGGCACTTGGGAGGCACCGTGCTCCAAAGACGTTTCCAAACTAGCAGCTGGAACGGTGGTCTTCACGTCGAGCGATGAGTCCACGTTTGAGATCCTTGCCGGTTCCACTGGAGCTGAAACTGGTACTGCTGCACGGTTCCTAGCAGGAACTGGAGGTGGTGGATCATAAGACAGCTGATAGGACTCTCTTCGTCTCCTGCGTGCTCCGATCAATGCTTCCAACCGAGTAGCAGCCTCACTAGGCCCAGTATACGCTGCGGTCTCCACATCTTCCACTAATCGTACTGGTCTTCTTCCTGAGAACGTCGGCGATTCGCTTCGTCTCGCCTGCCGCGTATTCATCATGTGTGTCCGATCTTCTTTCTCCTCTCTGTTTTCTTCAACTATTTCATCTTCTCTTATCTCGTTAAACGAGAACCCACCACGGCGCGGTGCAGTGTTCGCCAAAAAATCACTCATCGCCATAGGCATTTGCATCACCGTTTCAGCGGGTCTTTTATTTCGTAGCTCTTGGTTTCTTTCACTTTTTCGCTTGGTTTCACTCGTTTTTCGTGACGATTTCGGTATCTTCTTCACTGAAGACGTTGGCGATGCAAACGGCGCCAATGCTATTGATCGTTGCTTAGCTTCACTAGCACTCGATGGCTGCCTCCTTTTTTGTGGCGGCCGACGTGGAGTCTCGGCGAGATCTCGTTGCAGCGCAGCCACCTGTTGCCTCAACGCAAGTCGCCGTTGCTGAAAGACTCGCGTAGTCAACGGAACGATTGGCGCTCGCAACGGCAAACGCGGGATCTCTACGCGTACTCGACGCTGGAATAGAAGCGGCACGCACAACTCCAGCAGCAGCACGAGTGCCCCATAGTACAAGCACAAGCGGAAGACCAGAGAGTCTTCTTCCAGTGGTAGGAACAGCATTGGATGCGGGCTTCGAAACGTTTAAAGCTTCTGCTAACATTCACGAATTAAGCTAAATTTCCAGATAATCGGTTAAATTGCCAGAAAAGAAGGTGATCATCGAAAGCTAGGCAGTAAGGAATCTTATATGAACAACAACAGCCTTGTCAAAAAGCAGTGGAGTACATGTAGCAGCGGTTTTTCTATGGTGATTCCTACAGTTGTCCATTGCGAGCGCGTCTTGCTGTTGTCTCAAACCTGACAGATCTACCGGTACGTGTCCATGAACTTGGCGTGGAACTTGGACGTCATCTCGATCACATCGTCCACTGCGTCCTCAGGCGGCAAGATCGTGGTGCGGAAGTGCCACGTGCCTTCCTTCTGACCGAAGCCCGAGCCAGGAACAACTACAATTCCCGTGTCGTCCAGCATTTGAGTGCAGTAGAACGCATCGGGAGCCATGCCAGCTTCCTTAGCAGCTTCAACAGCCTTGGGTGGAAGCGTCAGGTTCGGGAACGTGTACATAGCGCCCTCCGTCTCATTGCAAGTCACTCCCTCGAGCTCGTTAAAGGCCTTCACGAGCTTCTCCGCACGGCGCTTGAGCGATCCAAGCGTACCGTCACGCTGCTCAGCGTAGCGCTCGTAGGACGCGTCACCAGGCTGTGGCGGGTTGGTCATCATGCCCACAACCAGCTGACCTTCGATGTTCGAGCACAGGTTCACCGACATGAGCTTATAGAACTGGTCCTTGGCACCCTCGTCAATGTTGACCAGCTCCATGTAGCCACCACGGCGACCACACTCGCCCGTGAAGCCCTTGGACGTCGAGTGGAACGAGATCAGCTCCACGTCATCGTATTCCTTGCCCATATCGCGCAGTACCTTCTTGAATGAGAAGAACTTCTTTCCCTCAGCGTACACATTTTCTTGGTACACTTCGTCAGCCAGGATCAAGATGTCTTCCTTCTTGCAGAACTTGATGATCTCTTCGATGTTCTTCTCCGACAGACACTGGCCCGTGGGGTTGCCAGGGTTGATCACAGCCATCGCACGCACTGACTTGCCAGCATCACGGGCCTCCTTCACAGCACGCGCCAGCTCGTCAACATCGAGACCCCAAGCGTTGGCCTCGTCCAGGTAGTAGCCAACCAAGGTGCCGCCGTTGATGGCGATGGCCGCCGAGTACAGCGGGTACTGTGGGATAGGAGCCATGATGGCGTCGTTTTCGTCACGGATCAGAGACAACAGCGAGTTCTGCACAGCCGGACTGGCACCGTCCGTGAGATAAATGTCCTCCGGGTCGGCTGGGTGACCATCGCGGCGCTGCATGAAGCGCGCAACCTCCTCACGCACAACTGCAGAGCCCTTGCTGTGGCCATAGGCGCCAGTGCCACCCACGATGTTGTCGATGTAGAACTTGGCGCGTGCAATAGCGTCCGGCGGGAAAAGTTTTTGTGCCTCCGGCTGGTCCACAAGGCCCGGCACGTTAACAAGCGCTAACACCTGGCGCTGGAACTCGATGGGCTCCTGCTTGAGCACCTGTGGGTTGCCAATATTGCACGGGATGACCTTGTCGAAGGGGAGTGACTTGTCACCATTGGCCAGACGGTTCTCGTACTCGTTGGAGCGCAGCACCAGAGCGCCACGGACAGCGTACTCGGCCTTGACGATGTTAGGGTTGATCGTGTCGGCCGTTAGAACAGCAAAACCACGGGTGGCCTGGGATGACGAGGCTCGCAGCTGCTTGAGGGCATGGCGAGCAAGCATCTTACGTGTCTGCGGAGAAGGAAACGGAGCTAGCTTCTCTGGTCTTGCGTGGCCGGCGGCGGCTTGAAGAATGAGGTTACCGGTATGGTGCAGATTTAGCCACGGACAGTATCAGTGATACGGTATCACACTTTTCGTATCCTTGCCAAAAAAGGGCTGCCCTAGTACCCAAATCTGGTGCTCTGGGAATCAGAATTCGACGTAATCTCAAATAGCCTATTTGAGGTAGTAGAGTGGGGATTTGTAAAATGATAATGATACTAGCAACCCTTAATTAAAAGGATCGTTTAAGTTTACTGTCGCTGGTGAAAATGCGAAAACGCGCAGAGGCTGAAATTGTCGTGACTCGGGGCTATTAGGCTTGACGTGCCACATGAAATGCTTAGCGCAGTCAAAAAGAAAACACACCACTTGTACATGGACTTCGAAGCTGTACAGTACGGTAATCCACTTTCCGTGACGTTGTTTACTCCGTAGCACTACATGTATTAATACTATATAACAATCCAAGAACAAACTCATAAAATATTACTACAAGTAGTATTTCTAAAAAAGCTACAGCACGGTTGAAATCTTTATGAATGCCTCGATAAGCACTTGCAGCTTGCAACCTGTAACGCAAAGAGTCAAAGGGTAAAAAGACTGTCTATCTCCTTCCGGTGCACTATTTAGCAGACAGACTGCAACCGGCTTTACAGTAATAATATCAAAGCGAAGCGCAAACATCCTGTCAGGACCCAGAATTGAATCCTGGATTCTGGGCCCTTGTTGAAGTGTCCTCTAATCAGGTGTTTACAACGGCCGGGAAACAAATCAGCAGTGCTCTCGCCGCCACCCTCTTTTAAAAGCATGTAAAAAGGCTCTTTCTCTTTGGGTTTCTCGAGGTGAAGCTGGCGTTGTTGAAGCGATTCACTTCAGCGCTTCAAGCGAAACACACTTTACGTTGACTGAAAGCGGATCGCAGATTTTCCAGACTGTATCGCGTACGTACAATTGTCAGCTACTATTAATAATACTACAGTAACTATTAATTGAGGGCCAGAAATGCCTAATTCAGAGCATCCAAAAAAGGCCATAAAATGGTCACTTTTTGGAGCTTGGCAATTGACAAGCATCCTCCCACAATGTGGGCCACACTGAGTCGACTGACGTGTTCATGTTTCGGTCGTTAACGGACCGCTAATTACTGTAGCGGTGCATCCTTAGACAGGAACTGGAACAAGGTGTTGATATATTGCCAAGCACGACGCTTAGTTCAGGCGCTACTCGCCTTCTTGTTGGCTTAGTCAGAAGACTTGGCGCCCTTGATGTCTCCCTCGCGAGCCGTGTTGGGCTGGCGCGTCAGGCACAGCACACGCTCCCACGTGCGACCGAAGGGGTCCATGCAGCGCGGTGAGTTGCGTGTGATGGCCTCAATGGGGAAGTACACGACACGATTGGCGCTAAGGCCGACCGTGAAACCGGTGTACCCGGCCATAGCGCCGTGTACGGCGTTCTGGCCCAGCAGCATGCAGTACAGACTGTCGGCGGCGTTGGCTGGCACGGAGCGAATCATGTACGAGGGGTCAATGTACTTGACGGTGCACTCCTTGCCCTTCTTGGTGAAGTGTTCCTGGATGCGGTCCTTCATGAAAGCGCCAATAGGCGGGAGCTTCTTGTTGCCGCCGGCATCTGCCTCCACCGACGTGCCTAGCAGCTCTTCACCAGCGCCCTCAGCGACGACGACCACACCATGACCTTGTTCCTCCACAACGTGCTCAAGGTGGTCCAGGCAGCTGCGGGGGCCTTCCAGCTCGATCGGAATCTCGGGGATCAGGCACAGGTTAACGTCACCACTGGAGAGCGAGGCGTGTGCGGCAATGAAACCGGCGCTACGGCCCATGAGCTTGACAACCCCAATACCGTTGGGCACGCAACGAGCCTCCGTGCTGGCCGAGCGAATGGCACGCTGGGCTTCCTCGACGGCAGTGTTAAAACCGAAGCTGCGGTCCAGAAGATCAACATCGTTATCGATGGTCTTAGGCACACCGGCAACAGCGATTGCCAGCTTGCGGCGACGGCATTCCTCCGATATCTTGTTGGCAGCACGGTGAGTACCATCACCGCCAATCACGTAGAGCTGCGAGACGCCATGCGTAGTCATGAAGTCGATGATCTTGTCCTGGTCGAAGCCGCCACGGTTAGAGCCGAGGATCGTGCCTCCGTGGTGGTGGATGCTAGCTACGCTCTTAGGGGTCAGCATAATGGGGGCCTCCTTCTGGTCCATTGAGGTCCAGTTGTAGAAGCCGGCGAAGCCCATGCGGATACCGTAGATGTCGCGGACACCGTACAGGTTCCACAAGGCGAGGGTCACATCGCGCACAACATTGTTCAGGCCCGGGCACAAACCACCGCAGGTCACAGCAGCGGCCTTGACCTTGGCGGGGTCGAAATACGTGTTCCCGCGCGGACCAGCACGCACATAAGCGCGCGAAACGGCCTCCTGCGAGTCATTGCGGCGGATATCGCCCAGGATCACGTCGGTCTCGCCCATGATCTTGTTGTAAGTGCTCTTACGTTCGACCGAGTCATCAGCTTGCGTGTCGAGTTTGCGGCGGTTGCAGACTTGGTTGTCATGCTCAGGAAGCCACTCGCGAAGGTTCGGCACAGGTAGCAGATACGTCTTCTCGATACTAACGCCGTCAACCAGCACCATCTCGCCGAACCCTTTGGGGTGCTTGCTGGCGAAAGGGGCAGCCTTGTGTCTGACCTGGAAGGCCGCGGCCGAGGAGTCCACGGACTCGCGACGGAAACTCATTGTGCAGATGGAGAAACGTCAAACGTACAGAAGCGCTCGCTTGCTTGCTCTTCCTCCGGGTATTAATACGTCAATGGCCACAAGGCGGAGTAAGATCTTGCTGATTACATGTAGTGCAAAAACACGCAGTCACACCAAGCACCACTCAAGTACGATTTCTATATTTTAGGTTCGCACTTTGAAGTGCTACAGTATTACTGAACATGTAGGACTGATCTTAATCAATACCGTTATATATTAATATTGGTATCACTCTTAAACTGCCTTTTGCTGTAGGTTTGAAAAGTAAGTAGAATATTCGTTTCTTAGATCTAGCAGCTGTACCGGAAAAATCGGGTGATATTACAACACAGTACCTCAAAGTACTTCGAAGTACTACAGTTCTGTAGTAGTAGTTGCTTAGCACCGAATGCTAAAAGAAGGGAATGCTGAAATACAGTCCGTTCCGGTACATGTATTTACAGTATTCATACCGGAGCTGTCTGAGACATCCGCTGCGCATCAACATCACTTGAGCAATCTCGCCGATGCCTCCGACAGGAGCTGCTGCCTCCGCTGCTGCTGCGGCGTCAATCGCCTCAAGATTGACTCGTATCGATCTTACCCCCGCGCCGCCTGGGGCTCTCGCTTGCCAGCAGGATTCATCGCTGCGCTCACTGCGTACAACTGTGCACGCCTGTCGTGAACACGTCGTACCTGCCACCAAAAAGACCAAGGCCCAGCGCTTCTACGAGCTCGAGCTTCACGACACTGGTGCGTAAGCGATTGGCTGCCCAGCTGCGAGTCGCAGTGCGACTTGTCAGATTGCAGTCATGTGCAGTGTGGGAGAATCAAAGGATTCCTGATTTAGGGTGGCTAAACAATGATTATGGCGATTGCTGTGTAGTGCTCTTTCCCGAGGGCGGAGGCCAGCCTTGGGATACCGGCAACATCGATGGCGTGCAAGTGGACCAGGTATATGTCCAGGACGGCCGCTGTCTGCACCGCATTCCTGTGAAGGATGGAGCCAAGGCTCCGTTTGTGGAGGGTCAAGAGGTTGTCGCCGTCGTGGACTGGGCTCGCCGCTTCGACCACATGCAGCAACACTCGGCGCAGCACCTTTTCAGCGCAGTCGCAGAGAGGTATGGGTATGATACTACTACGTGGTCACTTGGAGAGGAGCGTTGCAACGTGGAGCTCGTGCCGAGAAATGGTAGTTTATCTTCGGAGCTGACGGCTGGCAAGAAGGAGAAGAACGTGATCCCCTCCGAGACGCTACAGAAGATCGAGGAGGAAGTGAATCAAGCCATCGTGTCAAGTCTTACTATGACCCCGTCGTTCGCCAAACCGGGAACGAAGGAGTGGGAAAAGATTGCCGCGAAATTTGACCCTGGACAGATGCCAAAAGCGATGCGAATTGTGACCATCGATGGTCTGGATGTGAACCCTTGCTGCGGTACACATGTTCAGAACTTGGCACAACTCCGGTCTCTGCGCGTTCTGAGTACGGAGCTCGCTCGTGGAGCTTCTCGCGTCTGGTTTGTTGCTGGCGAACGAGTCAACCGCGAGTTTTCGCGTATGTAAGTGCCGGGTTATATGAGCGAACGGATTCTGAGAGGTTTGCTGATCAAAATATCTCTCTGTTCGTGTTGCAGGTTGAAAAATGAACACGCTCTAACGAAGCTGTTAAGTAGTGCACCGGATGATCACGCTTCTCGAGTTGAGAAGTTACTGCAGTTCCAGAAGAGCACCACGAAAGAACTTAAAAGCCTGCAGAAGGAACTTGCAGCCTCCATCGCGCGTGACCTGGTAGCACAGACCAGCCAAGGTGTCGTCACTTACCACCGTGATGAAGGTGATCTCGGCTTCTTGCAGACGTTGTTGGGTCTGCTTGGAGACACGAAGAAGGATGCAGTGTTTGTTCTCACGGCTGGTGATGTGCGAGGTGAAGGCTTGTTCCTTGTTGCTGGACCTCCCGAGTTCATCATCGCTCACGGAAAGTCTGTGCTGCCTATTATCGACGGAAAGGGCGGCGGTGGCAAGAACGGTATCATTCAAGGCAAAGCGAAGGGCTTAAACAAGGTCGATATGTTGGTCGAGAAGCTACAGAAATTGCGCCTTCAGCAAATTTGACTTTAGCAGCGTAGAGTGGCCAGTATAGCTGGTCTGACGTGAATTTTTGTTCTAAGGATGTTACAAAGAGCTTCGGGGAGCTAGTTGTTCCTGTTTTGCTGTCATAAGCAGCACTAATTCATCGCTTAGCCCACCATGGTGTATCCGCGGCGACGTGCAGTGTAGACCTTGAAGGCTGCTAGCGCCAACCCCACCACCATAGCAATACCAATAATAGTCACGAAGGAGCAACCCGCAAAGCCGTGGTTATTCTCCACAACGGCCCCTTGCGCCAGTGGTGCTTCGTCTTGACCCAGGGTAGGCTTGTGATAGTTGCAGATCGTCTCCCAAGTGCCCGTTTTAGCAATGTGGTTCGTGATGATCTGGTTGAACTCATCCAGTGGGCAATCCGCAACTGAGCACTTCGTCAGCTTGATCTGTTCACGCTCAGTGTAAGGCGACCACATGTACGTTCTCACGAAGTATGTTTCCTTCGCTTCTGACTGCTTCTCGGTCTCTTCAGTCGTAAGTTTACGGGCACGTAGCTCAAAGAACATGGTAGTTCCAGGGTGAAGAGACGACACGTTGAGAGCTGTTGGCAGTCCCTTGAAGTGGAACTCCCAGCCCAACATCATACCCAAGCCGTGAAGCAGTTCACGATGGCCATGGAACGAGAAGTACCGATACTCTGCAGGTGATGGCGCCGTCGAAATAGCTCCTTCCTGAAGTGTGTTGAGAAGTAAATCGCTAAAACCACCCACCCAGTACGTGATTTCACGGTCTGTGGAGTAGTATCGCTCCATGAGGTTTGTGAACGCCAACTGCTCCAGTTTCTCGCGCGCTTCAACCGTCATCCCTTCAGTAAGTGGCAGACCTTCGTCGCGATCAAAAACAAACATGTCGGCCAAGTCCTTGACCCCCAGTACGACATCCTCACCATCAGGTAAGCTGGGAATATCTTCGACAGCGACACCGCAGACCTCACCAAGCTGGTCGAGGACGTCACGGTACTGGGCAAACAGTTCGGGGGCTCGGGTTTCAGCGTACTCAGCGAGATCTTCGTCCAATGTACTTTTGCAGGGACCTTTGGGAGCAGCAAATGCATGCTCATTCTCTACGAGCTGCATGGTAATAGGAACAGGCTGGCGTGGGAAGCCTTGTGGTCCCGTTCCATCCGGGTAGAGACCGTAACCCACCGCTGTCGCACTCTGAGAGCAACGAGTTGCGGCGTCGGCTCGGAAATACGCCTCGAAGTGCGAGTGGTTCACACCATTGAGCGAACGCGACAAGAAGGCTTCTTCGCGATGTGGCTCGTCCACCATGTACGTGTCGCGGATGTGCTCCCCTACATCCTGCAGTTGCTTCATACCGATTTCCGTGAGCTGCGTGAGCGGAACCTTGTACGCGTCAAGGTTGGCCTTGTTGCGCGGACATGTGACCTTCACCACGTCGTTTGGAGCACGACTGCCGTGGCGAGAGAGCGTCACGAGGCGACGTAGCTCACTATCACTATATTGGTTGATCAACATCAACACAGCGTTGTATCATCGGTCAGTCCTGATCATAGCGCCGTTGTTTTACACGCACAAGAAACTCACCTTGGAAAAGATTGATCGGCCGTGATGGCCCCGGTGGCCAGTACCGCGAGCATGAGCGCAGGGGTGAGACGGAAGCCGCGCATTTCTCCTGAGCTGCGACCTTGGAAGAATGAGGTGGTCTAAAAAAGATGGCCGTTCCAAAACGGATATCGGTTCTGACTCTGCACGCAAAATTATCGTCAGAACTGTCACTATTAAAAAAACGTTTTAAATTGACTATTTTGTCCTACACTGATACATAGGACTGAGTTTACTTGGCTATTAGTAGGTCTTATGGCTGACGATTGCTAGTTTTAGTCACCGATAGCAGTGCTTGAACAATACTAAAAGTCATATCTGGAGACAAGACAGTCGATAAAATTGTGGGGGGGCGACTGTTCAGAGATGGGCTAAAAACGGTGCAGATTTGGTAAATGGGGCTACGTGGATAGCTCGCGACTATTCGGCTATCTTGGATTTTGTAGGAGCGTTTGTCAAGGTTTTGTCAAGGTTTGTCAAAGTTTATTTGAACTGCTCGACTTTAGCGGATGTGCTTAAAAGTTCGCATCTTAAACTACACTGTAGTATTGTCCAGGCTCTTACGGACAAATATTGCATCAAAAATGAGCACATCAAAATCCATTTTTGAACTTGCAGATTGGGGTCAAACTGACCGTTTCTAAAATGGATCTCTAAGTTTGTAGCAATTATTTGTGTAGCATTTTTTGTTGGGTGCGTTCGCATGGTTTTCACATGGCATGGGGCGATCTCAAAATTCCACCATTGGTGGCACCGCCTCGGCAAACTGTCGGCTTATAGTGTAAGCTACACTGTTGAAGTGCAAGTCTGCTGCTGAGTATTGACGTGATGATATCAGGTAAACTGATGCAGGTATCAGACCGTTATACGAGAAGCGGCAAAAGCTATGAGACAAACAACTCGAGAGAAGCTGCTAAGAAAAATTAATTTAGTATTTTATTTCGTTTGTTGTGAGCAAGTCTTCTTCGAGTGCGAGTGCAGATCACAACAGTCGCTACTATAGCTTCATGCTCCACAGCTCATTCACCAAACGCCGAGTCGTGTGAACTTTCACTGTTGCATTAGTTTTATTCTCAAACAGATCCACTTATGCGGCCCAAATCTCCGTCCCAGTCTTCTTTTCTTTTATCTGCTGCAGAATGTCCGGAGGAACGGACGTACCAACCAAGCGTGTGATCTGGAGCTTCTTGTAGTCAAAGTCCGCCTCGCCTTCAGCGGCTGTAAGCGTGTTCCGCAGCAACGAACCATCTGCAATGCGGAGCGTGTCTTTCTCGCTAAACACAGCTTCCATGTCCCACTTGTATGTGTACCAGTCCTTCCCGTCCCAGTTCTTGGGAACCCCGTCGTTGTTGTACTTGAGCGGTTGAGCCATCCTGAGTAGAATCCGAGGCAGCTTCTTCCTGGCGGTGATGCCAACTTGCATCTGTGTAAACTGTTTAATATCCGGACTGAGCTGAGGACTTTGCAGTATGACCTCACGGATATTGACATGGTGGAGATGATGCTTGAGAGCCTACCACCCCAATCTGAATTCGAGAGTTTGAAGTCAGCATTCCTCTACAGTGCAGATTCAACTACGAAAATGATTCGTTCTTCAGCAGCGAGACAGGCAGAATTTCGTGGCAAGTATAGTGGAAGATCACGTGGAGGGCAAAGAGTGGTGGAAAAAAAAAAACACTGGAAGTAAGAGTGGGGGGAAGGGCACATCAGAAAGTCAGCAGCAACAGGGAGCTGTGTGGAAGAAAAATAAGAAGTGTTTCATCTGCAAAAGCCCTGATCATCTCAAGCACGATTGTCCAGAGCGAGCAAGGAAATATAGCAGTGCCGACGCTGCTGAAAATGAGCCGAGGCGGAAACCGCGTACCAATGTAACACTTCGCAGAGCTACTCAGGAAGCACCGAGTCCAGAATCGGGTGAGTTGGACATCGAGGTAATCACCGGAGCTATGGAATCTCTTGGGGTCAGTAGCGATATTAAACTAGAAGTAACCACTTATAGCAATGAGATTGGAGAGCCAAGCGTAGAGAATGGAGCTGACGAAGTTGCAGCAGATACGAGTGGAGGTTGGTGGAATTTTGACACAGCTTCAAACTCGCACGTGACTGCTAATCGGTTTTACTACGTGGTATTCACAGAAGATACTAGTAATTCCCGAAGTATACACGAGGTTACCGGCGAGTTAGCTTCGCGAGTAGCTGGTGTGGGAAGCGTTCGGCTAGTGACAACGGTGGCTGGACAGCAAGCCGTACTCGTGCTAGATGGTGTACTGTACGTACCAGGTGCTCAGAACGGATTACTCTCACCAGGTCGAGCTGTTGAGCAAGGCTTTAGCTTTGATCATGAACCGGAGACGCACAGTTTTCGTATCCTCGATGAAGGCGTTCTTGTAGCGGTGGCAGTTCCATTCGAGGCGACATAAGGTTTCTATGTTACACACCCATTGAATGGAGGAATATTAGGACGTCAGGACCGGCACTTGTGTAATTTTACTACAGCTGAAGGTATGGCGCCTTTGACACTCTGGCATGAGCGTCTAGCTCACACGTGCCCACAATACTTGAAGATGATGATCGACCAAGAATGGGTGATGATTATGATGCTGACACGGAGACAGCAAGATGTCTGTGTTGCTTGTCATCTCGCAAAGCAAGAGAAAAAGCCACATTGGAAGAAATTTGATCGTGGATTGACGGCACCGAACCAAGTGGTGTATGCAGATCTATTGATTCCAAGTAAGGAAAATGGAACACGGCTCGAGGCCGTGTTGGTCTTGATGGATGACCACTCCCGTTTCGTTGCCTTTCGCATGCTTACGAGTAAATCGAGTGATGTAGTGAACAAGTACGTAAAAGAGTACAGCCTCTGGACTGAAAGGCAAGCTGGTCGTAACTTGGGTGAGGGCAGACAAGTGACACACAAAGTTCGACAAGTACTGGCAGACAAAGGCGGCGAATTTGTCAATGGTGGCATCGATAGTTGATATTGCGCTCGTGGTATCGAGCACGTCAAGGTCGGACCGAAGTGTTCGCAGTTGAATCTTTGCGAGCGAACCCACCAGTCTCTTGTGGGCATGACCAAGGCAATGATGAAGCATGCCGGCTTTCCCCGCAGTCCATGACCTGAGGCTATCGAAATGCAGCTTATATCAGGAGCCGTATTTACAGCATGGGGTACACAGGGCATGCCGTATGAAACGATGTTTGGTGTGAAACCCGATCTACGTCATATCAGAACGTTTAAGTCCCAATCTTATGTACACATTTCTGTAGCACCAGGGCGCCGTAAGGAGCATGACAACGCCCGGGTGGGTTTTGTTCTCGGGTACGCAGAAGATGTCATTGGATGCAAAGTGTTCTTTCCTGACGACAGAACTGCCAAATTCGTGTCGGACCTCCGCGTTGCAGAAGGCATGAAGTTCAGGACGATGATGAAAGTTTGAAGTCGCTCCATTTTGAGCAGAATAGTGAATCTGACGTGAGTGGTAGTACCGATAGTGCCAAGATTGACGAGCCCATGAGTTATGAACTCGACGAGGGGGAAGATATCGGAAATGAAGGAGTATACGATGAGCATTCTCTGGCGCGACGTCCCAACTACTATTGTGATACTGATCGTGCGATTCACTGTCCGGATCGTGTGGGTCGTGCAAGTACATAATCTGCTTAAACAAACGATCGTGTTGGAACTAGTGCTGCAAATATGGATGACAGTGCAATTTATGATATGGTAATGAGGGAGACTTCATATGATACACGAAGCAGGTCGTATAGTGCAGTTGACAGTGCTATTGCAGCTGCTCTCAGAGAACTAAATGAAGAAGCTGTCGGTGGGGATAGCGATCCCAGTCAGTGCGGGGCTGAAAGTGAAGTGCACACTGGAAGCAATCAATCTCTACAAAGTTTTTTCGTGTCAAGCTAGTGATATAGCCTGTGATAGTACTCAGTCGGTCACTGGGTTGTGCGGCTCAGAGACCGATGACTCCGAGGATATGGATCAACCCGAGGATACAGCTGAAGCGAAGGCACAGTTTACTAAGTTAACTACTGAATTAAGTTAAGAAGCAAGGAGTGTCGAGAATTATGATGAAGTTACGGTGGCTTGTGGTGCTGTTTCAGCAACTGCAATGAATCAAGAAATAGCGAGCATTGGGCTAGCCAATCACGACGTGATCGATGTGAGTGGACTGTTGCGCACAAAGAAAACTGGTAAAAGAACGCACCGTGATGTAACACCGTCGGAAGAGACGCGAGTGGAGCGAAGTGCAGAGAAGCAAGAGTCAAAACGGAAGTGAATGGGTCTGCGAGAAGATCGAGAGCGTCGACGACCGAGCTATCTTGACGACTATGTTGCCAACGCCACGCAAAAGATATCGAGAATGATAGATAAGAACGGAAAGCCCATCCGAGCAAGTTCGGTGAGAGTACCAAGAAACCGTTGAGCTGCGCTGAGATCTAAGTACGCGGACTTCTGGTTACTGGCGGAAATGGAAGAAATGGCGGCATTGAAGGCAAAGGGTGTTCTGCACGAGATTCCGTGCGACGAACTACCAGAAGATGCCAAGCCAATCAACACAAGATGGATACACTCTTTGAAGTCAGACCGCGAGGGATATGTTATCCGTTTCAAGGCGCGGATAGTTGCTTTTGGCAACCACCAAAGACCCGGAACTAATTTTTCTTGTAGACGCTCGCGCCAGTAGCCCGCATGTCCTCTTTTCGAATGTTGGTAGTCCTTGCAGCGGCGTTACATCTACAGCTCTACGGAGGTGACGTGAATACTGCATACCTGAATGCGCTGCTGGGTATTCGGCAATATCTAAACGGATTTCCGTGTGAGATCGACGAACACATGTACGTGGTCGTGAACGCATTGTAGGGGTTGCGCCAATCGAAGAGAGAGTGGAGCATGGAGCTAAATCGCTGGCTTCTAGAGCATGGTCACCGGCGCTCACTTACTGAGCCGTGCCTGTACTGTCGAGCTGATGCAGATGTGATTATGCTTGTCTTGGTCTACGTGAATGACATTGTCGTCGCAACGAATGACGAGCAGTCTAAGTGCCAACTGTTTGAGGATATCAACAACGCGTATGGTATCAAGGATCAAGGTCGTCTAGTGCAATATCTTAGCATTGAGGTGAGCCAGACAAATTCGTGTATCACTATTTGCCAGAGCAAGTATGCACGGGAGATCTTGGGTATTTTTGGCTTCGAAAATGCTCATCCAGGGGGGAATCCGATGAAAACAACTACGAGATTGATGCCGACTGGCGAGAGTAACGAGGTTAACACGAGTTTGCTGTATCGGCAGGTGGTGGAGATGCTCATGTATCTGGCTACGGGTACACGGCCTGATCTGGCCTATGAAATTGGACAGTTGAGCCAATTTGTGGCAAAGCCTTCTGCAAAGCATGTTGAGACCTTAAAGCGAGTACTGCGATATCTGGCAGGTACTATTGACTACAGAATCACGTATGTGAGTGACCAAGAAACTCCATGTTGTCAAGGGTTTTGCGACAGTGATTGGGCAAATGATGCTGAGTCACGGAAGAGCACGACATGTTTGTGTTTACGTTTGATGGTGGAGCCGTGTCATTAAGGTCAAGACGCTAGACAATCGTGGCTCTCTCCACTGCTGAAGCTGAGTACGTTGCTGCTTGTGAGGCTACGATGGAGGCTGTCGCAGGGAGTAATGTCTAAGAGGAGATTGTTCCGAAGGTGGAGATAGAGCTTCGCATTGGAATTGATAACCAAGCTGCATTGGGGATGGCTACAGATCCAAGCTACAGCCGACGCACTCGACATATTGAGTTGCGTTGGCACTATGTGCGAACTCAAGTGGAAAAGAAGTTGGTGGAGTTGTACAAGGTGAAAGGCTCTGTGAACCCAGGTGGCACGTTTGCGAAGCCGTCGCCTGTGCAATTTGCTGCAAAATGTTGGCGTAGGCCACATCTGAGGTTTCAAAGCTACGCTTCGAGGAAGGCGTGTTGAAGTGCAAGTCTGCTGCTCAGTATTGAGGTGGATAATGAAATGATGGTATCAGGTAAACTGATGCAGATATCAGACCGCTATATGAGAAGCGGCGAAAGCTATGGGACGAAGTAGGAACTTGAGCAAAGCTGCTAAGAAAAAATAATTTAGTCTTTTTTTCGTTTGTTGTGAGCAAGTCTTCTTCGAGTGCGAGTGCGATCACAACAACACTCAAAAGCAACATATATTGCAATATGTATAATCTCACCGTTGGACTCGTCTGATGAAGGCCTCTGCATTCTCACATCGCATGCTAAGTAGTCTCCCAGTGCAATTCAAAACTGCAAGTTCAGCTAAAACTTCGAAGTACCGTTCAAATTATACAACAGAAACAAATTAATACATGTAAATAAAGGTTATTTTTAAGCACAACAGCTTAGCTGTTGTTGATGTGGACTTCAGCTCAGACCTCTACTGTTCGGAGGTGCAATTTCTCCCCTCTCTACCGCCTATATACATTTACGTGTACATATCAATACTGTCGATCTTCACTTGCGAATCGGAAACAGAAGTCCATCAAAAGCTCGCCATGTTGAAGTGCTTATGTTGCTTTAAGAGTTAAGTTTAAACTCTTAATCAGCTGTATCGTGCTATCCGATATCAAGAGCGCCGAGAAGCAGTAAAGTATGAATAGTTTCCTTCAAAGTCAGCTGCATCACGATGATGGTTTTGAAGTCCGGTGGATGGTCGATCATGCAGGTGAGCTCATCGACATATCATTGCTGTCAGTATGTTTTGTCCAATCACACTCATCCGCACTTAGCAATCGATGCAGGATCGGGCGGCGTGTGTCCTCGTATTATTGGTCAAAACAGATTTTTCCGCTGCTCCAATTGGCCGTATATCGATCCATTTTGCTTTCCCCCCTCGCGATCCCGCGATCATACAGTCACCGCTCGGCCCGATCAAGACACGGACGACCTCTCTGGACAGGGAGGAGGACACGCGTACTATCAGATAGAGAAATATGTCGCTGCTGAAGGAGATTCAGGCAAACGCAGCGGTGGCGTGGAGCCCCGTGAAGCGTCGTGCTGAGCTCTTGGCGCTCGGCTCCAAGGGCGACGGCGGCGTCGGCTTTGAGAACACCGGCGGCGAGTTCAAGCTCGTTTCCATGGACCTGAGCGACCCAGGTCGCGAGATGATTACGCTAGGTTCCGTTAAGACGGCGTCGCGATTCACGTCGCTTGCCTGGCGCGACGTACCTCGCCACCACGACACGTGTCCGTACGGCATCATCGCCGGCGGCATGGCGGACGGTTCTGTATCGCTCTGGAACCCGGCGCTTATGCTGGATCGCGAGCCTGGCACTGACGCGCCTGCATCCTGCGAGATCGGACGCATCACGCGCCACAAAGGTGCTGTCAACGCATTGCAATTCAACCCACACGAGGACAGCGCGCACCTGTTGGCATCTGGAGGCAGCGATGGTGAAGTGTACATTATGTCGCTTGAGAAACTGGCCAGCCCCGGTGTCTTTACGCCTGGAGGTCCTTCCACGCCCCAAGCTCAAGCCAACGAGATCACCAGCGTGGCATGGAACACTCAAGTGAACTACATCTTAGCCACAGGCTCCCAGAACGGTTCGGTCGTTGTCTGGGATCTTAAGCAGAAGAAACCGTGGTGCGAGCTGCGTGATCCTGCGCGTGGAGCAGCCACTGCAATTGCCTGGAACCCCAATGAGGGGCTACAGATTGCTACTGCCTCGGGTGATGACCAGCATCCCTCAGTTAAGCTCTGGGACTTGCGTAACTCGACGAGTACTCCGCTAGCTGAGTTCCACGACCACACCGCCGGCGTTCTATCCATGTCATGGTGTCCCAACGACCCTGGTCTCATCTTATCGTGCGGCAAGGACAACCGGACGCTGCTGTGGGACTTGTTTTCACGCAAGACAGTGGTCGAATTCCCCTCAGATGCGCCTAATGCACCTCCTATGGGATCGGACCAATTCTTCGGGGGCGGGCTCGCTGGCCAGCGTCGTTGGGATGTTCAGTGGTCGCCTCAAGTTCCTGCAGTTGCGTCAACGTGCACACTGGATGGAAAGCTGCAGATTTGGGGTCTTTCCGGCGGTGGGAACCCGGCTTGTCGTCCCCCGAAGTGGATGCGTCGCCCGGCCGGCGCCTCGTTTGGCTTTGGTGGCAAGCTGGTGACTATTGCCAACCCTCAGGAACCTGCGGGACCCAATACCGACCACCGCCGTATTATTCACATGCAACGCGTGATCAGTGACACTGGACTGGTGGCGGAAGCGGAGGCTTTGGATCGTTCCCTGGAAACGAAGGACTTTAAGGGACATTGTGAGCAGAAGATTACTTCGGCAGCAACAGCTGAAGAGCGTAGTGTGTGGAGCTTCATGAAGATCCTCTTTGAGAAGGATGCGCGTCAGCATCTGCTGCTTCATTTGGGGTTGGATGCGGAAAAGATTAACGAACTGAACGCCAAGTTTAACCCCGAGGCTGCGGCGGCACAGCAAGCTGCAGCTGCTGCTGCTCAAGCTGCTAACTCGGCCGCACAGGCTCCTGGAGCGCAAGTGGACCCAGTGACGGGAGCGCTGCTCAGCGATCGGATCGATGTACGCTTTTGCTGCGGATGTAACCAAGTTTCTATTTCGTATAGCTCACTTGTTGATTGTTTTGTGTAGTCTGGTATGGGAGCGGACGACGTGTTCGCTTCTGGCTTCCACCCGAAGACTGACGACACTGCTGCTACAACTCCGGCTTCGCCGTTGTCGGACGTCTCTGCATTAGCTGCTGCACTTCCCTCTGCGCTAGATGAGGACAAGAGCAAGCGTCTGGATGCAGTTCCTGCACCTGTATACACTGAAGAATCCGAGAGCACGTTGATGCAGGCGCTGCTGGTGGGTAACTTCGAAGTGGCTGTCAACTGCTGCTTGGCGTACAACCAGCTAGCAGACGCGCTGCTACTTGCTTCCTGTGGCGGCCCTGAGCTCTGGGAGAAGACCCAGCGTGCGTTCTTTGCTCACCAGCAACGTCCTGTGATGCGTGTGGTATCTGCTATCATCAAGAACGAGCTAACTGAGCTCGTGGAGGTGTCGGATCTTGCTGAATGGCGTGAAACTCTGGCCATCTTGAGCACCTACGCTAAAAGCGAAGAGTTCCCGTCGCTTTGTGACAAACTGGCCGTTCGACTAGAGGCTGCTGGCGATTTGCACTCGGCTACGTTGTGCTTCATGTGTGCTGTAAATGTAGAGAAGACTGTGAGTGCCTGGTGCAAGGAAAGCGCGTTCGAGGCTTGCACCCACGGCCACACCTTTGCGCTCCACCGTCTTGTGGAGAAGGTGTCTGTCTTCGCGATGGCTGTGGACCAACCTGACCAATCTATGGGCCCTGAGGTGGCCCAGCGTTTCGCTGAGTATGCTTCTCTGGTACGTACCTGGAGTCCCAGAACCTATTGGTGCACGTGCAATGAGCTTATGTTGTTTTGCCTTGGTAGATGGCTGCGGAAGGACGTCTGGATATTGCTGCGAAGTACGCACGCTTCCCGGATCTCAGTTGCGCGATCTTGAAAGACCGCATTTTCAACGCGTACCCCACTCAGGGCTACCAGCCACCTTCGTTCCCGTTCGACGTGGTTCAGATTCAAACGCAAGCACAGATTCAGCAACAACAGCAACAACAGCAACAACAGCAGCAACAGCAACAGCAACAACAGCAACGCCAAGCTGGTCAGCAACAGAGAGGCTACGGCAACAAGCCTGCCTATGGGGCTGGAAGGAACCAGTTTGGTGCTCCTGCTGCGCCAACACCGGCACCTGCCGCCGCTCCGATGCCTACTCCTGGCGCCTACGGTGGCCAGAATGCAGGGTACCAGCAGCAGCACACACCGGCACCGACACCAGCTTTCCCTGGTCGTCCTGGGCCTGGTGGCTACCAGTCGACGCCTCAGCAACCTGCATACCACGCCACGCCTGGCCTACCTCCTCAAGTGCAACAACCCGGAGGATACCCCAACCAGCAACAGGCCGCATACCCAGGCCAGTCTACGCCGTCTCCGTACCCAGGAAACCCGGCACCGACGCCCTTCCCGGGTCAATCAGCAGCTCCTGCGTTCCCAGGCCAGACCCAGCAGTACCAGGTACCCCCACAGCAGCCTGGTTACGGCCGTCCGCAACAACCAGGCTTTCCAGGCCAACACCCGCCCCAGCCAGGTTTCCCGTCGGGCCCTCCGTCGTCGTCAGGTAGCCGCCAGCAGATGTACTCGGGTCCTCCATCAGCAGGCGGTACACCCCACATACCAGGACCTTCTCCGGCTTATGGTGGTGCTCCTCGTCCTGGAACGGGCTTCGGTGCGCCTGCTACTCCAGCTTCTCCCTCTATTCCTCAAGGTACGGGGGTAAACCCGCTTGCTGCTGCGATGGGGTCATCGCGTATTGCCAAGCCTTCTGTTGATATGAGTTCCCACCAACGTGATGGATTCGTAAGCAGTGTGGGCAACAAGGAACTGACACTGAAATATGGGAATGCTACCACAGCCTCTCTCTCGCCAGTCGCTAACTCCGCCCCAAAGGCCGGTGACTTCCCCCCGGACGTTGTGCCTGGAAGCACTGAGAACGTGGGTCCGCAGGATCTCCCTATTGTAAACGCGTTCAATGACCTCGTGAGTCAACTCCAGGGTCTCCCTCTCACTATGGTACGCTGAAGATCATTGGAATCTCGATGACAGCATGTGTCTAACTAGATCTTCTTTGTTTTTTGTGCAGATGGAACAGAAGCAACTACAGGAGACTCAAAAGGGCAAGGAGATAATGTTTACCAAGCTTAATATCGGCGCTCTATCGCCGGAGGTTGTGTCACGACTGCACGAGATGGTGGTGTGCTTCGGACAACGCGATTTTGGCACTGCACAGACCATCTACGTGGCTCTCACGGCTTCGGACTGGGCACAGCACAAGGACTGGCTGCGTGGACTCAAGTCGCTCATCCATATCTCCATGAAGCGTTTTAGATAAGCAGTCCACACCGTGGGCGACCTGGGGGGGACTACAGGGCTTTAAGCAGATACACGGTCACCAAGTGAAGTGATCGCAAAGGTCCTTGTCAGCCCAATGCAGATAAAACTAGGAAGGATGTTTGTGTACGCGTGTTATTGTTTGCAAACAGTGTTGGCAGAGACGTTGTTAGCAACTGGTAACGCTTCCAATGCTGTACACTGTACAGTGTCCAGTTCATTCTTCGTGCTTGTAGTAGTACACGCATTTAGACTTGACTTAAGAGAAGCGTCTTGATTCATATTATACTGCATGCGTAGAGCAGTGCCAATCTGGATCTTCGAATAGAGTGGCGTCGGCTCGATCGCCTTGGAGCCAGTATCAAGTGCAGGGGCACGCAACAGCACGAGTGCAGAGACGAAAGTGTTGCCTTGATCTCCATTTGCCGACCCCCAGCATCTGCGCGATAATGCCACGCAATATGCGGGATGACCGCGAGCTTCGCGGCAACTTATTTCTGCTTCTGTCACAGCTTGTGACATAACCGTGCAACCAATCGAAATGCGCCATTATAACAGCTTCAACATGTAAGATTTGCAATGGAGCGCACGATCGCTGGAAAACCTCGGTGTCATTCCTGAACCTGCACGCTGGCGACCAAGCGGAATTATTCTCCAAGCAACTCTTGCGTAACCATGCCCGACAATGGCGCCAAAGTTCTAACAAGAGGCACGTTCAACCCTAACGTTGTCAAGGCCGAATACGCTGTCCGTGGCGCTCTGGTTCTGCGCTCCAACGAGTACGAGAACCGTCTGGCCAACGGTGACAAGTCGCTCCCCTTCGACAAGGTCATTCCGTGCAACATTGGCAACCCGCAGGTGCTCAAGCAGGAGCCCATCGAGTTTCATCGCCAGGTGCTGGCGCTTGTCAACGTGCCGGGCCTTGTGGACCAGCCGGAGGCACAGAAGCTCTTTCCGCCGGATGCCATTGCACGCGCCAAGTTTTACATGGACAACATTGTGGGTGGCACTGGAGCTTATGGCCATAGCAAGGGCTCAGCAGTAGTCCGTCAGGAGGTTGCGCGTTTCTTGAAGCGCCGCGACGGTCACCCAGCCGACCCAGAAGACATTTATCTCACAGACGGCGCCAGTCCAGCTGTACAAAACTCGCTATTAGCTCTGATCCGCGACGAGAATGACGCCATCCTGGCCCCCATCCCACAATACCCTCTGTACTCGGCGGCCATCGCCATCAACGGCGGTACTCTGGTTGGCTACTACCTGGACGAGGCTAAAGCGTGGGGTCTCGATGTTGACGAGCTAACGCGTGCTGTGAAGGAGGCCCGTGACGCAGGCAAGACAGTGCGTGCGATGGCTGTTATCAATCCTGGCAACCCAACGGGCCAGTGTTTGTCGGCAGATGCCATGAAAGAGATCATTAAGTTCTGCCAGAAGGAAAACATCCTGATCCTAGCAGACGAAGTGTACCAGGAGAATGTGTACGCTGAGGACAAGAAGTTCTTCTCATTTAAGAAGGTGCTGCGCGATATGGGCAAGGAATACGATGACGTGGAGCTGATCTCGTTCCACTCGACCTCCAAGGGCTTCACGGGCGAGTGTGGTCGCCGTGGTGGCTACATGGAGCTGGTCAACATTGACGAGGGTGCCAAGGACCAGTTCTATAAGCTTATGTCGGTGAACTTGTGTTCGAACATCGAAGGCCAGTTAATGGTAGGGATGATGACCAACCCGCCACAGCCTGGCGATGCATCGTACCAGCGCTATGCAGAGCAACGGGACAGGACGCTTCGGTCACTAAAACATCGAGCTAAGAAGCTCGTGAAGGCCTTCAATGGGCTCGAAGGAGTCAAGTGCAATGAGACAGAAGGCGCATTGTATACATTTCCGAGTGTCACGATTCCAGCTAAGGCCGTTGAAGCCGCTAAGGTAGCTGGTATGGCACCTGATGCGTTCTACTGCACGCAAATGCTGGACGAGACGGGAATTGTGGTCGTCCCAGGATCGGGTTTCGGCCAAAGAGCGGGCACATGGCATTTCCGCTCAACAATTCTACCACCTGAAGAAGCCGTGGACGAGGTTATCGAGAAAACCGCCAAGTTCCACGCTAAGTTCATGGACAAATATCGCGAAAACGTTGCGAGAACAGCCTAACGCAGATGTTAAATATCTTGTTGAGTAAATGAAGCTCATGTGTTAAATCAACAGAGACTCAGATGAAGACTCGATAAGGTTACTTGCTTTGCTAGCGTTTAGGAGTTCCTGGTATACCAGGGGCTTTCTGCTGTTTGAGAGCGCCGTTGTCTATTGTTCCTAATCTGCTTGATGGTGCCGGTGCCAACACCAAGGTGGCACTGCTGGGCTTCGTTCCACTTGACGGACTCGTTTCACGTTTAACAGGGGCCGACGGCCTAATTATGGGGATCTTAGTGATCACACCGCTGTCCTTAGGTAAACCGGTCCCCGAGCGGGTGGGTCCAGAGTTCTTGCCCCCCGATGTTATCACTTTACCCGTCGAATTGACAGCCTTGACTGCTTGTGGCATCTTTGCGTGCCCAGGTCGAGCTGTTGTACAGTTTGGAAGCGTTGTTATAGGTGGTGCGGGTTTATTGGACGTTTTCGGGACTGTTGCCTTCATTTTGCTCGAGTCAGACTTGGATCCGATTCCCATCGCCAAGGTCATAGAGCTGCTTCCACTGGACATGCCTCCCAATCCGCCACTCATGTTCATTGTACCTGAACGCCCAGTGTCTTTCCCAGGCACTCGGACGATTTTGTTCACCAGGTCGAATGACTTAACTCGAGCTCGTCGAACCACTTGGCCGTCTTTCCCTACAACTAAAGTGTACTCAAGCATACTTGACCACTTTGAGTCTGCCGAGGAATCCTCATGATCTGTCGTCAACCCCAAGTTTTCCTCTTCACTCAACTTTCGCTTATCGTCGGCATCGTCTTGGGGTCGACGTTGCTGTCCGATACTACTGGTTTCCACAGTTTGGCGAGTCTCTTGAAGCGCATTCGCGACATCTCGGTCACTATCGATAGTTGATTCATCCAAGAATTGTCGGATCCGGTTTAGACACTTCTCGTCTGATAAATAACAAAGCGCGTTTTTCCAAAGAGGCACGAGAGATATTGCTTTCCATCGAACATTGGGCACGGGATCGTCAAGCAAATCAATAGCTACCTCGAGAAAATTGCGTTGGCAATAAAGTCTACTATTCACGGTCAGCGCGTAGACGCACGCGTCGAGATAGAGAATTCGACGCCAGTAGCTTTTGGAGTGACCATATTCTGTCCGTAGCCTGCTGAGTAGGGAGTATCGATGGTTGGCAGTGTCATTATACCGAATACACTTGAGCACTACTTGCATAGCAAGTAACTGGACTGGACGAGCGCCATCTTCGATGCAATCGAATATAATCGGAATCACCATTTCGTACATTTGTGTCGACGAAAACCACGATGGAAAGCTATGCACTGTTTCAAGAAGCACGAGCTGGTCTCGATTACGGCTTGGTGGTAAAATAGCATGGTATTCGACAACCGACTTGATTATCGAATCAAGGATCGCAGTCTAAGAAGTGCATAGAGGATTAGCTTTAAAACATGTCATCAAAAGTAGAATAAATGCTACCTTTTGATCCTCGTCGCTGGGGTTGAGCATAGCAGCTAGCAGTTGTGGCACTCGAGATATTGCCATTCCCTGAACGAACGGTGATTCATCGTTCATCAAATTCAGTACTAAAGCTTTGAGGTACCGCATCGCTCGTTGCTGTCCTAACAGTGTGGCAACTTCATGGATTCCAGCAGCTATATGATGCCGAACCTGCAAATGAAAAACCAGATGAGGCTGATACGTTAATAATCCAGAGCTGAGCCCACTGTACCTCTTCACTGGGATCACTTGCCAACTTAGTTAGCAAGTCGTCCATTAACGTTGATATATACGTAGACCCAAAAGCTTTCACGAGGGCAGGAAAATTATATGCGCAGTATTGTCGTATCTCCAGTTCTTCATGCGAACATAGCTTCGAATAACCTTGCAAAAGCACTTGACCCGTGTCGTTTCCGAGATGATTAAGCGTGGCTAGCTTTGTGACAAGCTGGCCATACTGCTCGGCTAGAGATGGAATGAGGTAGTCTGGAAGTGACTCAGCTATCCCGACAAACTCGGGAAGTATCTGCTTGGTGCGGTCGCGAGCTGGAAAAAAGTCAAATAATGACAGTAGCGTGAGAAAGGCTGTTTGCTTGACCTGCAGAGATGGGCAAGTAGCGGGTGTCAACCTCAAGCACAAGGATTTTCAATAAAAAAATATATACAGGACCTGTTCTTCTTCATCATTTAGCAGCTCCAACAGCTCTGGTAGTAGCTCCTTACACGCATGTTCCTCTCTGTTTGTTTAAAGCAACCTATGCGTAAGCGGTAGCACATTGACAAACCAGGAGGAAATTATTACCCGACTGCCCGGGCGAGTCCGTCTAGTTGAATGCACATACATCTGCGGACTTCCGCATCTGTGTCTTGGCATAACGACATCATCTAGCAACAAAAGAAGTGTTACGAATCATAAAATAAAACTAAAATCTAAGCGCAAAAGCATACCTTTTGGAAATAAAGCCCTTCGATATCTGGAGCAGACAAGAGGTTCAAAGCGGTGACGGCGCCTAGAACGAGGCAACAGATAAGCCTCGAGCCAGGGGTTTGAGAAACATCCCCCTTCTCTATAGCCACTCGAAGAATCTACAACAAACAAAAGTGTCAGAACATAATAGAGTACAGTTTCTTCTGCTTTGTTCCATACCTGTGTCTTCTTCAGTGCAGTGCCAATGCGTGGAAGGAGTGCAACAACGACTGAGCTAGCTTCCTCAGCGTAGTCCTTTTGCTGGATGTCGGCGATAATATCGAGTGCAAAAGGAACCAGTAACTTTGTGACCTGTTCGTCCGAAAGGAGAAACACCGCATTCTTCTTCTCCGTCCAGCAAGTCTCAAGTTGCTGAGCATATTCCTCGTGTAATGTGACAGTCGGATAGCTCAGTACTTTTCCATCGACTGTTGCGCATGCTAAGCTCGCCAGTCCGTTGAATAACTCCAGAAGAACTGCAGCGTCCGCATTAATCTCCGATTCATACTTTTGCCACACACCCTTTGAAAAATGAGAAAAAAAGTAAGAAAATGGGTTTGTAATTGTAAGCAACTATCCTCACCTTCATGCAATCCAGAATAAGACTGAGGTTTGCCTTCGAGTTGTTGCTTGCCAAAATCTTCGGTATCGAGTTCAAGATGCTAATTTTCTGCTTGTCTAACCCCATCTTGAGAAGCTTCTCAGCTCTCTCCATCTCCGGCATGTTTTCGTCTACATTGAGTTTTTCGAGATCCGATTGGGACTAAAGAGCGTCGCGTGATGTCAGTGGTCCGAAAAGCAAGCATTTGTTTTCAGCAAGACGTACCAGCGTGTCTTCACGTTCGAAGCATTCCGCCTCGCGCTCATTAAAAAAACCGAGATCTTCCATTCTGAAGGGTATCTTAGAATGCGACGGACTTGTGCACACTGAATACGCCCCTCTTCATCCCCCGGGTGCGCAAAATTCACACACGCCAAGTTGACGAGCCTCTTCCGCCGCGTCCTAATACCGCCACGGCTTAAGCTTTCCCCTCCGAGTGCGCCTACTCCCTAGATAGAAACGCAAACCAGTCAGTCAAGGCATGACTATTGCTGCTGCTATTTTTGAAGTCCTAGCGTGCTCGAAACCACTGCATCTGTGCCTTAATGGTAAGTGCATGACCTTATCTCACGCATACTAGTTACTTCTTTTTCATTTTTAGGTTTTAGCTATCATCGTCTGCAAGGGGCATGAGGTCGACATACTTTTGCCAAATAAAAGCCACCTCTTTCTCTTTGCCCTCAACAAGCTGCTCTTGTCGTCGATGCTCCGTCTCGCGCTGTGATTCACTTAGTAAAAGTTCTTCACGTAACCGGAAGATTTCCTTCCGGAAAAGTTTTTCCTTTACTTGAGCCTTCTCTGCGACCGCAGTCAGTTTTCTCACTTTCTCTCTCAGCGCTACCAAGGTCTTTTGTTTGTCGAGTTGCTGTTCTGTTACGTCAAGTTTATCCTGCTCACGTTCCTCATTCTCTTGTATACGCTCACGCTCGACACGCTCCAGCTCATCCTGACGATCTTGGCACTGTCTTCGAAGTGCCTCAATCTTCAGCTCCCGTTTCGCTAACCGGGTTTTCCACGACCGCTGAGTCGCCTCCGCCGCCTCGACGTTCTGACGTAGAGTGGACACCAGTTCGCGCTCCTTCTGGCGAAAGTTTGCGTTTTGCAGCTTGAGTTCGTCAACTGACGTTGCGACAGCTTGAAGCTTGGCCTTCCAGGCACACACTTCGTCGGTTTTCTCCTCAAGCTTGATGTTGAGTTCTCGTTCTGTAGCTTTTTGCACTGAAAGCTCGCGGTCGACGCGGTGAAATTCGCTCTCCCAATGCTCACACTGTTTTTCTTTACCTTGCAACGCGGCTTCAAGCGCTTTTTCACGCTGTTCGCCTTCGTGTCGCTGCATTTCTCGGGTCAACATGCTGCGCTTGGCTTCGGCGACCTGTGCCTCGAGGGTTTCGATTTGTGTCATAGCGTCCGCCACGAAGGTCATGCGGCACACCAGCTCTTCTGACGTCTCGTGGAGCTGCGTCGTCACGGCTGTCACCTGATCCTGCAGTGCAATGACTTCCTCATCTCGAGCGCGGAGCTTCCCACGCAGAGCTCGCACCTCGGCTGCGAGCTCCAGCTCTATGTCACTGTCTATCATCGCGTCCCTTCGTACGTGAATTCCATGATCGAATTCTCACCATAACCGCTTGACATGTCAAGTCCGACGCATCGGAAGCGTTGCTACAGCACCACGTGCGTGATTCTCATTGACATCAAGATGGAGATTCAGCGAAAATTCGCCGAGGCAACGCGAACGAAATCGACACGGGCTTGCTGTTTGGTTGCCATCGGGACATTCACTCTGTATTATACGCAAATGGCTGTGCCATCAATCTGCAACTTGAAGCGGTCACCCCGCTGTCTCATTTATAAATAGACGCGTGCGTTCATTGGACAAATTCTCTCTTCTTGTCGCAGCGTGCTCGCTTCAAAGCACCACTTTAGCTTTTGATCCACCCGCGAGACCCTCCATTTTCATGGCAACGGCGGCTGGTCACTAGAACAGTAAAGGCAGACCTATCTCGACTTTCAGGACCATCACTCTGTATTTTCACCATGGAGCGCACGCAGTCGCTCCCAGTGGCGCCGCCGTCTGTGCTGGCATCCATGTCGCCTCCGTGCTCACCGCCGCCTCTGTGCTCTCCGCCGAGCATCTCCAAGTACGTGGTGGGTGTATGTGCCATGGAGAAGAAGACGCGCTCCAAACCCATGCGCGAGATCTTGCGGCGCCTTGAGAAAAAGCGGCAGTTCGACGTGTTCGTGTTCGACGACGAAACGATTGTCAACCGCCCCGTGGAGGCCTGGCCGGCGTGTGACGCGCTCATCTCGTTCTATTCAACTGGCTTCCCACTACAGAAGGCCGAAGAGTATGTGCGCCGTGTTCGGCCCGTACTGGTCAACGAGTTAGGTATGCAACACGTCCTGTTCGACCGTCGCAAGGTATACGCACTGCTCACTCGACACGGCATCCAAGTGCCGCGCCATGTCATTGCGAACCGAGATTTACCCTGCGGTAAACAAGACGAGCTCATTGAACACGACAACTACGTGGAGATCAACGGCGTGCGCATTAACAAGCCTTTCGTAGAGAAACCAGCTGATGCGGAGGACCACAACGTCTACCTTTACTACCCAACCAGTGCTGGTGGAGGCAGTAAACGTCTTTTTCGTAAGGTGGGGGACCGCTCAAGCGAGTTTTACCCGGATGTGAATCATGTCCGAAGAGATAGCTCGTATATCTACGAGGAGTTCCTGAATACACAAGGAACCGACGTCAAGGTGTACACGGTAGGCTCGAGCTACGGCCACGCAGAAGCCCGCAAGTCTCCTGTGCTCGATGGTCGCGTGGTGCGAGACTCTGCGGGCAAGGAAGTCCGCTATCCTGTCATCCTGAACTCGACGGAGAAGGACATGGCGAGGAAAGTGTGTCTGGCTTTCCATCAGACGGTGTGTGGCTTCGACCTGCTGCGTGTTCGCGGCAGCTCGTACGTGTGCGATGTGAACGGTTGGAGTTTCGTGAAGAACTCAAAGAAATATTACGATGATTGCGGACTCATCTTGCACAATTATTTGGTGTCGGCACTGCGATCGCGGTACTTTCGCCAACGCCGTGCCAATTCGTTAACCTCGATGGGTACACAGATGTGTCCTCAGTACGCGACAGAGCCAAATGTCATGAGCAACGGAGGTCACGATTGGCACAACTACACACGACCAAGTTCTGGGTCGGACGTCTCCGAATCGAGCGTAGCTAGTGCCAGCAGTGCTGGCTATCCACCTGACGACGAGAATCGTGAGGAGCTACGCTGTGTCATCGCCGTGGTGCGTCATGGTGATCGTACACCGAAACAGAAGCTGAAAACGCTTGTATGGGAGAGGGATCTTGTAAACTTCTACGAGAAGCGGCGTAGTGAACGCAAATATGATGAGGTGAAGGTGAAGGCGGTCGCAGATCTACAAGAGCTATTAGATCTGGTGCGTAGCCTCATTAAGGCATACGCGCCTGGTGTCGGCTCAAAGGACGCGGTGTGGGAAGATGAAGGAGGTGACAGTTTTGAGAAGCTACTCCAGATGAAACGCGTGCTAGAGCGATGGAAATTTGCTGGCATCAACCGCAAGGTGCAGTTTAAGCCGCACAAGAGCTACGCTGCTGCAGCTGCAGCGTATGCTGAAGCCCCGGAAGGAGCTGAGAAACCGAAAGTCCTTACGATCCTGAAGTGGGGAGGTGACCTCACAGAAAGAGGTAAGCGGCAAGGAGAAGAGCTGGGACAGTCGTTCAGAAACAGTTTGTATCCTGTTGAAGTCGAAGAAGGAGGTTTGCTTCGCTTGCATTCGACTTTCCGTCACGACTTAAAGATCTTCACATCAGATGAAGGTCGTGTGCAAATGACTGCAGCAGCATTTGCTAAAGGCTTTTTGGAGCTCGAAGGCGATCTAACACCTATCCTCGTGAGCCTCGTCACAACTCTGGGAAGAGGTAATGTCTATTTTGCTTCATGTCATGTCGCCGTAATTTATTTAATCTCACGTGCTGCAAATGTTCATGTGATTAGATGCCAATAAAATGCTGGACCACTCGGGACAAGCTGACGCTAACGAGGAGATGATGACAATAAAAACCAAGCTGAGGGCTTTACTGCAGCGAGATTACTCTTCGATCGAAGAGATGAAGGCTGTAATCGCACCGTTGAAGACGGAATCTATCATCCAGGCGCTGGACATTATAAAGAACCCGAAGGAAGCGCTGGTTCGTCTGCTAGAGCTTGTTCGCAAGTTTCGAACTGAAATTGCTGAGCGTGTGCAAGACAAGCGTGAGTTTGCAGACCATTTGATAGATAACGTGTGCTCGAAACTAATGTTTGTTATTTATTTGTTATTATCCAGAGGCTGATGAAGCGACTCCACTGTACATGGGTGAGACCTTCTCGCTCATGTTCGAGCGCTGGGACAAGATCTATCGCGATTTCTACTCGACCAAGACAGACACGTTCAACATGAGCAAAATCCCTGACGTGCATGATTGCATTAAGTATGATCTTCTTCACAATTCGAGTGTCGGCTGGAAATACGGCCTTGAGCTATTCATGCTCGCTGAGGCGCTTGCACGGTGTTATGTTTCGCAAGAGTATGGCATGGATATTGCGGAAAAGCAGTCAATCGGCAACCGTGTTTCGCAAGCACTCTGCGCAAAAATCCGAGCCGATATCGTGACTGTCATGTCGGCATCAGCAGAACAAGAAGAATCGTCTTCTTCCTCGAGAAGTCTGTACGGAAGTGGAGATGCTGTTGAAGACGGCACTGTTGACCTCGCTGATCAGGATGTCGAGCATCACGGATACCGCTTGGACCCGTCGTACGCGAAGGAGCTGCGTATTAAGAGTCCCGGCACTCAAGTTCGCACACGTCTTTACTTTACGAGCGAGAGCCATCTACACACGCTATTAAATGTGCTACGTTTCCAGTGTCCTTCGTGGCGTGCGCGGCATGAAGGCGGTGAAGACGACGAGTACGATATTTCGCTTGAGCAAGAGAAATTCAGCAATGAAATCTTGAAGCGCATGGGTATCAGCGTCAACGACCACATGACGCAACGCAAATACGTTTTTCGCGAGTCCAAACTCATCTCTGACGGGAGTCGACGTGCGTTAGATCGCGTCGCTGAGATCAACTACCTCGCCCACCTCGTGATCCGTGTCTTTGAAACACCATCGCTACCTCAAGACAGCGAGGACCGCTTTCGTGTGGAAATCTCCTTCTCCCCAGGGGTAAAAGATGGCCTTGCAGCGTTCCCCGATGGCGCGGAAGGAGTGGAGGATACGATATACCTTACGAAAAATATGACCGGTGTCATGTTCGAAGACATGCTAGCCGCCTGTGTGTCCTCCGTTCAGAGCACCTCCGTCTAGAGAATCTAGGCAACATTTTACATTTATTCATGAAAATAGAGAACTTGAGTTTTCAAGGACACAAGCAAGACGACAAAAAAGGCAATTGGCAACTTCATTTGAATTCAAGCGGTGAGTGCTTGCAAGATGTCAGACGTTTGACTTGGTCTTCTCTACTCCTGTCCGAGCCACTCGGTGAAGCGATGCGCGTGATACGCAGCTGACAGCGCTCCGAGCGATGCAATCGATACCGGGAGCGGCTTCTTTGTGCGCACAGCACGTACACCCATAGCGCCCATTGTGATCGATGACATAAGTAGCCCCATACCATGGCCGTTGGTCATCTCGCCCTTCTGGAGTAAGTAGCCCGCGACGCCGAATCCCGCGCCGAGTGTCACTCCCGCCACCAACGATGGAACGCTCTTGGTCTTCAGGTAGCCGAAAACGCCGCCCGCTGTAAGCACGCCTGCCATCGTGTATGTAGCATGGTGGGCCATTTCGTCCTAAGCAATCGAAATCGGAATTGAGTTGGATGTCACTTCACAATTCGCGGTACATGTATAATACCGTATAACGGAGTGTTTACTCCATAAAAACCTCGAGACTGGCATATTGAATAGTACAGCGAGAAAATAAAACCTTTTATTGTATTAATACATGTACGTGTTATTTCATTTTTTATTGCTGAAGTAAGGCCAGAAGCTTCTTCTTGACGAAAACACGGAGTCCGACATCTATGAAGATGTCCTACTGGTACCTCGTGAATATTCAAAAAGCCGAAGCTTTGCGTAAAACACGGCGTAAATGATATCAGTTCACGAGCGATCCGCACAAAGTTACGGAGGCTAGCTGACACTTTCTTTTACTTGAAAAAAATGAATGTGGCACGGATATACACACTTAATGGCTGGCACTTAGTCGTAGCTGCTCGGCACGGGTGGGGCGCCGGGGATGTAGCGCAATCTGCGGGGTGGATTACTGAGCTGGTGAACGTGGTAGCCCGCCGACAATGCGCCAGCCGTGGCGATCAACGCTGGCGCAGCCAGACCCGTGAGCGCTGCACGTCGTCCCATTACGCTCGCAATGATACCTGACATGGCCAGCGACGTCCCATGCTCGAAATGGTGGTCGGTGATGGTGTCCGTGAGAACCAGTAACCCTGCGCCAAGAAATCCAACGCTTAGCGCAACGCCACCAACTAGTGACGGGATGTGGCGCTTCAGCACGTAGCCAGCACCGCCCGTGAGGCCCACGACAGTCGCGTACGTGAACGCTTGATGCTTTCCCCCTGCCATGGAAAACAGCAAAGCATGAATTCAAAACCTTTCGCACTGTATATAACTTGTCAGAGGATGTAGCCATGTCTACTTGAAATGGCAAAGCAACTTCAGCTTCCCACGCCAGCAGATGCATCTACTTGCTGCGCATGATGTGGCGCAGTTCAACACCTAGGATCTCCGTGACCTTGAGCTGCATCTTAGCCATCGCCTGGCAAGCACAGACTTCCTCTACTTCGGGCAAGAAGCGGCAACAGGACGCAGCCACCTCAAAGTGCTCGAACGCCTCATCTGTGCGCCCCTGTGCGAAAAGCACCTGAGCAATGTCCAGGTGCGCCGAACTGCAACGAGGATCCACTTCAAGCGCCTGCTTAAAGTGAGCGATAGCACGCATAGGGTCGTTGGTGCCCACATACACGCGCCCAGCGTTCAAGAACGGCAGCGGACACTGCGGCGACAGCTCCCACGCCGTCAAAAAGTGGCGCATGGCGTTGGCATAGTTGCCCTGGTCAGCCAGCACCTCGCCGTAGAACAAATGCACTTCCGCAGACTTCGGGAACATCTTCGAGGCCTCCTCGAACACGTCCTTGGCTTGGTACGTCGACCCACTCTTGTAGAGCGCCATGCCGTACGACACGTGGGTAACTGGCAGAGCATCAGACCGCGAGATGCAGCGACGAAGACACTGCGCGGCCTTGTAGTAGTTGCCGTCCAGAAGCTCCATCTGTCCCAAGTGCAAATGCACATCTGCCTCGTTCGAGTCCAGCTCCATGGCCTCGGAAAAGCACGACGTGGCCTCGTCCGTCTCGCCAAGTTCTGCCAGGAAACCACCCTTCTTTACCAGTGAGTTCACCAGCGTTGGTTGCAGCTCCAAACTCTTGTTGATGGCCTCGATAGCCGTGTGTACATCGCCCACAACATACAGCAGAGATGCATGCAGGTTGAAAGCCAAAGCGCGGTCCTCTACCGTAAGGCCTTCAGCCTCCATGTCTTTGGCGACCAGCGTCCAGATATCACGCTGAGCTGCACTGTAGTTTTTGTTCCGCTTGAAATGAATCGCACGATGGAGTAGCGTGAGTGCGTCCAGATCCGACTGCTCCACATCTTCCTTCTTCGCAATATCAAATGGCACACGCGCAGTGTAATCAGCGTCGTGTTCAAATGCCTCAAAGTAGCTGTCCACCAGCCACGACGACGGAAGTTCGTGCTTCTTCTCCATCTTCGCGAACAGATTCTTCGCCACACGACGACCCACCTGACGCGACGCACGATCAATGGACTCGGCGTGTTCCGCCGAACGCGAGCCATCGAGAATGAAGGACGTCACAAAGTGCTGCATGGCTGTTTCAAAGTGCTTAGCCTTCTCCTCGACGATTCCCAAGCACTCATAGGCACCGACACAGTACGGGTTTAACTTCAGTGCAATCAGAGCTTCAGTCTTCGCACGACCCAACTCGTTCAAGTCGAGGAAACTCCTGGCCCGGCCAACTATCGCGTTCTCCAGGTCCTTGTGATAGAGCGGGAGGTACTCGAAGGCCTTGGAATACGCTGCCAATGCGACTTGGTAGCGTCCTGATCGCCGACGAATGTCACCATCCAATACGGCCTCACGAACACTCACCAGCTTGTCAGCAAGGGAGTCATCCGTCTTTAACGAGCGAGTGAGGAAATGCTTGAGGACATAGAGAGACTTCTCCGCCTCCGTCACGCGTTCTGCGAGCTGCTCTCGCTTCTCGTCGTGGAGGGTGTCGCACAGTGCCTGGAATTCAATCTGACTGAGCTGCTTGGGTTCGTCCTTGATGACACCCCACGAAGCCTCCGCTGCAGCCTGGATAAATGACTTGATCTGTAATGTACTCAACTTCTTGTGGTTTGTGCTCACATCCTGAGGAATGAAACCCAGCGCGTAAACGACACTCGGATACGTGTGCTTCCAGCTCTCTCTTAACTTGTCCACAAGCTGTGGTTTCTCCTGTTCAGAAGCAATTTCATTCTTGTTTTTCTCCTCGTCCGTTGCATATTGTGTGGCTTCCTCGACATCAGCTTCTTCGTCATTATCACCGTGAACCTTGCAATCGGGTTCCTCCTCCTGGATATCTTCCTTCTTAGGAGTAAATTCCTCCTTATTAGACTCATCTGTGCCATCTGCCGACTCACTAACCGTGGCTTCCTTCTCGATCGTTTGCTCTACATGGACCGAGCTTTGCTCGGTGGTTGCTTCCGCCTCAGTTGTAGTATCTTTATCGGCAGCACCTTCCTCGGTAGCATCGTCATTTCCACCGTTCTTGTCCATCTCATCCAGGTCTTCACCGCTAAGACCTTCTTCCTCCAGATCGATCACCGTCTCTTGAGGGTCGAATTCGCTCTCCTCATCACTAAACTCTACTTCTTCTTCACATACACTATCAAACGCCCACGGCGTTCGTTGACTCACGAGCTCACGTAATTTCTGCTCTAGTTTCGTCGCAAGCTCCAACACATGATCTTCATTGAGGTCTGGCACTTCTACCACTGCAGGTGGCGTGTACAGGACTTCCCAGAGTTCGTTGATAGCCTTAACCTGCGCAGTGCATTCGTGATCATGTTTTTCCTCCACCCATTTGTGCACACTCATAGCCATTGCGCCTTCATTCAGTTCCTTCTCCTGGTAGATGAGATCGGAGCATACCTCGATCACGTCCTGAAAAAGCGACCCGCACTGCGTTTTAACCTCCTGGATCGAGCGCTTCTTGCGCAACGACGCAGGGAATCCGAAAGGTGCCAGCACGAAGGATACCACGCGGAAGATCGTTCTGGAGGCGTCCAAGAACTCGCTCTTGCTGACAGGCGACGGCATGTCAAAGAAACGGTGACCATCCTTAATCCACACAGTCTCCTCCACTTTTTCTTCTTCTTCTTGCTCGCCAGGAGCGCTCTTCTTGCTTGTTTTCCCACTGAGCTCGTCCTTGTAGGTCTTTTCCAGTTCTTCCACCTCCTTTTTGCCCTCTGGAGTCAAATTAACTTCATTCGACTGCGAAGAGAGATCGAATCCTCCTTTGTCGTCTTTGTAAAGCAGTCGACCTTCGTGGAAAATGTCGGCAGTGAATGAAGACGGGAATGACGCAATCAAAGCGTCCGTGAGTGCTTCAGAGCAAAACGCGATCCAACCATAATGACCAGCCAGAAGCAACGCAGTGGCAACCGCAGCAGCTTCAGATGGTACACTGGCAATGACTGCAACAGGTCTGTCTAGATCAATGCCGTTCACTGCGAACAACTCTCGCAGTTTCTCCACAGGAAGTAAGAACGCTCCATCGCCACTGTTATCGGCAACAGGTTCCTCTCCACTCTTCTCCGTCTCGTAGCCTGTAAAAATGGACGCAAATGGCACGTTTCTTGCACCTTCGAGATGTCCTGATACTTCCTTGCCGCTAGTGAGGCCCAAAAACTCCTTTTCGTCTCTGCAGTCCAAGATCTGTACTGTGGTGTCCTCCTCATGTTGCTCTAGCACCTGCTGGACGTATGCTGCTGCGTCCAGAACCTTCACGGCGTCGGTATCGGGTGTCTCTAGCGCTGTCTTGTCACAGTTGAGTAGCTCCGCCAGCGAGAAGCACGTGCCCATGGCAGAGTCGCTTACGGAGACGGTGGCACCACTCTCTTTGGTTTGTTGCAGCTGCCAGTGCAGCATACACGCCACCGCTAGTTGCTGCTTGGCGTCTGCGAAACCCGAGAGCGTGCAGAGGTTGACGTCGTCGTCGCGTGCGGCTGCAGAGAGTCCGCAGACACGCGCCACCTGCTGTACGCATGACTCGCTGTTGGGAGAGACCTCCGGCGCGTCCGAGACGCGCACGAAGAGTTGTTCCAGCGCCATTCCCATGTCCGAATGTGCGGTGGTGCCGAGTATGAGATACCTTCGATGCAACCTTGCTTATCACCGAGACGCCAATGCTGTTGTGGTGGGTGAGATTTGCATTGGCAACCGTGTTGATACAAATCTCTAGTGATTTAACCACATGTGTTGACACACCAAACTCGAACACATTGTTTTTATTGCTTTGAGCTGAGGAAGAGTGACGATCATGATCTTCTCTTTTTACATCTACACGCGCAGAGGGTCATGCCTGTACCAAGAGAAGTGGAATGTTTCCGGCGGCAAAAGTGTGACGTACTCGGACCCAGAGGAGGAAAAGCGTCTGCTCTTTGGCCTGCTCTTCTCGCTCAAGGAATTTGTAGGGAAGATCGCTCCCACGACGACAACACAAACGAGCGTAGACCCTTTCGCAGCGGGAGAGTCTGCTGGTTCAGGCGCTAGCACAGTACCAGAAAGTATGCACCGATACCAGACCAACTCGTACACGTGTCATCAGTACGAGACGCCCAGTGGCCTGCGCTTCGTGATGATGACGGACAATCAGGCGGGTGACATGACACCCACGCTCAGGTATATCTACTCACAGATCTACGTGGAGACGGTAGTAAGCAACCCGCTAAGTGACACCAAGAGCGGCAAACCGATTACTAGCCAGCTCTTCCGCTCGCAGCTCACGCAGTATCTCGAGAGTCAACCGTGTTTCAGATAGGTAGGGTCAATGCTCGCAAAAGCGAAAAAAAATGTTTTCTGAAGCATTCTGAGCGCGAAATTTCGCAAGTATTCTGGTTTATGCGGTTGGGAAAAAGCTCTGGAGGATGCCAACTATATCAGCTGCACTAGGTCGGAGAGCTGGTTCGTGTTGCCAGCAGCGCTGGATGAGATCACGGAGTGGCTGAGCGACACGAACAGAGGAAGGAGTTTAGTTATAATAAAGAAGATAACTTGGTGAGTGCGTGTTGTTCTCGTACCGGCGGAGTTTTAGGTGAGATTATGGGTCGCCGTCGGTCTTGGACAACTGCGATAGGGATCTGAGCTGGAGCTAGGCCTTTGAAGGGTGCGGATTCTTCACAAATTTCCCACATAATGACTCCAAAGCTGTACACGTCAGCGGACAAGGAGTATTTCTGGCTGGTGAGCACTTCACTGTTGAACCAATGATCCCTTATCAATAATACTCCGCAAATTGGCAGAATTGATGGTGCACGTACGGAGCCATCCACTGAAATGTGCCACAGCATCCCGTCATAAGCTCCGATTGATCGTTAGAGCGCGAAATGCCAAAATCTGTCAGGCGTGCAGTGAAAGATAAATTTTACTGGAGCACAACACGCCAACAATCATGCATACCGGCAAGTTTCACACGCCCCTCAGCCGTCATGAGTAGGTTCCTTTAGTTTCACAAAGAGCGTTTAGATGACAGTATCCCTCCCAAGGTACCAGACGCGTACAGAGATTTAAGATCCCTTCGTACAAACAAGCAGATATTGATTACCACATTGAAAAACGTGCACAGAAGATAGAGATGCGAACAAACCTGTGGATGATTTCAAAGGAGTGGAGAAACTGCAGTCCCCGAGCAATATCCAACTACACCGTACAAAACTACTGAGACCAAGGGTTTATACCACTTGGGTTGCTTCAAACCGTACCATCATGTGAACTCGCTTAGTCCAGGAAGTCGGAAACGGTGGTACTCGCCGCGTTCTGTCTGGAACACCATTGATGAGCTCGCTAAAATACACATTAAGTTAGCGCAAGATGCTAGCATGCTACATTTAAGTGGCAAGTACAAAAGTGAAAACGGGAGATTAATATCTACGAGGGAAAGAGGGTTAGAGCACACCGCGAGGAGCAAAACCAACGATGGATTGGGACCGAGTTGCTGCATCATGTCCACTTCATTTGCGAATTCACGTTCTACGGCGCTGCGATCAATACCGGTGAAGCTACAAGCAGGTCGTTAGTTCAGTTTCTACAAGATTTGTAAGAGGTACTTACGACTTGACCGCAACCTCTGCTCCTCGCCAGCTACCTTTATAAACTTGACAGCTAGCAGTTTACCTTGAGAAACTACATTCTATTGTGCGCTTCTACTCTTACCACGCACCTGCTGCCAATTCCAATTTGCTTTTGAATTGCAAGGTCATTCCACTCAACTTCCCGAACTGTGCACCCTGGTTTAAGAATCTTACTCAAGGAAAGTGATCTCAATTCAAGCCGCGAAGGTGAAGGAGGCTGGGCCACTCCGACGGATTTTTTCGGAGATTGTTGGTTCAATCCTAGTAGATCCACAGTAGCGACATCAGTAGGTGCGCTTAACTGGGTACGCGTAGGGGAAATAGACAGAGTTCCGGGTTTCTTCGGAGTTTGACGCTTCAGTCCTAGGAGATCCACAGTAGCTGTGGTGCCATCAGCTTTTAGCTCGTCAGCTGAATGACAACAGCCAGAGGAAGCTATATAAAGGAAACACACATGTAGTACATGTATGTGCTTTGACTTACCTTGAAGAAGAATATACACGACCGGTAGATTGCTGGAGCATAGCCACCGCACATCCTGTCAATGGGCAAACCCGTTATTTACCACTCTTTTCGTTAAACTGAGGAAAGCAATTGCATACCTCATCCGATTTTAATTTCATCGCTTCTTGGGGACTTTTATCATTAAAGTGTCAGATCGTACTCTGAATTCCAATATCCTCGACGCGCGCCTACCTTTTGAGGAGCTTCAACGAAACTCCAGGGTGCATAGCGGCTGGAAAATGCGGCTCAATGACTTGTCGAAGTTCTAACAGTGTCCGAATCATTGGCACGGGGAACTGCTTCGCTGTATCCTTCCACTTGCATTGGAAAAACATTTGTCGAGAATCATCTATGCAACGTCGATCGGGAGTAAGTTGCAGCAAGTCGCTCGTATCGCGTTGTTATTCAGCGCTTTTACCTTTTCCGGGCCTGTCGGAGTATAACGTCGGTGCCGATGGCGTTGGCAACGGTGCATTAACATCGTATAGTGGTTGCACGGGGGCGCAAGCTGCACTACTCGACCCATCTATCCTCGCGCACACCTCTTTTATCAGGAGACGTAAGCTGTATCCCTGTGGCCATCCCCGCGACAACAAATCGAGTCGACCATCTTGAAACAAAGAGTGGGGAAGTTTCTGCAAGAAAACATGAGATAGATATGGAGCTGAAAGCTGCACATGGTATAATACATCCTTACTTCAGCCCCTGCAGTGCAGGAAATCAAAGGCGATTCGGCTGGAAACGCAGGCGAGATGCGAACTACAAACTCGATCCTCCCGTCGACACCTTCATGAGCATTGTACTGAGCAGCATACCAGAAAGTGTATACACCGCAGCATGTGCGAAATGTGAGCTTGCGAATTTCATGGATAAAATCCACTATGTGAATCTACATTTTTCTTGACCACGGCGAGCTGAATATCAACGCCACTCCAGTCCGCTGACCCTGTTCTAACTATGCGTATTCTGTTGTAAAAGCTGAGCGTTAGACATAGCTCTGGATTCTCACAGACGGCTAACGCCAACTTACCCATCCACGCGCGGCAGTTTTCGCAGCTCTTTTTGAAATTGGACATGGGCGATCATGTTTTGGAGCTGCTGCTGCGTCGGCTGCGAGGCACGGTCATCAGCGTGCGCAAAAGACTATAACTATACTCATACTACCGACCACAGATAGGAAGGACAGGTCAGGGACATTCGCGCGATGCATATTCGTCGCGCACGTCTAGAGTGGCCAATAAGTGATGGTAAAATAACCGACTACTGAACCAGTCGAAGTAACCGTTGACGAGAAGTGGCTACACAGACGAAAAAGACTACACTTTTTTTGTCTCAGCACAAAAGGCGCCCAGCAAGTATGCGGCGTCCACAAAATACTGCGAGTTTTCAGGGTGTTGCCGTGGATATCCAGCGTACATCTGACGCCTAGTAGACGGATGCAAGACGACCGGTGTCCCTCGTATGAGCTCACTTTCACATTTGCCTCCAAGCGCGAGCAGTACAACAAACTCCTTTCCAGCTACTCAAGATGATGCGTCTCCTCTCCTGTCTCGCCATCGCTGCCTTCGCTGCTGTCACCAATGCCGACGTTGTGAGCGACGTGACATCCGCCGCTAATACTGCTGGTAGTGCGGTGGCCAATGCAGCAAACGCTGCAGCCAACGCAGCCTCGCCTGCTGTGGAAGCCACGGGAAGTTGGGTTAGTGGTGCAGTCGACACAGTCTCCAGTGCCGCTGAAGCCGCGGCAAATTCGACCGGAAGCTGGGTCGATGGAGCTGTCGATACTGTGTCAAGTGCCACTGGGACTGCCCTCGACTCGGCCGGTAGCGCGCTCGACAGCGCGGCGAGCACGATGAGCTCGGCGGCCGATGAAGTTGCCAGTGCTGCTGAAGATGAAAGTGCCTCCAGTGGCTCCTCTTCGGCGTCGGTGGCAACCGTCTCCATGGCGGGTGTTCTAACGGCCGTATGCCTCGTGATGAACTTTGCTTAGGCTTAAGTGGCAATCGCACTAATTGAATTTAACTTTTCTGCACGCCATCTTGCCTCTTGTCATACATAATTCATGTTCAAGGATGTCCTAACTATGAAAACTTAAACGAAAGGCTCGATGCATATCGCTTCACCTGTGTTGAAGTGATAAAAAACTTGAGGATGCGAAACACGTTTGACGATGATTGGTCATTTTCTCTTGCGTAGAATTATCGTAAATATGTGGCGGAGCTCTTGGCGTGCCGCGGCAAGCGCTGCATACCGCGGAGGCGCGCGGCACCGTCTGAGCCGCAACGCGGATGGGACTACGCGCAGGCTTGTAGCAGCATCACCTTCGGCTGCGTACGCTGTCGCTGGCGCCGGTGTCGCGGTAGCAGCAGTCATCAACTTCAGTCAACAAGGTGAGACTCGACACAGCTTGGTACTGTCAACTTACTTTATGTTCGTTATGTTTGCGATTTCCTAGAGGAGGTGACGCTGTTAGAGGCACGCCCCGGACAGAGCAGTACGCTGTCGCGGAATTTTATTGCTGATGCTGTGGAGAAAGCGTTTCCGGCGGTGGTGAATATTGCCGTTGATTCAGGTGAGCTTGAACACCAATTGATCAGTGCATTCGAGTTACCCGCTGAGGTTTGTTTTTTGATACCGTCTCTTGTAAGGTTACTTTGCTAGCAATGGATCGGGATTCATAATTACGAAGGAAGGTTTGATCGTAACGAACGCCCATGTAGTTGCTCGATGCAATCGCTATTCCAAGATTCAGGTCAGACGTCTGGCGCGAGATACCGCGTTTGTACCATACTAATTAATATGTGAAACACGGCTACAGGTGACTTTCGCGGATGGTAGGAACTACCCCGCTGTGATCCACAGCGCAGACACCCTATCAGATATCGCTCTTCTCCAGATAAAGTCCGAAGAAGTGAAGGAGTGGCCTATGATATCGGTTGGCTCATCGTCTGAGCTGCGTGCAGGTGAGTGGGTGTGTGCTCTCGGCAGTCCTTTCTCCTTGCAGAACAGCGTGAGTGCTGGCATCATTAGCGCCGTAGCACGGCACAGCAGCGAGCTTGGCTTTCCGCAAAAGGGCGGCGAGTACATCCAGACGGATGCGGCCATCAACGCTGGTAACTCTGGTGGTCCACTCATAAACCTTGACGGCGAGGTGATTGGAATCAATACCATGAAAGTGGACGGCAGCGTGGGAATTTCCTTTGCAATCCCGGCTGATACTGCAGTCCAGGTAATCGAGCAGCTTCGCAAACACAAGAAGGTCGTACGACCTTACATCGGCATGCAAATGATCAATTTTAACACTCGGGAGCTCCAAGAGATCGGCCGCATGTTTCCTGATGTGAAGGAGGGTGTTATCGTCAAGTCAGTTGCCCCGGGCTCACCTGCTCATAAAGGAGGATTGCTACCAGGCGACGTGATCGTCTCGTTCGACGGAAAGAAGGTGCACAGCACCAAGGACATTTTGACCACAGTGGGCTACACCATCGGCCGTCACATCCCTGTGCATGTCAAGCGCCGCGGAGAAAAGAATCTCGTAAAGCTGAAGGTGACAACGGAACCGTTGCCACCTCCGATCCAGCAAGTCAGAGGCTGAAGTTTCGATATACTTCATAACATGATACAATACCAGGTTGTTGTTGGAACCGTCGTAATTTACCCCTCGGAGTACGCATTAAGTATCAATACTATCTGATTCCTACAGAGAAGCTATCTGGATATAAATATGGCAAATGCTTTATTAAAGCCCATGTTTTCTAAAGGGGTTAGGGTTGTAAACATGCCATGAATTTCCACTAAAAAAATACGGCGACTGCGTAATTTACGGTGCACGTGTTTGTGTCATGTGCAGATCATAGTCCGACTTAAAAATTAAAAAATGCCATCTCTATCGTTGCATCGGGTGGGTGTGTCACCACTAAATGGTATGGCCCAACTACTTATCTTCATAGCCTAGATCCTGAAACCATGCCAGGACATGCCCAAAACATTTAAAACAAAAAAAACGTGCCCGACATGGATACGAAGTAAAAAAAAAAAGCAAAAGGGATTAAGAAGCTGTGGTTATTCAGCTACGGTCTCTTTTTCTTTCTTCTCGTCGCTTAAGTCCACAATTGCTCTCAGAAGATCTCATCGCCGGCGCAACAGCCCAGTCTCCGTGTAGTTACTTTCTGCCTCCTCCCAGAAACATCTCCAGAAATATAGGCAGACAAATAGACCACAGTTACTGCTGTCTTTCTGGATAGGTGTATGCACAGACGTAATGGTATACGACTGGGGTATACTCTTTTGTACGAGCCCCTCCGCCATATCAGAGAGCAAATTGTGGTTTGCACGTTTGTCCATACTATCGTAACAATAGATACTGTCTGTAGCTCCATCCACCAGGAGACAGGTTCAGTGATACGCGTTAATGTTTAATAGTAAGCATATCAGTTTCTTGCAAGCTGCTGCCACCACACTCAGAGTTCTGGGGAAATACGCAGCCCTTTCCTGATTGTCCTGCGCATTGGTACTTTCATTGCCGGGAGAAAATGATAGTGTTGTTCCCATACGTTATTTCAAAGTTTGTGTAAATGCTGTAATCAAGTTGTCATTGTACCGACTCTCACTGCGCGAACAATACAAATGTGTTCATTAAATATCCACGCCGTCTCCCAAGCCAGGGAGATGCTCTTGTGGCCAAGCATCTATCAATCTTTTGGCTGGGATTGCGGGCTCATCCTTAAAATATGCTCGTCGGTGATGCCCATAAGCCACGTGTAGGACTTCATCCCTTTCGCACACGTGTGTATCAAACTCCATACGTACTGCATTATCATCAGCTGTTTCTGGGAAAAGGATCCTACGCTATCAACTGTACGTACCCAGCACTCTGAGGTAGGATCCACCGGAGTACATAGACCGATAGGCCTCGTCATTTGGTGTCTTCTCCACGACCATGCGTACGCCCTCCCGTATGAGGTTCTCTGGTAGACGATACTGGCCTCCGGGACACATGAAGCAACAGATATTTGCTTATGGTAATATTGGAGGTGCCGCACCTCGAATGCGTTAAAAAATGATGACAAATCACTTAACTTCCCTTTTTTCTCTTTCGGACCCTCCTTTTGTTTCTCGGCTTCATTAGACTTCTGATCCAACACGTTCCCATGCACCTTCTCGTCCTTTTCTTCGGGATTTAATGTGATGATCGTAGCTGCAATTTGGGTAGGTGGCACTTGGTGCAGATGATTCCATCATGACATCTCCCAGTCGCAAGCGGCTGCGCCACCTCTCCAGATTTTCAAGCGCGGCTCGAAATTTTTGTGTCAGGAAGATCCGACAAATCTGAACTGATTCTGCAGAATGCACTTTGCGCAGCCCTGTACTTATCCTACTCACTCATGCGCTTGACACGCTGAACATCGACGCCAGCAGGAGATACGTATCGGTACTTCCACAGCTGCAATCTCTTTGTCAAGGGATCCCACGCGCAGCCACCTTCAGTTCGTAAGAACAGGAAACATGTTGAAAACGTGACCACATGTTAGAAATATCAAACCATGCTTAGCTCTACGAACCATAATAGAAACGTGCTACACGCAGCGCGCACCTGTCAGGGATCGATGAATACGCAATCGTTAGCAAATAAGCCAAATGTGTGCGGTATATCATTCCGTGTCTACACGGCAGCTTCATTGTCGTGGGGAATTCACAGGAAGACATCCAACTATACTTGTCCGCGCGATGTTTTCGTTCGTCGCGTGTCAAACTTCCGTACAGACCCTCGTCATCGATAGTGTAGCTTGTACGCGCGTTTGGATCCACCGCAATATTATACTCTGGTGGGAAAACCACAGCCAGCCACTCACTAGTCATACCGAGAAGCCGGTTCATGTCGTCATCGTACGTGAGATTTCGGGAGGTTCCAGGCATGATAACACGTGTAGTGTAATCGTCCTCCTTTCGCCATCGGTAGCGAATCGTTACCTCTAAGCGATCTCGCATGAACATCGTACTGTCTAAGTCCACCGTAAGTTTCCCGAGTCGATTGTTGGTGTTGTTTCTAAAGTGAGACAGGGTCAGTCAATAGAGCGTTTTTGCGCACGTATTTTACGTGAAAATCGAGCAACGCCGTAAACGTAAAAGGGTCACCAGGGTCAGGGCAAGATGAACAGATGGAGAAATCCGTTGAATGCAAGTACGCTATTTCGCTTCAAATAACGTATCAGACGAAACCCTCATCAAGATGAAAGTCTTCAAACTATATATTCAGTCATTATGATATTTCATTAAATATTGCAGGTTCTATTCGATTAAACGGGCAATTTTCAAGTAATCCCCACAGCGATTGTCACGAGCCATTTCCACTTGCGTCAGATCAAGGCAGCAACATTCCGCAGAGCGCACAGGGAGACATTAGTCGTGGGCGACATGGAGTACCCTGAAGCTGGGTATGGCGCCCAGCTAGTTGGAGGACGCAGCTTGCGCAATGAGATGCACCACGCAGTCCAAGAAACGTTTCAGTGCTCTGCTCGTTTGGTGTTGAGACCACAAGTTCAAGAGACACAAAACGCGCAGCTACGTGGCTGTGAGCAACGCGAAGGCGCTGATTCACATAATATAGGTGGAATGGAGGACCACTACGACTATTCTTACGGACTGGACGATGATTTCCCCATGGATAATGACAATTTGGATGGCAATCACGGTCTGGGCTCGCAATAGGATGATGCTGGCGCTCTTCCCGGTGAAGAAAATAACTTTGTGGCTTTACTGCTTGGTGAGAACGATAACCGAGATGATATTCCCAGTGAAAGTGACAGTGGTAGCGACAACAGTGCTGCCTCTGGTGGAGAAGTGCTAACTAGCGCGTTCAAAGACCACATTCGAGAGTCGGCCAGCAAAATGTTACGTCAAACGCCAGAAAACAGCATCGATCTGTGGGTACTTCATCGGAGACGTCGTCGTTACCGGCGACTGGGGATGCTTTTTCGAGCTGTAGCGTGTGCACTAGCTATTCAGATGCGACAGATTGAGAAGGAAATGCTGCGCTCAAGTATTCCTGATGTTCGCTTCGACATAAACCAAATGTCGGAGAGAAACTGCATCGACCGGTTTCGATTTGGCAAGACTCACCTTGCAATTTTGTTGTGGAAACTTCAACTACCAGCTTTCTTTTCGACTGAGGAGGGGTATCGATCGTACTTCTGGCATTGAAGGCCTTTGTATTGTTCTGGAGAGGCTATCGTACCCGAGTCGCTGGAGAGAGCTCAAGGACCGGTATGGACGTCACGAAAGCAACTTGAGCTCAATTTTCTACTACGTCTGTGAGCATATCGCACGGCGATGCGCTCCGCTTCTTGATGGTGATTGGAATCGTATCAGTAGTCGACTGGAGGACTATACGGCTACAGTCCGTGCAAAAGGAGGGGAACTTCGAAACGTGTGGGGCTTTATCGACGGTACACTTCGTCGTATCTGCAGACCTTTGGATAGTGCTGAACAACAATCAATGTTCAACGGCCACAAGCGCTGCCACGGCATCAAATACCAGTCTGTCACTACGCCTGATGGGATGATTGCTCATCTATTTGGTCCTTTTGAAGGTCGATTACATGATCTGACATTATTGGAGGCCTCGGGGCTAGAGAGCACTATTCAAAACGACCAGCGTTTTCACGGCTACTTATTGTACGGTGATCCCGCCTACGGCCAGACGGATGTGTTCGCGTCTCCGTTTGATAGAGTCGGGGCTACCAGAGAGGAGTCAGCTGTGAATGCTTCGATGAGTCGCGTGCGTATAACAGTGGAATGGGGATTTGGACAGGTAATCAACGAGTGGGCGCTCCTCGACTTCAAAATAAAGATGAACATTGGAAGCGTTCCTGTTGGTATGCTTTACGAGGTTGCAGTATGTCTGACAAACTGCTTGACCATCTCCAGAGGCCAAAACGTGATCAGCAGTTACTTTGATGTGGCGCCACCAAGTTTTAATGAGTACTTTACGTCTATTTGTTAAGCAAGAAGAGAAAACTAGTATTTCATTAGTGTGCTAGACTGGTGCTGTCAAAAAAAAAAAAAAAAAGGTTTGTTTTTGGCTCTCTCAGCTATTGATACGGGCTTTAGTTGGTAACCAATTACTGGTTGGTGTTGCGGTTTTCATGAGTGTTGACGAGATGCTGAACTAGCGCTTGTATCTGGACGCCCAATGTTTCGAAAGCTTGGGTAAGTTTCGTGTCTCGGGCGATTTGAGCTTCTTTCTCCTTCTCCATAAGCTCTTCTTCTTTTGCCCATATCTCTTCCACTCGAAGCCGCTTTCTGCCAGACGTGGGTTGATCCACATCTGCCTCCGTGGAATCGCTACTACTGCTGTCGTCACTTTCATCAGCTGCTTCATCCTCGTTTTCTTCACGCTTTTCTTCTTCGTCGCTGCTGTCTTCACTTCCAAGAAGCTCTCGGAGTTCGTGACGGTCATCACGTCTGGCGCGACGGCTGCTGTTACCATCGTCATTGCTGTTATCACCGAAACTATCGCTGTCGCTTTTGGCTTCGTCCGTGCCCCTGGGGGCTGACCTTAATGAACTACTCGCTGTTGTAGAGGTTCTACGTCGTTTCAACCTACATTCCGCGTTAGGATAGCGTTAAATAAAATTAAGCAGTCATACCTCATTGCCGCCTTGCGCATGGCCTTAGATCCTGCTGTCGCGATGCGCTTCTTCTTACGCTTTTTCTTCTCTGCTTCAGCGTGTCGCTTCTCTTCAAACCGAGTCTTTAGCTGGAGGTAAGCTTCAATATAGTCATGTGGTCTTCGGCAATTCCGCTAGCTCGGCGGCTTGCAGCAGACTCCTGCTTGTGGTTTCTTATCAACGCAGCTACCTTGTCACGACAAGCCCTCGACGAGAAAGAACCTTTCACAGCAGCGTTGAGATCATTGGCTACAGCTTGCCACTCAGCGTCATTCTTGCCGTAAGGCGCAGCGTACGGCTTGCGACGCGTTACAATGAGCATCAGTTTGGTAAGGTCCCGCGTTTGGAAGCGCGACCGCTTAGCCGGATCATCAACACGGAACGGGGTGTCCTCCAAAATTTCCTCCAGATCGTGCTCCTCCATCGTCCTCACTGCTAGTTTGGTTTCCTTTGGATCTTTTTAGAGATGGCTTTCCTCTGAAACTGTGATGCACGTTACAAGTGTAACGTATACGTAAGTAAACGTGCTTAGACGAATGTACAATTGGCATTCTACGGAAAGGGGTAGGCCTCGGTGGTCTGACTACTCTCGTTACGTAAAGTACGGGGGCAAAAACGCTCTAATGTAGCATAACCACATATCCTTGCAGCTTTGTCGGAAGGACTCCACAGAGAAGTACGGTCATTGTAGGCGGCTAGGTGTTTGAATTTATCTCCGTGTTGTTCGAATTCGTCGTCTCTCTTCGAATAGACCATATTCGCCACACAAAAGTCAATCGGCTTTAGTGTTTCACGCGGATATGTGCCAAAGTTCTTAGCATCTCAAACGGCACCACGCAGCCCCTTTAACATGTGAAAGTGACTCAAGAGAATATGAGCGGCGGGACGCATACTCAGAAGAACCCCAATTTCACTCAGGTCCTTATCCACCATAACCGCTTTCGTCATCTTCAGTCGTTTGCAATTTGAAACTGCCCCACCGCCTTCCGCATGTGCCAGTCAGCATTCCTTTCTAGAACGAAATTTGGGACTGCTTGTCCGTTCCCGAACTGATCCATAACCATCATTGTGCAAAGCTGATAGCTGTATCTGCAGGTCATAGTGAAAACATGGCCAACCATAGCAATATAATTAAAGCGAGAACATGTTTAAGACATGGACAAATACTGGAAATCATGCTGACATGCTCGTCTTGTGCGTACAGTCGACCAGCAGGATCTCAGAAAAGCGCTTGTATAGCTTCCACATGTGCTGCGAGCTAATCGTCACAACTGCTGAATGTCCTTCGCCATCCTCGTCTTCAGTGGTAACATTTCCTGGCGCCTCTAACTCAAAGCTCACGAACAGGTCTGTCATAAGATCATTATCGCTTAGACTGCCTCCAAGAAAATACAACACCAGTCAGTCATCATGGGGGTGAAGGCGGTCGTGGACCAATCCCAAGTTACAAAATTTGTACATTTAATGTACACGAGCTTAAACGTTCCAGAATGAGTTTTATCGTATCGCGAAAATAGTCGTTGATTGTGCTGGCCTTAATGCCACTTGCCGCCATCAACTCCACGTCAGGTAAGAACGGTGACTCCTTAGGTAATTGACGAACTGAAGGGATACGCGCGATAGATTTCCTGCGAAAGTAATTGGTTGTGTCCGTAGAATGCTTGCTTGATTTCAAACCGCCACACTCCGTTACTGCGCAGGATCCATTGAGCTTTGAAGTGCATTGAACACCCGACGCCTTTCAAGACGTGCCGAGGCCTCTGTCTTTTGGACCGGACCCGCTACTTCCAGCCGTGAGTACAAATGTACACCCTTTGATACGGATCCATATTCTCAGGAACAAGCGGCAAACCGGATGGATCCTTATCTGCATGGATCATCATGGATGAAATCTTTTGGTTCTGCAGGCGGACATTTTGAGTCTCCAAAATGACGAGAACAGTTAATGCTTTTTCTGATATTTCTTGAGAAGTTTCTTCGTACCCCCCCCGTTTTTGTGATACTTCCTCAGTGGTTGAACGCAGTACAGCCCGTCGTCGCACTCTGCATGTTCACGCTTCAGACTACCAGTAGACGCAACCTCACTGCTCCCCTCGTCTTCATTGTCTGAGCTTCCACTTCTTTGGCTAGTATCGCTACTAGACTTAAGCGAAATACCTGCTTCATCCTTCATTTCCTCTTGCGATTGATCATGAGTCTCGTTACCCTCCACTGGAGAGTGTATAGCAATCTGTTCTGTGCTCTGTGCGTTGGATATCCCATCAACACTAGCCCTAAGGACAACATAACTTCCAGGAGATGTACTTCGACTCTGCCGAAGACGTCTTCATCTTCACTGCTACTTGTAGGGGTTGAAATATTGAGGACACGCAGAATATTGGCTGAATTTTTCGTACGAACCATGTCGGCAAAATGACAAAACGCTACAGCAAACATGATGAAAATATAGCCAGAAACATGATACTGAAATTGAAAATGGGGGAGAGCTACAACAAATTTGGCAAGGCCTTCCTCTTGCTTGGCAAAGGCCACGTCTCGCAGCCGTCACATAAAGCCGAGAGAATGTAAAGAGCAGACTCTTCGCTGAAAGAAGCGTATACAAATCATAAGCAAACAGCGACCCAAACCTTGTAAAACAACGTGGACCATCGGCGATACAAACGCAAAGGCAATACACACTTCGTGCTTGCAGGTACGAGGTAGTTACTCGATGGCGACCGCTCGCAGGTTGATGTTTTCCTAGTTCGGGGCTTGACTACTTTAAGGCCTGCTCAGAGACGCAGATCCTTTGCCAGGGCGACGAAAACGTGAACCGTATTGCGTACGGAGTGCAGGACGAAGACAGGCAAACGACTGAGACACAGATGGCTTGCGACGTAGTCTACTACCAAATGCAGTGAAATTTACAGTTGCAGGCGCTCAGCAACGCAAATGCATATATGAGAGGCAAAGTAAAGTACCTGCGTACGCACGAGAGGGGGGGGGGACAGAGGCGAAACGTGTGGTCGGAGGAGTGTCTGGGGCCGTCGAGAGGACTGATGGGCTACAGGGCCGCTGAGGAGACGAAGGATCTCTGACGCGTGGCAGAATGTTAAATGGATAAAAAATCAGTAATTTAAATCTTAAAATATATTTTAAATTACAATCATGGTCAAACATAGTTTAAAACATGGTGAAAACATATTGCTGAAAACATGAGCTCTAGATTTACCATATAAATATTTAGAGTACCGACTTTTAGCATATTTCCTGTATCAACATATTGTGGGCTCTAGTCGATGTTTCCAAGATTGATTGATTAAATGAACCGAGCCATGTAGATCTAAAAACCGATCTTATCGACTTAAACACTTGATCTCACTATTCTCTCATTAGGAACGACATCGGAATTATATGGAGTGGCAGGGTACCATCCAAAACTGTGTCTGTCGACTTTTAAAAAGCTTGATTTTCGTATCGGAGATTCAACCCAGGCAGCCATCGGCAAATTTGCCCGGAATTAAAATATATGTGAGTCATTTGTAGTTTCTCAGAGCTTTCTCTGGCGACAGTGTGCTAATTTCGAATTCCGTCTTGTTAAAAAAAGACGGAGCTCCTTATTACTTGTCCTTCATCAATCCATCCAGGGTGGATGTTGACCCATTCGGTGAAGAACAGCATTGACTCAACATCACAAAGTCTTGTGTGGAGCAGGGGATAGTCGATAAAATATTAAATTATTTTTATGAGGAAAAAGAAAAAGAAAAAAAAATAATTATATTATTTAATGTGATCGGTATACATCAAACAGCTGTTTTTTTTACACTTCGAATGAGTAAGACCAAATATGACTGTATTAGAAACCCCACATTCTATACAGTACCACGAGTAGGTCCTCCGTGATGCCCAGCTCCGCTCCAAGAGTGTCTAATGCGCTGCCCAGGGTAGCCTGCGCTGGATGATGTAGCTGCTACACTACACACCAATTCAACAGTCGCATGTGTTTGACGACTTCACGACGAGCTTCGCAATGACGACGTTCGTGCGCTGCTATCGAAAGTAAAAACGAGGGGGTGGCAGTCTAACTTTGGCAAGGTTTTACTGGTCCGTAAGCAAGACACTGACCTCATCTACACCATGAAGAAGAAGAATAAACCTTAGCCAGCGCAACCAAGCGAAGGACACAAGCACAGAGCGCCACGTTCTGGCCTACCTGTGCATCACCCGTTTATCAAGGGACTCAACTACGCCTTTCAGACATCCGACAATCTATTTTGTGTGCATGTGCGACCGGGTCCGGTTTTGTTCTTTATCATATTGAGCGTTAGTGAGGCTACAGTATGAGTACAATGGGTGTGCCGACGTATCTTGGATCGGTTACATGGAAGGCTAATCCGCATAGTGGCACTATCAGCACTGGTGAGCAACGTGGGGTGCAAATTAAATGGCGTCCAATAGTTTTGCTTTGTATAAAGATGAGCAGCGGGAACGTCATCATACTCAGCAGATTATGTGGTCGTATCTAAGGGCTGTGTGGTGTAGGGATTTCCAGATTCGACCATACGCCAACCTACTTTAGATCAAGAATCGGCTCGGTCTGATAACCCAGAGCTTAGGAACAAAGGATCACGGTAAATACTCGGCGATCTGTCCGGATATGCTATCCGGATAGCCGCTGAGCTCAACGGTCGCCTGAACTCAGCTGAAGGGTCGGTAGAGATCCGAAACGACTACATTTCACTAGATATTTGTAAAAAAGCATATGATTAAATAGGGGGAGCCGAAAAGGCCCGTCAGAAGATAACAGAGCAGAATTTTCCTAGTCCAAGACACGTGTACACTTTTCCGGTAAGTCCCTGCATAGGGCTGGATTATGCCTGCCGTCAATACTCGAGAGGCATAGCTTGTAGGGTATTGACTGGTAGCGCCAAGAGATTAGGTCGGTCCGGGTAGGACAAAGTCTTGCTACGCGCGAAAGAAAGCCCCGCACACTCAGCGGGCCGGTACGTCGGATAGCCCGGGTGCCGTAACACTTCTAGCTGAGCAGCCTCTGCGCTCGGTGACCTGTAAAAGCGCTCGCGCGCCGTCGTCCATCCTTTGGTGGAGGGCATAGGGTTTGTGAACGAGCTCAGCCGAACGAAACTCGGCGGAGCCTCGGAAGTGATCTGACTTGGTTAGTCGGAACCGGGTGGAAGCGAGCCACTCGTCTGTCCCGGAAGGGCCGGACCGCGAGGGGACCACCCTCTGCGCAGGCCATACAACCGCCGATTTAACTCGGCGATTCGTTGTGGTTTGTGTAAGGAATCCACATCTGACGGTATTTGTGTGCTCTACTACACCACAACTGGTGCCGCGACCCGGGAACAGGAGTGTGTGCTTGTTTTTATAGGTGCCAGCTAACCAAGTTAAGAGGAAGAGAAGAGAAAGAGAAGAGTGAAGATGGTCAAGGGATCAGCAACTCCGAGCGACGGAAGCCCAGCGACGGCTGGAGGATCGCCTCTCGCGGGGTCGGACCCGGCGGATCAACGACTCATCGCCATGACGATGGAGGTGGGACGAACCGTCCAGTTCGACGAGGATGACCAAGACCAGAAGAGCAAAAACGGAGATGCAAGTGAAGGAGAGTATGAAGAGAAGGCCGAGACCGCTGAGCTGGGAGAAACGAAGACTACCGCCGAGCTACTTGGCGAGGTGGAAGAGTTGACGCTGCAGGGGGGACGCATGGGAGCCCCACGTCCTGTCGAGCGCAGCTTATCCGCCGAGATCGACGAAGGTGCGGACGAAGAAGAAGATGAAAAAGAACATGGCGTTGTTCAAGGGGACCGTCCGCCCCTTGTTCCGGAAGCGACGAGGAACGCCGATACGCCGATCGCTAATAAAGTGTTGGCTCGACTCGGCGAGGAGATGAGAACGAGATCGGAATGAATGATGATGTTCGCGCCTGTGGCGATGGCGCAGGCGAAGTGGCCGATGTTGGGTCCCGAGTTAGCGCAACCGGTGCGTGCAGCCGACATCAATCACTTGGTGGAAGAAACTGTGTTGCTTTTGAAGGCGATGGGCTATCGATGCAACAGCCGACCAAACAGCCTCATCCTGTCCGACTGGAGTCTGACCCGTGGCGGAGCTGAGCTCTGGCAATGGAAGAAGAAGTTGAGAGTTACGTTTGGATTGGAGAAGGCCCCTGGTGGAACGAAGAAGGTGTACAGCCGAGTAGCCGAGTTCAAACCACTCGGCGAAGACCCAAGCAAAATTCCTTTGCTGAAGACCCCGGAGACGAAGAGACGTGAAGTGTTCCGCGCTACGCAAGGGACTTCGTACTTCGAAGACTCCCACATGCTGACTCCAATGAAGCTAAACTCGACTCAGCGAGCGCCGAGTTGTGGACAGCGGAATGTTGGTCGTTACCGTGAATTGTATGACGCTGCAGACGAGGCTGAGGCTTACGAGGAGGATGAAGAAGAAGACGACGCCTTCGACGTGAGAGGAAACCGTGAAGAAACCGTGAAGGACTACATCCGAAACTTGAGCTTTGACGCGGCTGAAGAAGACTCGACGCAGTACCTAGAAGTCCGACTCACTCGACAAAATCGCCGAGTTCGAAGGAAAGCGCTACCGTTCTGACGCGTCGCTCCAGTGACTCAAGCGTTATATCTACGAGATGAAGAGCACCAGGATGCCCCAAAGTGCCTGGTGCGAACCTTTCTCGCTATGCTTGGGACGCGCGGCGAAGTGTTGGTATAGGCAGCTGCCGAAGAAGACTCAGCGACGTTGGAAACTACTCAGCGAGGCGTTCCTGGATTATTACTGCTCACAGTTCGACCAATCCGCCCGCACTCGTTACTACTCGGCGAGACGTAAAGTCAACGAACCGATCTGCGACTTCCTGATCCGACTCAACGGGTACGCTCGGACAGCCAAGATCCAGTACGAGAGGGGTGGCGCCGACGCAGCTGACCATGTCGAACACTTCTTGCTGCATTGTGGTGATGACGATGTGATGGATTTAATGTACCCCTTGCAGTTGGAAGACATCAGTAAGGTGGAACAGATAATCAATCGTCGGATCCTCGGCGAGAAGCGTAAGAAGCAACGCGACCGACTCGTGACCGCACGAAGCCGAGATGACAAGCGGAAGGATCAGAGCCGCCGAGATGAGAAGCGCAGTCGCAAGGAAGAAAACCGCGACCGCCGAGT